TTGGTCAAGTCATAGACAGCTCATTCCTGTCCCTCCCTTGTGCCTTTGTCCCTTTGCACACGCCCATCACTATTACTTTCCATTGGACATGTAGGGGTTTTCACCACAAAAAACCACCTTCGTTCACCCTTGTGCCTCGAATCATCCGGGTCCTTGCTCTTTTTTCATTTATTTCAAGGTACCCACCCTTCTGTCCATCCAAGTTGGCTCTCATACATTTGCATACCTTGTACCCGACCCCAGACTTCTGCAGGTGAGGGCGGCGGGCATCTCGGCTCACTTTTTGGGTGTCGGTCGGTTCCCATCCTTACGCCCCCCTCTCCTCTCCATATCCTCTCGTCTTGCCCTTTCTTCGTACCTAGGATTGGATTCAAGTCGAGGTCGTGTGGATGGTAGAGAGTACAAAAAGTAAATCACTCACCTACCATCCAATCGATCCATTCCGCTTGTAATCCAATCCCATCCAATCCGCCCAATCCTACATGTAAGGTAGCCAGCGAACCAAACAAAAACAATCGACCCGACCTTACTCATCCGAGAATCCGAGGCATAAAAGTAGGGGTGCAGACCCATTTTCCCCTTCATTTTTTTGCATATCGCATACGCTGACATTGTCGGACATCGATTTTACGATTTGCATGGGCTGGACTGAGCGAGCATCACGGACAAAGGCAGGGTATGGCCTTCCTTTCGGCTTTGGCTGCTTACATTTTGCTTATGTATGGTGACGGTATATTCAATGTAAACAACAAATCCGACTGGACGTTCTTCCCAGCCAATTTTATGCTAGACCACTGTATGCCATGGTCGTCGTGCTTTCATGCCTCTTCCATTTCACCGCCGATGGAATAGTCCACCGCATAGGCATTGTGTAACCGTGCCCCTTTTTAGCACACCTACCCTTCCCTTTGTTCCCTCGACAGACGGCATTGACCCATTGGGCATTGGCCCATTGGACCGAAGTAAAAAACAAGATGAACAAGACGTTTTTTTCACGATCGCTTCTTCCTTAATCTCACAGTCCTCACGGACCCTCCTCCCTTCCGATTGTGAAGAAGAAAACTGCGATATGTTGTTTATTTTTCGTTTTCCTGCACCTTGCCTTGTCCAAGCACTCTTCTTTCTTTCTCTCTGGCGCAAGCTATTCAGGTGTCTAAGGCGCATTTCATATCTGTAAAAGAACAGAAAAAAAAGACAACAGCATATTAGGCCCTGGATGGCATTGGACAACATGTAAGCTTTGACGATCTTGCTACTGCTTTCCTTTCTCTCCTCTCTCTTCTCGCTTTCTCGTCTTTCTACGTGCATATTGTTTTCATACAACTTCGGAAATTGAAAAGGTCGATGAGGAGGGAGTGGTTCAAGCTATTACTCATAGATGTTCACCCACCCACCATGCCCACCTACTCATGCACGCACGCACACACACACACATACACAGGCAAGAACAAGAGACTACCTCTTAGCATAGACCCATCTCGCAAGCTTGACGGAGTATATAAATAAAGGAGACAATGAAAAAAGAACAGAGGGAGCGATCCTGCAATGTAACCGTTTGGTAGTCCTTCCTTCTTTTTCGACATTTTAGACTGGACAATGAGCCATGACCCACAGCCAGGTCCAAGCATAAACGAAATCAATAGAACAAGACCCAAGGGCAAGGGCAAGGGTGCATCATGATTAGATCACCGCTACCCCTTGTCCATTTGTCCAGGAAGTCTAGTTCTTTTTTATCTTCCTCGCTCTGCCCATTGCCCCTAACACGTTTGTCGGGCATAAAAAATGTGATGAAATTGACTTGCATAGTGTCGAAGAGCACGCATTGAAATGCTTATTGTCTCTTTTCCCTTGCCTTCTATCTCTCACACATTTTTTTTTATTCACACTCTTACTCGCTCTCCATCTATCTCATTCTTGCGTCTTTTTTTTTTTTTTTTTTTTTTTTAGCTCTGCTCCATTCACCCTCCATCTCATTTTCTCTTTAACAATTTTAACAATGCAATGCACGGAGGATCGTAAGAGAGCCAAGTAGTTTAATTACTCTCCTTGTCCATAGTACCTTTCGAATGGGAGATCCCAGAGAACACCCCGTTCATATCACATATCCCCTTACCGTGATCATGGACCACTCACCATCGACCAAACGACCCAATTAACTAAAAGAAATATGAAAAGAGCAGAAAACAAACGCCAACCAATACCATCATCAAGTTCCAACAAGATGGCGCAAAGCACACACCAGAAGAGCAATTGAAGAAACGAGGATCAGGGGGTGGATATGAACTCCTTTCCTTGATGTCCGTGGGGGGGTTTTGGGCATTGACATCGGCACTAAAAAAAACCCCCCGCCATCGTCGTTTTGAGTTGCTCATCCTTTTTTTTTTTTTTTTTTTTCAAACGGTCAAAGACCTAGGCCCTCCTTCCCCTGTTCACGCCATTCGTCGTCCGTGATTCGTGCCTAGAAAATAACGGGCCATGAAAAAAAAAAAGGAACAGCGGGTCCGTGTGCCCACAAGAAAGAAAAAAAAAAAAAGATGTGGTGTTACAATGTCTGTCTGTCCCCTTGCGAGTGTGGTTTTTTTTTTCTTTTCGCTTTTTGCTCTTCATCCGTCAGCTTAGAAACAAGAACAGACAAAAAAGGAGAGGAAAGAGAATAGTATATGAGGGAATGGGCCCTAATGTATGAACAGAAATAAGAAGGGGATGAAATCGGCAAAAGTGAACTGGGTCCCTTTCTATCCAAGAATGGACCCCTAGGACTAGGAGAGTTGAGCAGACGCGAGCCTGGGGGAAGGGCAAAGCGCGCCTTTAATTGACTTTTACTATGATAGAGGGCTCACATAGCTCCTCGAGGCGGGCGCAGCTGAGTGAGGGAGGCGTAGAGGCTTGAGCTATCGGGGGAAAAAAAATCAAGGTGTTGTTGGCTCCGCCTCTTTGCAATCCAAGCCTCACAAATCAACTCGGTGGCTGGGGAGAAAGAGTAGTGTAGGTTACTTAAGGGCATTATCACAGCTGGTTCGCCTGAACATGGAGAAGAGCCTTTGCAAAGGGGGATGTGAGAGAGTTGTGTGGATGGATGGTGTGTGACTCGAAGTGTATGATGGCCAAGGACTAGGGGAACCAAGGAACTGCCGCTTGCACGGATGTGGTGGTGTGTAGCTGTTTTTGAAAGAAAGCATATCGTTGTGCGCAGCATACGAAGAATTGACGCTAAACAATATCCCCTCCTAGATCACTCCTACGGATCCTACCACAATAACAAATGTGAGAAAAAAAAACCCCAAAGTGTACCTTTTCCTTCGTGTAAAAAAAACACCAATCAAAGGATGCATTTCTGTTCCTTCAAGAAAGTGGAATAGATGAATTGCGCACCAAAGAAGGAAGGGAGTTAGTTGAACTCAACAATCGTTGCCAATTTAGAGTTGGGATGGAAAAACCTCCTTGTCCGGAGGATCGATCCACTTATCCGCGCGGGGTACTTTTGTGTTGTCGCTAATCGGCGGCAAAGCGCTTTTCCAGGGATTCATTTCAAACGCGGCTGTACAACCTCGTTTTTTTTCCGTTGTTAGTGGAGTAGGGGGGTTCAGGTGTCGTTGTTACGGTTGTCACTGTCACACTCCTAGCGTGCCATGTCATGTTTTCTTCATCAAGGAAGAAAGAAAAAAAAAAGGTTTCAGAAGAGAGAGAGAGATGGCAAAGTGCTTTGTGATTTTTTTTGGGGAGATGGGATGGGAAGACTGAATAGGGGAAGGGAGAAGAAGGTACAGGCACAATGTGAAGTGCTGTGTATGTACCATATGTCCCATAGATCTAAACGCATGCTAGGACAGAGATGAAAAAGAAGACAGGGAAAGGGGGGAAGTAAGGCACAGGGCGTTGATGTGGTATAGCGAATTACCCCTTGTTGACAAGTGGTTTTGTTCAACGACGACAATAAGATAGATGGTCTGTCCACGGGTGATGTGTCGATGCCTGCCTTTGTGAGTAATGTTACATAGCATTCGTGCAATATGAATTTAATATGAACAGTTTGATGGCATTACAAGCAGACTCTTTGTCACTTTCTAACCCTTTTGGAACCACCTAAACCATGGCGCAATGACTTAGGGTAGCGACTGCGCATTGTCTGTCTATCCGATCCATGGATATGGGTCAAGGACGAGGCGTTGATTCCAGGTATAATTTATGGGTTGCATAGGGGGTACAGTTCAGAGGATGACAGAGGGAGGGCGAATGGCTCGTGGCCATGTGTGACCTTGCAATAATGACTCTTTTCTGTTGTGCTAAAAGTGAGGTCACTTTGCCCGTCTTTTGATCGTTCTCGTACGATTTTTTTTGTTGTTGTTGGAGGGGATAGCATGCATGGTGCAATTGGTTCATAGAAATGAGCGAGAGAGGGCTGAAGAGTGAAGAGAAAAAAAGACAGCTAACTAAAAAGTGAGTAATAGGGTGTGAAGGGAGGAAGGCGGAGGTTCTTTTGTGTGCATGGCTGTACTATATGGGTAAAAAGCAAACAAGAATGAACTCCGCCGGATAGAGTTACTGAGGAACTGGCTAGTGAGGTGCTGGGGCATGCGCACTTTGGATTTTGTGTCATTTATTATCCCTGGGGGGGGCGGAACCGTTAACTGGCGAGCTTGCGAACAGACAAATAGGCCCAATTGCCGTTTTACACTCTACTTGGTAATTCACAGCAATTCGCCCTCGGTTCTGCCAACATAAGCTTGTTTCTCCTCTTTCATTTCTTTCTCTTTCTTCTTCTTGTTCGTTAGCCGTTGCTCTATTGTCGTTGCTCATTGTCTGTTCATTTTTTTTTTTTTTTTGCTACCACCCTCCCTTCGCCCACTGTTCAGCAAACATACCACTGTTCAGCAAACATACCACTTTTACTTATACATTCATACACATATACATTCGTACATACACTTCTGCTGATCGGTTCACTCTCTCATTCGCCTGCATTTACATTCACACCTTATACTTAATAACATACAACCAACATGGCGGACAAGGACAAGAAGAATCCTTCAGCAAAGATCGAGACTGCCAACTGGCTCTCTTACTTTTCATTCAACTGGATTCAGCCACTCTTGATCCACGGATGGGTAAGTTCACTCCTCCCTTACTGTACACTGCCACTCAGCGCAGCCGTGCTTAATTTCTCATTGGATTACTGCGAATTAAATTGCCTTGATCCCTTCCTTCATCCATACGAACCTACATCGATATTAACAACAACCATTGCTGTCCACACATCCATTAGAGCAACACAATCGTAGACACAGACCTGGACCTGCTGTCGCAGAACGATCACGTCAAGGGAATCACCGACAGACTCCTCAAGGAATGGACAAAGGAAGTCGAAAAGAAGCAGCGCAAGGCAAAGGAGACGGGCAAACCACAACGACCTAATCTCTACCTGGTCCTCTTCCGCTGCTTTGGTCTCTACTTCTCTCTTTCCCTTTTCACCGGCTGCCTCGAATCCGTCTGCAAGATCAGCGAGGCCATCCTCATGGGGTAATTTTACCTTCCTTGCTTTCATTTTATTTGACAAAGATAACACATTCCAGTCCACCCCTACTCGCGATCTCGCGTGGCTCCTTCTCCATCGCACTGACCTTCTACCTATTACTAACCCCATTCCTCATATATAATCTTTGCGACATCCTACCATACTAGATATGTGATTCGCTTCATCCGCGATCCCGAGGCTCCGACAAGCACAGGAATGGGCTACGCGGTCGGACTCTTCGTCGTCACCCTCTTCCACGGCACCATGCACCACCACTATTTCTTCCCCACCATGCGCACCGGTCTCTGGATCCGCCAAAGTGTCATCTCCCTCATGTACCGCAAGTGTCTCGCCCTGTCCACCTCCAGCTCCATCGCCACTGGTACCATCGTCAACCTCATCTCCAATGGTATGTTATTCTTTCAATTCTACCTTGTCGCTTTCAATGTATTTGATACTGCTCGAGCCTTCTTGCTAACGACATACTCCATTGTGACAAAATAGATGTGCAGCCGTTCGAAAACACGACACCGTTCATGCTATACGCCATCATCGGACCTCTGGAGATGATTGCTGTCATGTACTTCCTCTGGAGAGAAATTGGCGTCGCCTGCCTGTCGGGATTGCTCGTCTTTGCCCTGTTGCTGCCCCTCCAAACCTACTTTTCTCGCCATTTCGCCACCATCCGCTCAAAGACCGTCAACGCCCGTGACGAACGTATCAGGACTCTCTCGGATGTCTTTTCAGGAATCGAGTTGGTCAAGTTGTGCGCATGGGAGGTTCCCTTCCAGGAGAAGATTATGATGTTGCGCTCGATCGAGGTCAAATACATCTTCAAGGCCAACACTATGCGTGCTATCAACATGGCCATCTACTTCTTCTTCCAGCCCTTGACCGCCCTCTTTGTCTTTGTCACCTACTGGCTCCAATACAAGGCAGGAGATGCCTCCAAGATTCTGAGCCCCGACAAGGTCTTTGTTTCTTTGACGCTGTTCAACGTAATGCGCCTTACCATGACATCCTTCTTCCCCAAGGCTCTCGAGACCATGGCAGAGACCAGAGTCTCGGTTCGTCGCATCACTGATTTCCTGATGTTGCCCGAGTTGAGAGGTATCGAGAACGAGTTCCAGAGTGCTGCCGACGATGACAACGACAACAATGAAAAAGATGCCGGTACCCAGCCACCTTCGGATCCCGCGGTCTTGGTCGAGATGGGAAACGCCTCTTTCTCCTGGACAGTCTCCACATCTGAAAAGAACGAGGTCTTGGAGATGTCAGCCAAGGATAAGCGCAAGAACCAGGAAAAGCATGGCGAGAAGCACGAATTGGAGCAGAAACAAGGACAGGAACTTGACAGCAGCAGCGATAACTTGACCGTCCTTAGCCCCACCAAAGCCGTTCTCGAAAACATCACTATGACCCTCCGCCGCGATGAGTTGCTCGCCATTGTCGGTCCTGTCGGATGCGGAAAGTCCAGTTTCTGTATGGCGTTGTTGGGAGAGCTGCCTCTGGTTTCGGGATCCCTTGCCTTGGCCAAGAACAGCCAGGGCAAGCACCTCAGCATGTCCTACTCTGCCCAGTCGCCATGGATCTTTGCGGGAACCATCAGGAGCAACATCTTGTTTGGCTCCAAGTTTGACCAGAAGCGCTATGACGAGGTCATCAAGGCCTGTGAACTCACCCGAGATCTTTCCCTGCTCCCCAAGGGCGATGAGACGATCATCGGAGAGAAGGGTGTCACCCTCAGTGGAGGTCAGCGTGCCCGTGTCTCGCTCGCCAGAGCCGCCTACAGGGATTCGGATGTTTACATCCTAGATGACCCCCTCTCGGCTGTCGATCCCAAGGTTGGACGTGCACTGTTCCAGAACTGCATCAACGGACTCCTCAAGGGTAAGGCCCGTGTCTTGGTTACCCACCAGCTTCAGTACATCAAGGATTGCGAGAATGTCATTGTTCTCGAGCAGGGCCAGGTCACCCATGTTGGACGCGTGGACGATGTGATGCAGGAGGAGGTTGTTGTTGAGAAGCAGATCGATGATGGAAAATCGATCAAGAGTGTCAAGACCCGCGCCAAGTTTGTCGACGTCCTCCGCGAGTTCGCCAAGAAGGCCCCCACTGCTGTCGAGGGCGAAGACGATGCTATCATGAAGGCCGCCATCAAGGAGGCTACTGCTGCTGAAGCTGCTCTCAAGCGTGTCAAGTCCAAGGATACCGCCGTGGAGGATGATGGGGATGGTCCCGAGCTCAACCTGACAGTCGAGGAGGTCCAGGAGGGTGACACTCCCTGGAGAGTTTACTACGACTTTTTCCGCTACGGTTCATCCCCTTTTCGCCTTGTCTTGATCGTTTTGTCTCTGGCTAGCGCCCAGGCAATCATGACTGCCGGAGACTTCTTCTTGTCACAGTGGTCTTCAAGTTCTGGGGAGGAGCAAGAAAGGTCGTACTATCCTATGGTCTTTGGTTTATACTGTCTGGCCACCATCGTGATGACCCTATTCCGATCCTTTATCTTCTTCTACTGTGTCACGGAGAGTTCCAAGGGTATTTTCCAGGCCATGTTGGATGCCCTCCTCAAGACCGGACTCGATTTTTTCCACGCCAACCCCCACGGACGGGTCCTGAACCGATTCTCCAAGGACATGGCCAACTGCGACGAACTGCTACCCTATACCTTCTTTGATACCATCCAGATCTTGTTCATGTTGTTCGGATCTGTCATTGTAGTCTGTATCGTCAACGCCTGGATTATCATTGCTATCCCATTCCTCTTTGCCGGCTTTATTGGACTTCGCACGATCTACATCAGGACCAGTCGTCAAGTCAAACGTATCGACAGTCAGACCCGTTCGCCTATCTACTCCCAGCTCTCCGAGACCTTGGATGGATTGACTTCGGTACGTGCATTTGGTGCAGGAGGGCGTTTTATGGGCCGGTTTGTTGAGGCGCAGGAGGACAATGGTCGCGCCTTCTTCGCGTACCTGATCTGCGCGCGTTGGCTTGGTTTCCGTCTCGACGCGCTGTCGGCGGTGTTCTTGGGTATCACTGCTATCGCTTGTGTGGCTGTTCGGGATCCAAACCAGGCTGCGCAGCAGGCTGCGTATGTCGGATTAGCTCTCAACTATGTCACCCAGCTAAGTGGAGAGTTGCAGTGGGCTGTCCGCCAGAGTGTCGAGGCTGCTATCCAGATGGTGTCGGTCGAGCGTATGATGGAGTATGCCAAGGTCAAGCCCGAGGAGTCTGGTCGTCACCGCAAGAACCCTGATGGATCGAGTGTCATCCCCAACGGATGGCCTACGGAGGCCAAGGTCACTTTCTCGGACATGTCGTTGACCTACCCCCGCGGCGACGGCCCCGTCCTCAAGAACATTTCGCTCGAGTTCAAGGCTGGCGAGAAGATTGGTATTGTTGGTCGTACAGGAGCAGGAAAGTCGAGTATGATTGGAGCTATATTCCGACTTGTCGAGACTATGGCTGGCGACCCACCCCACCGCGGTGGTATCAGCATTGACGGGATCGACATTAGTCAGATCGGTATGCACGATCTGCGCCAGAACATGGCGATTATCCCACAGGAGCCCTTCCTCTTCCGCGGCACGCTCCGGTTTAACCTCGATCCTACATCCAAGCATCAGGATGCTGATATCTGGGCTGCGCTCGAGGCTGCAGAGTTGAAGCGGATGGTCGAGGGACTTGAGGGTGGACTGGATGCGGTTGTGGACGATAACGGCAAGAACTTCAGTATTGGTGAGCGTCAGTTGCTTTCGCTGGCCCGTGCTGTCTTGCGGCGATCCAAGATTATTGTCATGGACGAGGCGACGGCCAACGTGGATTTGCAGTCGGATAGGATGATCCAGAAGGCGATCCATACGCAGTTCCAGGGAGCGACGGTGTTTACTATTGCTCATCGGTTGAACACTGTTATTGGCGACTATGACCGGATCTTGGTGTTGGATCAGGGTGAGGTGATGGAGTTTGACGAGCCCTGGGCCCTGTTGAACTGTCCTCCGGGCGAATTCCGACCCAGCGAGATTATGGGTAAGGACCCGTCTGTGACGACGACGTCTGGCAAGGGATGGTTGAGGCGGATGGTGGCGGATACCGGATCCGAGAACGAGGCCAAGCTCCGCCAGGCCGCCAAGGAGCAATGGGACAAAAAGCACCCCTCTACCAGTATTGGCCCTGGTACCAGCACCAGCTCGTAGATCACATTTACGGCATTATTACGCTTTAACAAACAAATTAATTAATTAAGCAGTAAATGCGATGTTCCTATACCATGACGTAATTTTCGCCATTGAAAAAAAAACGCAAGTTGCGGTTTTTTTCGACTTGTGCAAATTTTTTTATTTCGTTTCTCCCTACAAATAGCGGACTTGGTTCTTTTTTTCTTTTCTTTCTCCCCACTCTCCCTCTTTTTCTCTCCCCCTTCTGACACACTCCAGCCAACCACACGACACACTCACATACATTCCACTCACAACACATAACCCCTTCCACTCCCCTTTCACCCCCTTCACTCAGCTGATCAGCTACTACACTCATTCACGCCGCATTCCACTCTCATTCAACACTACAACAGCACAACACACAAACAAAGCACAACCACGCAGAATGTCGTCGGATTCGGAAGACATTCCCCTCGCCAAGAGGAGGCAACAACAACAGCGTGCCAACAAGCCCTCTACCAGTAAGCAACCCTACTCCAGCGACAACAGGCGTAAACACACACACACACAATAATTATATCCGATCTAGGAGCAAGGATAAAAAGGAGAAAGGGCTAAGTGTTTTTTTTGTCAACAAGGGTTTCTAGAGCATCTCTTAATTATCTGATCCGTTGGTTGAAGAGAGAGGGAGAGAGAGAGAGAGAGAGTCCAAATCCTATACACGCGACTTGTACGCGTTTTTTAGAGAAAAAAAGAAAAAGAAAAGGAAATTAACACAACTATGGGGTTATGGTAGTACCACACTTTTTGATGCAATGCGAAAAGAATGAAAGAGGAAAGGAGGGAAGGAGGGAGAGGTATGTCTAAGATTTTCTTTCATTTCTCTTTTGTTTTCCGTGGGTGAAGTGGGAGGATATGGGCGAAGAAGAAGGGTAAAGGGAGGGCGAAATAAAAAAAAAAAAAAAAAAAAAGAGCTTGGAGTTGGGCAAAGTGGGGTCGAGCTGTGGTGAGCAGAGTGAGAGGAGAAGAGGCGATTATAGTGCGATGGATGTAGGACAGAAGGGATGGTGATGGTGATTGTACTACTCAAATAAGCTACAGGCAGATCAAAGAACAAAGAACAAAGAACAAAGAGACGATGAGGGAGGATGATGATGGTTGGTATGTATGACCCCATGCGGACATACCATGCAAAGATACAGACAAAGAGGCAGGACTAAGGTCGGGTGGATCAATGATTGATTGTGTGTTGTTTTATTTCATTTGGGACGGACGGAGGATGGTGGGAGGCGGGAGGGAGGGGGGAGAAAGGAAGAAAGGGAAGGGGATAAGGGTTTGAAAAGGGTGAACAGCAACAATAACAATAGGAATTGACTGTGCTTGAGGGAAGGAGAAAAATGAACAGTGGCTCAAGTGGCTCAGGCAAGCCCAGGGTGGTGTGGATCATCATCATAGTCCATTGTTCCAGGAGAGAGGGCACTGCTTATTATGGTCAAAACGCCTCTTTGTCGGGACCACATTCGACGTGGACGAAAGAAAAGTGCGGGGTTTGTTGCTGTGTCTGGTGTGCGTCGATGTTATCACCTGTGACAGAGGGTGCACTCACGCTACACCCACTCGACCTTATTTTTCACTCTTTGACTGGTCCGACCTGTGCACACTGTGAGGAAGAGGAAAAGGCAACAACCGTGCGGATGAGTTGCTTACAGGATTGTCCCGCTTCAGTCAGAACAGATCCGAATCATCTCTTTCTTTGAATTTGGTCAACTTCATCTGATTACCTTTGCTTGGTCAAGTAACTAAATCCCTTTTTTTTATAAATAAATGAACAATAGACAACCTTGACAGTGGCAGTGACTCGGACACACCCCTCGGCAAACGCAAGCGACCAGCCGTCCGGAAAAGAGTCCTCGATGATGATGATGACGAAGACGCAGATACTTTGTCCAGCAGCGACAGTGGACCCCCAGCCGCGAAGCGCGCCCGCCCATCAGCAGCAAAGAAGAAATCCTACAAGGACGACAGCTCAAATAGCGATGGCGAAGGCGATTTCCACGGCTCATCGGATTCGGACGTTCCTTTGGCCAAGAAGAAGACTGTCGACTCCAAAGCCAAGACCAATGGCTCTTCCAAGACTAACGGCACAAACGGAACCTCCAGAACCAAGGCTGCGCCAAAGTACAAGGAAGAATCCTCCTCTGACTCGGATGCCCCCCTAGTAAGTAACATCATATCAATTGCTCTAGATAGACGACGAATGAGGAAGTCGGTCAGCGGGTGCTGTGGAACAACCTCACAACCGGACACGATATGTGTCCAATTTCGACGCTTCTTCATTGACAAAAAGAGAAAACAAGAAAACATGTTGCTATTCCACCCATCCAAAGTACTAATCTAATGCAACCCTCACCACCTGCCTGGCATAGGCGAAGAAGGCTGCTTTCAAGAAGACATCTACACCGACCAAGACCAAGGTAAAGACCGAGCCCGTTTCCTCCAGCAAATCCAAGCAGAGCACGACTACCATCAAAAGGCGCGGCAGGGAGGAAGTGGACGACAGGTCCAAGCTCAAGAAGGTCAAGAAGGAGGAGGAGGAGGAGGAGGATGACAAGTCCAAGGTTAAGAAGGTCAAAAAGGAGGAGGACGAAGACGAGGATGCCGACGCATGGTGGTTGAACCAGAAGGACAACGAAGACGAATCCGTCAAGTGGACTTCTCTCAAGCACAACGGCGTATACTTCCCTCCTGAATATGTTCCCCACGGTGTCAAGATGAAATACGATGGTAATGAGCAACCCCTTTCTCCATGTTTTTTTCCCTGTCCGTGTCACAAATCAACCATCGATAAGGCGACCTCGTTACTCACTCAATCTTTCTTTTAATTCTTACGATGCATTGAATAGGCAAGCCTATTACACTGGCGCCTGCTGTCGAGGAGATCGCTGGATTCTTTGGTGCCCTCCTGTTCACCGAGCATGCGGAGAACCCTACCTTCCAGGAGAACTTTTTCAGGGACTTTTCAAAGATCGCCAAGGCCCACAAGACTGTAAGTCCATGCTTTATTTTATGGCTTTGCATATGGTTGATACTTTGCTTAAATTATAGGAATGACATCTAAGCAATGAACTTTATCTAACCTTCTGTTGATAACTAGTCGCCCGAGATCACCAGCTTTAAAAAGTGCGACTTTACTCCTATGTACGAGTACTACCAGGCTGAGAAAGAGAAGCGGAAGAACATGACCAAGGACCAAAAGGAGGCGGCCAAGGAGGAAAAGATGGTTTTGGATGAAATGTACGGAACCTGCTACTTGGATGGTCGCAAGGAGAAGGTCGGCAACTACCGCATCGAACCCCCAGGTCTGTTCCGTGGACGCGGAAAGCACCCCAAGACAGGCTGCCTCAAGGTATATTTGCAAGTTGTGTTTACCGATATGGGATCCATGTGGCGATTGTCTTATATCCACAACGAAGAGACACATTGGGACCTTAACTAATCAAGTATGCCTCGCTTTCTTCGATGTTCAAAACCTACCAGCTCCGTGTGCAACCAGAGCAGGTCAGTCTTAACTTGAGCAGGGACGCACCTATTCCCAAAGCGCCTGCAGGACACAAGTGGGGCGCCATTGTTCATGACGATACCAAGACCTGGCTCGCTACATGGAAGGAGAACGTCAACGACTCGACCAAGTACGTCTTCTTGGCTGCTGGAAGTTCTTTGAAGGGTCAGTCCGACTTGAAGAAGTTCGAGACTGCCAGGGCACTCAAGAAGGAGATCGACTGGATTCGTCGCGGCTACATGGCAGATCTCAAGGACAAGAAGATGTTTAACCGTCAGCGTGCCACGGCCTTGTACCTGATTGATCGTCTGGCTCTGAGAGCAGGAAACGAAAAGGGAGAGGACGAGGCTGACACGGTTGGCTGCTGTTCGCTTCGTTTCGAGCACGTTACTCTGGAGAAGCCCAACATTATGCATCTGGATTTTTTGGGTAAGGATTCGATCCGTTACGAAAAGACTGTCGAGGTCGATGAGCAGGTGTTCAAAAACATCCGCCTCTTCAAGCGCGAGCCTGCCCAGGAAGGCGACGATCTCTTTGATCGCCTCAAGGTACTTTTTACTCAACGTTGCTCTTTGATCTTCACAGTGGAACCTCTGGTTAAGAGATACAAGGCAAAACACTGCTAACATTCCTTACTTTGATGGATATAACAGACGTCGGAGTTGAACAAGCATTTGCAGAACTTGATGAAGGGATTGACGGCGAAGGTGTTCCGTACCTTCAACGCGTCGTTCACATTCCAGGATCAGCTGGAGAAGAGGACACCCAAGGACGGCACCATCGCCGAGAAGTTGCTTGCCTACAACCGCGCCAACAGAGATGTCGCCATCCTTTGTAACCATCAGCGTGCCGTCAGCAAGGGTCATGCCGGCCAAATCGGCAAGATCGAAGACAAGGTAACCCATTGAGCTGCCTCGCGTGTTTGATCGTTTGAACTGATATTTCCTCTATCTCAATCTTCTAACCTTCATTTACATACTCTCTGATACGATTAGGTGCGCGCGTACAAGTACCAGAAGATGAAGCAGAAGAAGATGATTTTGTCGTTAGAGCCCAAGCTGAAGAAGAAGAGGCCCGAGTTGCTTGAGCCCGAGTCGGATCTTGAGGATGATTGGATCGAGGAGTATGAGACACAGCTGTTGGAGAAGGAGCGGGAAAGGATCAAGGCCAAGTTTGAGAAGGATAACTTGAAGAGGAAGGAGAACAAGGAAAAGCCTATGCCCGCTGGAGAGCTCAAGGACTTGCTCAAGGAAGTCGATGTTAAGGCCAAGGACCTCGCCAATGAGCGCAAGAAGGGAGTTGTCCCCCCTACCCGTGGTGCCACTGTTGAGAAGTGTAATGCCCAGATTCTCAAGTTGGACGAGCGCATCGCCGCCACCCGCCTCTCTCTCACCGACAAGGTACTTTTACTCGCTTCTCTCATGTTTGAGAGTTCTTGGATTTTTATGTTGCTGCGAGTATGGACACCGGTGCTAATCAACTTATGATTTTGATCGTGATTATTAGGAGGAGAACAAGCAAACGGCCTTGGGTACATCCAAGATCAACTACATTGACCCTCGTATCTCGGCTGCTTGGTGTGAGAAACATAAAGTTCCTCTGGACAAGATCTTCACCAAGACCCTCCGTGATAAGTTCAAGTGGGCCATGACCGTCGACAAAGACTGGGAGTTTTAAAGTGACAGGAACCGCACCTGGAACTGATCAACTCGACATGGACATGGATACGGACAGCATACTACACAAACACAACACTAAAAGCTATGGTCATGCGTACACCTCTTTTTTTTCTTTTTTTTTCTTAATGAAAGTTCAACCCCATTTATTTTTTTGTTCGTTCTTTCCTTTTTTTTTTCTTTCGTTTTAAACAAAATAAAACATAGCTTGATCGTGTTCGAACTTTACATAATCAACGAGCCACGTCGATGGCCTTTCATCTTGCTTTGATCATTCTGTACCTGTGCGGTGCCCCCCCCTCACACAGCCACTCTTTCGCTACCCTCGCTGCTCGAATGGGCATTTTTGATGATGGCAATTGTATCAAAATGAAGAGAAGGACGAACGAACAGGGACACGGTCCAGTCTATCGTCCAAGGTGCAAATAGGATTAGGGAGGAATGAAAGGGAGGGAGAGATAAGTTGGCATGGGAGGGAAGATGTGATGGATTAGAGCAAGCATAAGTTCTTTGGGTTTTTAGTATATTGGATCAACTTGTATCTGTGTACTAGTTATTGCTACAAAGTCATGAGGTGACATTACTGAGCAGGACCTGCACCTTCACGATGCGATTGGCGAACAGGCTTGTGACTGATGAGCGGCACTGGTCGAGTTCTGGGAACTGAAGGACAGCACTCTTGGCACATGCATCGTTCGGCGGTAGTAGTCGGGCGAGAGGGGGTGAGGACAGCTTGAAGAATTTGGAAGACAAAACTCAAGTAATCCTTTAGTCCGTCCGTTGATGTTTGACTTTTTTTGGGAGTATACTGTTGTTGAGGTCGTGTATGCGGTTGAAGTTGGTTTTGGGTGATTGGGTCGTAGTAGTGGTGGTGGAGTTGTTTCTGGTAGTCGGAGATGTGTGTGTGTGTCCAGACTTGCGAACATTCTTTTGCCGCAGCTTGACCGTCATGGTCAGCATCGGCGTGGGTGTGATCGGCAGTGTGAGCGTGCTTTTGGTGTTGGTGATGGTCGTGCTGGTGGGCGTCATGGGAGTCCGGGTAAGGGGTACGGTGCTTCGAATGGTGGCGGTTCACGGTTTACGAGAATACATTTTCCTCCAATGCGCCGCCGTCGGCCTAGGACTCCGGAACATGCGGTATGTTTGACGTTTCTGACTTTCGGCTTGCTTGCGGTTCTTTCTTCGGTGGCTAGTCTTGAAGAAGGGGAGTGGAAGGACCAGAGGCGCGGTAGGAAGGTATGTGTGCGAGCATGGTCCTGACCTTCTGGGAGCGGATGTTCAGAACTGTCGAGGCGGGGGGATGAGAGTGGAAGGTTGATGGGGTGGTGGCTGTAGGGGAAGGTGTTGAGAAAGAGGGTTGCGGTACTCGCCTGCGGGGCGGTACTGGGATACGGGGTCAACTTGGCGCAGATTGGTGCCTGAGTGGCGGGTGCGTAGGCTGTATAGGGGCAGGTTTGGGGGTGTAAAATTGTATCCCTATCAGGCAGTTGAATTTCGTCGAACGAAAAGAAGAATATGGTCGGCAAGAACAGCGCGTTGTCGAAAAAAAAACACCAGCGACAAGCGAAGAGAAAAAAGGGAAGAAGATGCACTTACATGGAACTCGTCGGTTTTGTTCTACTCAGACTGCTTCTGGTCGTTGTGGTGCTGAGGCCCTTCAATGTTGTAATCGGGTGATTCGGGTCCTTCGACAGGACTGAGATCCTGCAGGGCGTGATGACCGCGGTGACCATTTGAGCGACCTAGGTGATCGCGAGGGTGCTGTTGGTTTGACGCGGGATCAATATCGGGGAAGAGAAATTCAAGACTCGTCTCTGGAGTTTCTGCATCGCGTCGCCGAGACTTTGCAATAGCAGGAGCTTCAGACCTGGACGCGGTGGACTCAAGGAAAAGAACACCAAGGTTCATCTCTGGTGTCAAGATGTTGTTGTTCTGCCGACGCTCCTTGAAGCTCTGACGCGGATGGTGTCTGGTGCGTGTAACAGCCTCCGAGTAAGCATACCCCCTAAATACACTCGAATTAGCAACGCTGAACAGCTTCCTGACTGATAGCAGCGGAGAATTAGAGGCAGAAGAAGCGCGGAGGTTACCGAGCTCGACGTGGTAGTCGTTGCCGCAGGTTTGATCGTGGGGCTGGTGACGGAAGTGGTCATGTTTGTCGGTTTCGTCGTTAGTGAGGTGGTTGTGGCGAGGTTTGTGTGGGCGGTGGGCAGGGGCGGCGATGGCGTGGTGACCAGCAGAGTTGTCGCGCTGGCAGTTCTCGACATGCTGCTGGTGAGCAATCTCTTCCTCAAGTGTAGGATGAGCATTGTGGTCAGTATCCTTGGGGTGGGTCTGGCGATGATCCTGCTGAGGATCAGAGGGGGCATGCTTGGGGACAGCAGCGGCTTTGAGCTTGGGAGTATGAGCAGGAACCTTGGTGGTGTCAGCGGCATGGATCAAATGAGCTGGAGCGTTGAAGGGATCATGTGAACTTGGTTGGGCTTGCAAGCGTTGGTTACCTTCAAGGGCTGCTTTGAGGCTGCTGGGGTTCGATATCAGCGAATGAAAATTTGTCCAGGTAATTGGTAGCAAATCATCTTGACTGCTCGTGCATAAACAAAGAGATGCGAAAAATTCTTATTGTACTAACATAAGGGAGGATTACACTTGTTAAAAAAGGGTGTGTGTGGCTGAAAAAAAAAAAAAAAGAGGGATGGTTACCTTGAGCAGTGCCGCCGTCTTCATGCTCGGCGACTCTAAAGTCAGAGCCGGTGGGACGCATGGCAGCAATGCGTATGAGCTCGGCCTTGGAGCCGCGGGCGCTATGGCCCGAATCCATACCAGACTCTTATTCTCTGTTGTTCGACCGTCGCTTCGAGGATGCGGGGTAGACGATGTCGCTGTTCATGGCGCGATGGGTTTCTTTTGTTGACCACAATTCTCTCTTTTTTGTTTTCTTGTGTGGATATTTATGTTTAGTGTTATGCTGAATGCTGATATGAATAAGAGAAGTAACTAGAGTGAAATATGTATAAGGGTGTAGGGGAGTGCGAAAATACAAGGTGGGAGGAAATGAAGAAGAAAACTCAAAGAAGCAAAAAAGAATAAATGAAAAAAAGGTTTTTTAACCTTTCGAGCGACCATCTGGGCGCTATCCGCATCGTAGCCACTGGGGAACCAAACGAGGGGGGTTGTCCTTGCCGCAGTGCGCGAGCTTCAATGTCTTTTGTTCCTTTGTAAAAAAAAAAGAATAACCTCCACATCGTTGTTGATCCATATGTGTGATGGATGGTAGGATGTATTTGTTGAACAAGGAGTAGGTTGACGCGTCGAACATATTTCTCCCTCCTTATGATCTTCTAGTGTGCTTCCCACACGCGTGATGTGACTGCATCTATTGTTTACACTAACACCCACTTTTTTTTTTTTTCCCCTTGTAGAGTGACTGCTTCATGGTTCTCCAAGCTACTTTTCTGTACCCGCTCGATGTGTACTGTGCACAAACCTAGCCCAAGACAGAAACTGAGGTTCGAGTTCATGAGAGACTTTTTCTTGTTTCTTGCCTTTATCCATAGACAATCACTAATCAAACTCATTCACATTTCCCTCCCCTCCTTCCACCTCCTCCCTCCTTCCGCCTTCCTCTCCCTCCATCATCCTTCCTTCCGTCTTCCACCTCCTCCGATCGCCACCAATAACAACAGTCAAGGAGACCACCGTTACCCGCCCCTTCCTCGTTACGAGGACACACCGAACCCCCCACACGCCACACACACTTCCTCGCACACCTCACTTACCTTAGACACCCCGGCCGTGTGTACAGTGTCCTCCTTCCTTCCGAACTTCCTCCTCCCCGTGGCATGTTGGGCTCAGACTCTGGCTCCTCTGACCTCTCCGAAGCCTCGTCCCTGTCCTCCGACAACTCGAGCGGGTCCGAGGCCGACATCAAACACACGACTCACCAACAACAGCGACCACCAAAGAAGAGCCGTGTCGTCCTTCCTTACCCTCATCCTTCTGCTCCTGCTGTACCTTCAATTTCTCCCTCCACAGCAGCACCTCTCTCTCGACCTGCTCCCTCAACTTTGCAACAGCCTTATCCTTACGCTCCCCAAGGGCCAAGCCGGCAACTTCAGCCCAAATACCACTCGTCTTCCTCCTCCTCAGGATCCGACTCCGGCTCTGGTTCTGGCAACTCTTCAGGAGAAGACTCAACAGACCTCGACGACGACGGCAACCATGGACAGGGAAAACGACCCCCCCAGCATATTCGCACCAGCAACAAATACCCCTCTAAAGCAGCACTCCTACAGCAACAACAAAGCCGCAAGGACGCAACTGCTAAAAAGCCCAAGCACGAAAAAAATGCGCCCATCTCGCTCTCGGACTCGCTGCCGGTATACTCTCAGGAGATCATGGACGGGTCCATGATGGCCACCGCTGCAGCCAGAAGTGGAGTCACGGTCTCTAGCCGTGGGCGAGGACGTGGACGAGGACGGGCTTCACTGGCTGGCCATGGATCCCGCAAGCACGACACCTCTGGCGCTACTGTCATCGACTTTGATGCTTACTCTCCACCTCCTGAGGATTTTGTCCCACCACCAACACCCGTCCAGCTCATCCAGCGCGTCCAGCACGTCCAGCCCCTCCAATCCATTCAACACATTCGACCTATCCAACCCATTCAACCCGTTCAACACATTCAACCTGCCCAGCCTGTCCAATCTGTTCAGCATATCCCTGTATCTACTCCAGCCGTCTCAATCACATCAGCTCCCATCGCTCCCGCTCAAGCTCGCAAAAAGAAAGACGCTCCTACCGAACGCCCAGTGGCCAAAGGTGCCAAGTCTGGCAGTGGATCAAAACCAAAAGCAGGAGCCAAGAAAGTCGGTCGCCCAAAGATGGTCTCCAAGGACGTCTACTGTATCTGTCGAGGACCTTACGATGGCGTAGAGTTCATGATCGCCTGCGACCGATGTGAAGGTATGCAAAGCTAGTGTGTAATCGCGTTATATCAGAGCAACTGATGTTCTCCCAATCTGAATACTAACGCGTAAAGTTGACACTTACACAATATAGAATGGTTCCATGGTCGATGCATTGGCATGAAGCCACAGGAGGCGAAAAAGAGCAACCACTACTACTGCGACACTTGTCAACGGATCCGCAGGATGTTTGGTGTTACTTCTGTACCTCAGGAACCAGTGACCCCATCAAACCCGAAGGCGCCACGGAAAAAGAGCGCTGACAAGCGGGTAGAGAAGCAGAGCAAAAAAGTAGAAGAATCTCTCCCGAAACTAAAGCTCAAGACAAGTGCAGGAACCGCGCAGGCGCATAATTCCGGCTCTTCCTACTACCCTGTCGATAACACATCAGCTGGAGGCGTCTACTCAACCTCCAATGTTTACAGAGCGTCGGAGGCTGCTCAGGTTCAAGCTCAGCAGTCTTTCCCCGTCAAGCAAACAAACCTTCATCCCATTAAGGCGCCAAAGTCCAAGCCGACGGTAGTCTACCAGGACCGACCCGCGACCAATGTTGCACACCTTGGCCAGACGTCCAACCTTATAATCCAAGCGACTCCAGTGCCGCCGACATACAATGGCAACAGTGCTCCAGGTATGTCTACAAGCAAAAACAGTCACCTTTGTTCGAGCCCTCATCAAATTGTCAGCACTCGAATTAACATGTTTTATCATCTCCAAAGGTCGACCGTTCTCTAGCACCCCGGCGGTTTACGACGACGACGAAGACGAGGATGTGTGCCCTGTGTGTGAAGACCAATGCACATGCAACAACGACGGCGACATGGGCATGACTTCAGTTCCAGTCTCGACGAGAGCCACGCCTGAAGTGAGTGAAGCGCACAGCATGAGCGCCATCAAGGTGCCCTTTCAGCCCAACCTTGGATCGGTGGCAGCCTCTCTTTACAATCACCCTGAGCCCATGGACCACCCCTCCATCGACATTGAGGATGACGACGATGAAGTGTATTCGGACGATGCCTTCCAGGTGTCTCAAAAGAACCCGATGGTCACCCCTACCAGTCAAAGACGTCCTTCTATACTTCAGCGAAGCGGGAAAGGGATGGGCAAAATGCCCTCTTTAATGCAGTCCTCCAAGAAGACTCACCACTCTCATCGGAGTCAAGGCAAGAGTCTCAAAAGCAGCAAGGCTTCGAAGCATATGTACAAGCATTCAAGGGCCAGTTCAGGATCAGGCGATTCAGATTCATTCAGCGAGGACGACGAGAAGGGTGGCGCCATCTCAGGAAGTCGTCGATACTCCTATGTGTCCGATGAGAATGACTTTGGTTTACATGCCGCGAGGTACGGGAGCGGCAGCGACGATGTTGTTGCGGGTGATGATCTGCTCTCGATGGACTCCACAAGTTCGTTGAGTGAGTTTGAGGACGAGGCTACACAGGATCCGGCCGAACAATCATCCTTGATGCAGAGCGGAGACCATCATCTTCCTCGCGAGACTCCGGCAAATCGGTTGACCTCTGGCAAGGGATACTCCAAATTCCGCGCCGTTGTCCCTACCGACGAGTCCAGTGCTTTGGTGATCAAGCCAGTTGTTGTCACCAAGAAGCGGGGTCCTGGGCGTCCTAAGAAACCCAAAGTTCCTCTTGTCGTCAGCCGTGAAGATGAGCACGCACTCTACACGCCGGCTGTCATCTCCAGAAAAGTCGCAGAGCCAAACTCCCAGAAACGAGGGTCCACCAAGACTGCTCGCTCATCCAAAACCAAGGTGGAGTTCCCTTTCATTGCCTACGACCCTGATGTCGCCGAGGATGTCAAGTCTTTGAACACTGCTGAGCATGCTGGAGATGACGCAACCGTCGATGCTCTGGAATCAGTTACGCCTATACCCGACTCGACTGCCACAACCTTCTTTGTTGACGAGGACATTTTTGGAGATGGTGACCTGAGTGACGAGCTCAGCGGCGATCTGAGCGATATTATGAGTGAGGACCTGGACGACCTTTCGGATGACGGCCTTGGATTCACGAGCAGCGATGCTGAGGACAACACCAGCAACGGTAGCAGCCCGCGCGAGTTCAACTATTCCGAGATGGAGGAGCAGGATGAATCCCTAGTCGACTCGGACTCGTCCATCAACTCGATTACTTCTGAGGAGTCCGACAGCTCTGACCCCGATACTGAGTCCGATGTTGAGCCTCACTTCCAAGAGTACTCTGAAATGGATGAGCTTTCTGGACATGAGGGCTCAGAAGACCTCATTGACGACGAGGAGCTGATGCGCTTGGAGGAACAGGAGAGGCTCTACCTGGCCAAGGCGCAGCTTTTGCATGACGTGTTCAGCGAGGATGACTCTGATCCTGGTCGCAACCCATTCGAGAGCTCCGAGGATGAAGACGACGACGGCGACGACGAGCGCAGCTTTGAAGGCGAGGAGGGTATGTATTCGGATGAATTCTACGAGGACGACTATTACGAAGATGAGTACGACGACATGGATGAGAACGCGATCCTCGAGCAGCTCCAAGGAACCCAGGCGGAGATGCAAGCCCTGTTGATGATCCCACCCGAGCAGCAGGAGCAGTTGTTGTTGCTTCAACACTATGCAGAGACCCACCGACTGCAGCAGGAGCAACTTCAGCAAAAGGCGCAGGAGCTCGGCCAGCCCATCTCGGATCAAGCCCAAAGTCATCTCTCTCCAGATGATTCGCAGATATCGGGGATATTGAGTGCTGCTGGGCTTTTGCCGCAATTCGATGTCAATGTGCCTGATCTGGATGCGGTCTCTGAGCAGTTGGCCGCGTCGTTGGCGAACAGTTTGGCGAGCAGTATGGCCGAGAAGATTGCTAGCGGTCAACCCGAGGATACACCCCTGTTCCCCACCACGATGCAAGATATCAGCCAAATCGGTCATATGGATGCCACTACTGTCGATGCGGCTACTCCGTCGGATGGTTCGGGTCTCCCAACGACTATCCTCAATGTGTCGCCCGTGTCGCCAGAATCGGTTACTTCGGAAGCAAGTATCACCATATGGAACGTACCTCTGCCCTCGAGTCCAAGCTCTGTTAACACGACGTCGGCTTCGATCCCAACACCAGCCAACACGCCTACTCCGCCAGGAACCACTGCCGTCGTTTCTCCCAGCCTCCCTTCCACTTCGGAGGATGGTCATTCACAGCAGGCATCGAACTCGTCAAGTGAACTTTCAATCGCCATCGGCACTCAGGACTCTGCGGACTCATTGGCCTCAAGCCTGGACAAGTCTCCCACAAAGATCCAATATCTCCCGAACAGCCCGTCCTACAAGCCCCTAACGTCTATCATGCCCACGCCTGTTATTGGAGGCCGACAAGTGCAGCCAATCTTGCCCAAGCTGGGTCCAGGAGAGACCACCGCTGACGGCATTCTTGCTCGGACTCGTTTACAAACCGGTGACCCAAGTGTATTCAAGGAAGCTGCCCAGCGAGCCCTGGGAAGTCTGCAGCCAGAAAACGGCGCCAAAAGAACACCATCTCAGGAGAATACCCCGACCGGGGACACTACAGATGACGCCTCGCCTGCAATGCACAGCGCTGAGTTCAGGAAGCGCAAGGTTGACGAGCAAAAGGCAAACGAGGTATGCATCGACTCTTGTTTTATTGTTCACTCTTATTGCTATGGACGCAATGCAAAATAGCTCATTAACTGAATTTGCTTGCACTCTAATAGGTCGTTTTGGTCAATGGGAAACGGCGCAGGTTGTCGACTGCACCTGTCAAGAGCCATCTCAAGGCTGGAAACGCAACTGAGTCACACGACACGTTCCCTGCGTTCTCGAGCGAGATAACTGAAAGCTTGGCCGCCTTGATCAACAGCACCGCCGCATCGTCTCTTTCGGTGACGCCCTCAACAAAGGACTTTTCCACTACGTCAGCTTCGATGTCTCCTACCGTTTCTAGTGCAACCGAGATGAATGTTTTGTCATCGACTATTGCGACCGCCAGCGCAGGAATGACAGTGGCGGACTATGACTTTTCTAAGGCGTCGATGCCTTTTATTGATCCTGCGGCCAGGATCATTGCCTCGTCGTCTATGCAGATGCCACCGCATGCAAATCCCTCACGCGGTCGCAAGTTCAGTCTGAAGGGCAAGGAGCCAAGGCACTCTGAGGCAGTTGTTTTGCCCATGGATGATCTGTTGGATACCTCGGCGCTCTATGGCCGCTCTTCCTCAAGGTCCCCGTCTCCTGGCAGAGGCGCTGGTGAAGGTGATGGCGACTCGGAGATGTCACAGTCGATGAAGGACCTTAATCGATGGGAGCGTGTCCCAATTGGTACCTTCCGGAGGAGCCGCCGTCCAAGCTCATCGTATGTTGGTCTACAAGGTGCATTGAAGTTTGGCAACGTGACGATGCCAACGACCCTGTTGGCGGACCACCAGCAACACCAACAACAACTAGCTCAAGAATCCCACCGCTTGCATCGCAGAACCGCAGGAGTCAGGAAGCACAGGTCGTCGTCTTCTGCCTCCGATATCATGTCAAGTATGCACCGCAGCGAGGGACGAGGGGAAGGATCAAACACACATAGGAGCATGCTGGATCGACAGCTGCAGGGTCCTCATCGAGCCAGAACTGCGACAGTTTCGTCTACAACCCAAACGCCACCCAGTGTCCATGCTGGTATGTTGATGGAGGACCTGGCTGGATTTGGATCTCCTGATGCTGCCCATCGCGCTTTGGGCACCAAGTTTCCAATGCAGCGGTCCCAGTCCAGCCTTGGTTCCCTTGAAGGTTCTCTGATGCGTCACCCAGGACCAAGTCACCCTCTGACAGGCGAACCTATGAGGCGAAGAAGACGGGCAGGAAGCAACTTGAGCCACGGCCAACGTCCAGGTGTCCGACTAGCAAGATCCAACTCCTCCTCTGGCCACTCACAACAGCATACTGCCCTTGGTGTTACAGGTCTAGATATGGCCCTTCATCATGCCGCAGGGCTCGGTATTGGGATGGCTGGACTAGCTGGCTCAGGCGTCCCACACTCCAAGGCGAGCGCCCACCCCAACATATCCATTCAGACGTCAGGATTGCAGGATCTGATGACCGACTCTTCTCAGTTACCATCATCCGCCTGCCCTACCCCGCTCCACTCGCCGCTCTTCAGCGCCACCAATGCTAGTGGTACCGTTCATCACCACGGCTCTGGTGAGCTGATTGTCAGCAGTGCTCAGCCTGGCAAGATGGTAGGACTCGGTGGCAGGGATAACATTGTGTCGCACTTGGATCTAGATATCGGTAAGGAGATGGAAGGCTTTGAGGGACGCCTTGCCACCAAACCCAAAGCTGCTGAGGAGAAGCCCTTGGTGAAGTTGGAATCGTCCAACCAGCCTTCCCAGCTGGAAGATGAGGATGTGGACGTTGACATTGAGGATGAAGACGGAGAAGCGTCCCTCAAAGCCGTGCTCCTCAATGCTACCTTCTGAAAGAAGCACTGTTCAGACTCGTGGGCCTGAGCTGCAGTGCGAAGTTGCATTTACCACAGCGTGATGATATCGTTCTTTTCTTTTTTTTCTTTACTCCTTTCGTTTTGTTTTTGTATCTTTCATTTCTTTTCATTTTCTGTCATTCATTCATTCATTCATTCATTTTTTTTACCTTTGCCACCTTGTTCTTTACACATCATTCACCACCGCCCAGTTTTTGTACAAAAGATAAAAAATTCCCCGCTCCCCTTAGCGACCCATTCACTCACCCAGCATTTTTCTTTCTTTTCATCCGTGTACACTATCACCATCATCATCTAATAAACATAGCACATGTCATTATTCTTACACTATTCATGCTTACTTTTTTTTTTTGTGCTGGGATCTCCAAAAAAAAAAAATCAGACCATATGGCATTGACCCTTCAACTAACTTGAAACAAGACAATGCGCACCCACAAAGCTACAACCCTCGACGCATTTCGTGAACGAAGATGGCGTGTTTAGTTTGCGGCGAAGAGAGGAAAACAAAAAAAAAGGGGGAGGGAGAAAGGAAAAAAAATCTTTCCCCTTTCCTCAAGCTTTTGTCCACCATACATCTCCCACTTCTACTTTTCCAACTCTTCTAATACTATTCATTTTGCTCCTTCCAAACGTCCCTCGCAGTCAATCAATCCCTGAAAGCAAGATGTACTGGGGTTGTTAATGTAGAAGAGCGAGGGAAGACGAGACTGACCAGGAAAAGGCAAAAGGACGAAGTGAGAAAAGTAGTTTGGTGTAACGAAGGAAGTGGCCTAACCGTCGTATAGCCCCAACTCATGCACTGGTGTAATTGGAGATGAATGCATGAAAATCGATGCGTTCTTCTGTTGGCGCATTTGACCCCCTTTCACGCGCTTCGACAAGAGGTTTGAAGACTATTATTTATGCAAAAAAGATTGGTGAAAAGCAAGGGGATGAGGATAAGAGGGGAGAGCAAGGGTTGTCGTGTGGGAACGAAAAGAGTGGATTTGGTTTTATTTCTTCCCCGCCGAGGTCTTTTGTTTTTCCTGCCTTTTCTTTCTTCTCGCGATCCTCACTTCTTAACCACTTCTCGCCCTACTTTTCATACTCATTCTTTTTTCTTTCCGCCACGGCACCACTACAAAAAACAATCTTATTCTCTTCCTCCTCTACCCTCCACCGTAGCCTTTCGCCATGGCTCCCGTTGCCGAATCTCTAAACGCAGTCCAAGAAATCACTCTAAGTGTTGTCTTGCCACTTCTTAGTGATAATAACAACAAGACAATCACATCGACACCCTGCGCTTTCAGTTCTTATTGGACACTGACCCTGACCCGGTCCGGCAAGATGTTGACGATTGCTGTGGTCAGGAGTTGTGGAAGTCATAAGGACTACACCTACTACAACTCGATGCTTGTTTTCGCTCGCGGAGAATATGACCGCGGAGAGAAGGTCTCGAGCGATGCCATTGTGTTTATAAATGGCGGAACGCATCAAGGTAGAACGGAGCAATGCGTCGAGTAGTAATTTCGCACCTTTTATGTTTTGTAAGAATTGTGCTCTAACAATTGCGTTTTTTTTATTATAGGTACCTTCGAGGCCGAGAAAGTGATTAGGGACGGCAAGTACGATTTCGAAATCGTCTTTTGCACCGGCAATGGTCTCTTCAGAAAGCCTACCCCACCCTCTCCTCCCAAGAACATGGACATCATCCCGCTGCTATTGAAGGACGCCAACTCGGTCGACGTCTGCTTCACTTTCACTTCGGACAAGATCTACTCGAACATCGGACTCTGGGCCCACCGCGTTGTCCTAGCGCGTCACAAGGTATTTTCCAAGCTGCTTCAACAACAGGATGAGCTCCAGTCCCTTGTCGCGTCCACTGCCAAGGCCGAGAACGAGAACGATAAAGCAGCCAAGCTAGATTCGGATGCCGAGTCTACTAGTACCGTTTCTGCTGATGGTAGTCCTACTCCTTCGCCCATCGCTGGCGCGGGCGATACCCGGTCGTTGGTGATCGAGGTCGACAAGTTCTCGCTGGCGACCTTCTGCGCGCTGCTATACTACGTCTACACCGACGAGGTTCACTTGGCCATCGATACCGACCGCTTCGCAATCAGTTCCTGCGAAGGCTCCCTGGTCTGGCGTGACCCCACAACCGGCAAGACGCGTGACTCTGTCCGCTGGCACCCGACCGACTGCAATTCGCCCTGGAAGCTGAAAGACGTGACCTGGAACGAGCTCCTCGAAGCCGCCGACTACTATGGGATCACAGACCTCCGAGCCAACTGTGTAAAAAAGGTGATTAGTGGGATGAACCAGTCGAATGTTGTGGGAACCTTGTTCAGCAAGTCGGTGAATGGGGTTGAGGTCCGGCAAGCGGCGATGGAGTTTATTGTGAAACATTGGGGGAGTATTTTCCAGAAGGGAAAGGATGGCTGTAGTGGGGTGGATCCGTTTGCAGCGTATAGGGGGCGTGAGGAGTGCCATGAAGTGTTGATTGAGTTGATGCATATGAAGACTAGGAGCGATTGATGAGGTGGAAGTTGTGTTGGTGGGTGTATGAGTATTTCATATCCTTTATTTTCCTTTAAGTATCGACTATTTTTGTTTTGCTTCGCCCCGTGATAAAAGCAATAAAAACTATCCAAGCAACCCTGTCGAAAAAAAAAATGCGCCACGCATTAGAAAGTTTTCGCTCCGTTAACTGCGCTGACCTCCAAATACGAAATGCGACCACACAAACCAACGACATCGACAGACACCCAAAGCACGTAGGATGGCGGCAATTGAATATGAAGAAAAATGGAAAGGCACGTCCACACAGCAGAAAATCGCATGGTAAAGAAAAAAGATGGAGCACAAGCGCAATCAATTGTGGCACGCAACGACAAAAAAAAGGGAAAAGGCCGAGCGCTTAGGTTCATCGTTCCGGTGGTAAGTACGTAAAAAAATGAATAGTTTGGCGAGAGAGTGACTTGATATTCAGTTTGTGGTTAAGCAACCCCTATCATCTCCTTCCTCGAGCAGCGGTGCACGGATGCCTCCTGTTCGGTCATGCGTCGGTAATGACTTTTTCTGTCACCTCATAACCTTTCCTGCTTCTTGTCTCTTCCACTTTCTTCTCCGCACTCCTCACTCTTCTCTCCAACCAAACATACAAAAAAAACACTCTCCCATGGCTCCGACAGCTACTGTAACCAGACGCCAAGAGGTCACTCTCAAGGTCGAGGCGCCTCAACTAAACGACAACAGCACTTCAACTACAAAGACAGCTGTTCTTGTAGGCAACTCGTTCTGGACAGTGAGCCTGACTCGCTCCAAGGCCTCTCTGAACGTCTCGGCTATTTGGAGCCGCCAGCAGCACGCCGATATTACCAATTACACTGTAATGCATATCATCCCTCACTCCAAGAACTCATCCATCCTCGAGACGTCCATTAACGGCGATGCGCTGATACAAGGCAGTGCTGGCAGCTGTACGTAACATAAAACCAATATCGGCGACTCAAATTCCCCTTCAAGCTCGTCGTTTCTCCTAGCTGTTTGCTGAATATGGTTCTCGTCATTGCACTAAGTTCTTCTTTTATGTATTTGAATACAGGCGTAATTGGTATCGACAAAGTCATCGATGATGGGATGTACCGTTTCGACATTGTCTTTTCGACTCACAAAGAAATCGCGAGGAAACTAGCCTCGCCTCCGTTTAAGAGCCGCGAGATTCTTCCCTTGCTGCTCAAAGACCCCAACACGGTTGATGTCTGCTTCACCTTCTCGTCGGACAAGGCACACTCCCATATCGGACTCTGGGCGCACCGCGTGGTCTTGTCGCGATACAAGGTCTTTGCGCAGCTGATCGAGCAGGAAGATGCTCATCAGCGACTGATGCCCAAGGCCAACAGCGACAAGGACAAGGATAAGATGACTACCACCATCAAGGCCGAGTCAGACGTCGAATCAACCCGGACCATCTCCGATGATACTCTTTCTGCTGCGCCCTCGATTGACTCGCGCGCGATCATGATCAAGGTCGACAAGTTCCCCCTGGCAACCTTCTGTGCCCTCCTCTACTACATCTACACGGACGAGATCGACCTCTCCGTCGACACCAGTCGCTTTGTCGTCAGCGTCAGCGAGGGAGGTTCCCTGGTCTGGCGCGACTCTGAGGGCAAGATCCGAGAACATCACCCTTCTACCTGCTGGCCCCCACTCAACCAAGGTTCCCCCTGGAAGCTGAAAGATGTCGCGTGGGATGAACTTCTGGAAGCCGCGGACTTTTACGATGTCTCCGAGCTGCGATCGCATTGTTTGACAGGTGCGTTGAACGGGTTGAACGAGCAGAATGCGGTCCGATTCGTGTTCAGTTGTGATGCGGATGTGAAACGGATGGCGATGAGGTATATTGTTGATAGGGCGGAAGAGTTTTTTGAAAAGGGGAAGCAGGATCCGTTTTTGGCGTACAAGGAGCATCCGGATTGTCATGAGGTGTTAGTTGAGTTGATGCAGATGAAGGCCAAGAAGGCCTGAGTAGTTGCGCATTGGGCGCGACATTTAATATGTGGTGTCACTTTTTTTTTGCTTCTTTTCCACTTGTCAATCATCTGTCGCGCTGTAACATGTCGCAACTCTGAATAAAATGCTCGCATCTCCCAGCTCTATCGGCCAAATGAACCAACAGAACATAACAAAAAAGAAATAGGCCTGTGTTTTGAGAAGAAAGCACCGATGTGCAAGATGTCCTTGACCGACAATCAAGAGTGACCATGCAAGGTCCTGTAGATCATATTTATTTCTCATTGAGTGAGGTTTAACTGAATATTCTGCTAAGCAAGCCTAGCTTCTTCTCAAACCAAGAACCCCCGCCTTGTCGCGCCAATTCGATGATTCTGAGCTTTGCATCGGCATGTCCTCCAACAGCTGCCTTTTGTACCACTCCATCGCTATTGCCTTGTCCTTAGGAATACCCTGACTGAGTTCGTACAGCTTGCCCATAAAATATTCACCGCTCGAGTCCCCTTGGCTGTTTGCCTTCAAAAACTACCCCTTCGCCTTGGAATAGTCCACTTCCACGCCACGACCGTCACGGTAAAGTTCACCAATGAAGCGTTGGCCGTTTGTGTCTCCTTGGTCGGCAGCCTTCAGAAACCACTCCTTCGCCTTGGAATAGTCCACGTCCACGCCACGACCGCCACGGTAAAGAACACCGATGCAGCACTGTGCGTTTGCGTCTCCTTGGTCGGCAGCCTTTAGAAACCACTCCATCGCCTTGGAATAGTCCACGTCTACGCCACGACCGTCATGGTAAATAACACCGATGCAGCATTGGCCGTCTGCATCTCCTTGGTTGGCAGCCTTCAGAAACCACTCCATCGCCTTGGAATAGTCCACCTCCACGCCTTCGCCGTCGCGGTAAAGTCCACCAATGCAGCGTTGGCCGTTTGCGTCTCCTTGGTAGGCAGCCTTCAGAAGCCACTCCATCGCCTTGGCATAGTCCACGTCCACGCCCTCGCCGTCGCGGTAAAGAACACCGATGCAGCACTGTGCGTTTGCGTCTCCTTGGCCGGCAGCCTTCAGAAACCACTCCTTCGCCTTGGAATAGTCCACTTCCACGCCACGACCGTCACGGTAAAGAACACCGATGCAGCACTGTGCGTTTGCGTTTCCTTGGTCGGCAGCCTTCAGAAACCACTCCATCGCCTTGGAATAATCCAAGTCCACGCCCTCGCCGTCGCGGTAAAGTTCACCAATGCAGCGTTGGCCGTCTGCATCTCCTTGGTCGGCAGCCTTCAGAAACCACTCCATCGCCTTGGAATAGTCCACGTCCACGCCCTCGCCGTCGTGGTAAAGTTCGCCGATGCAGCACTGTGCGTTTGCGTCTTCTTGGTCGGCAGCCTTCAGAAACCACTCCATCGCCTTGGAATAGTCCACGTCCATGCCATCGCCATCGCGGTAAAGCGCGCCAATGCAGCGTTGGCTGTCTGCGTCTCCTTGGTCGGCAGCCTTCAAAAACCACGCCATCGCCTTGGAATAGTCCACATCCACGCCACGACCGTCATGGTAAATAACACCAATGCAGCGCTGTGCGTTTGCGTCTCTTTGGTCGGCAGCCTTCAGAAACCACTCCATCGCCTTGGAATAGTCCACCTCCACGCCCTCGCCATCACGGTAAAGCGCGCCAATGCAGCGTTGGCTGTCTGTGTCTCCTTGGTCGGCAGCTTTGAGGTACCAGTCCATGGCGGTTGAGTAGTCACGTGCGACGCTGAGACCTTGGGAGTAGAGATGGCCCACTCTGCGCTGACCAACAGCATCCCCTTGATCGGCCGCCTTGCGGTACCAGTCCATCGCCGCTTGGTAGTCTTGATGGACTTCCTTGCCGTCCCTGAACATGTCTCCAAGAGCGATCTGAGCGTTGCTGTCACCGAGCGTTGCGTCCACAATCGTTTGAGTAAAGGCCTTGGAGACGACAGTGCTTGAATCCTGAGGTACTCGAGACTGTTGCTTGTTGTCGCTTTCGGAGTGTGTTGGCGTTCGGACGTCTGTTGTTGCTGTTGGGTCATCGTCTGGCAGTGCCTGAGGTCCTCGAGCGTTTTTAAAGGCGGGGCCGTCGATGTGTGTGTAATTTTCCATTGCCGCTTCTACGTGACCACCAACTGGGTTCCTTCTGGTGGCGATTGTGACAGTGGAGACGGTATTGGAAGAAAGGACAGAGGTTGCGTCCTTGCTTTCCTGAGGTGGCGTTGGCGACGCCTTCTGCAGAGATTCAAATGATAGGCCGAAAGGCGTGCTGTCGAGAATCTAGACTAGAACAAGGCAGGGTTGACCTTTTCTTAGGCAGGATCAGGGAGAGAGGTGGGGGAAGAGAACAGAGGGAATAGGGAGTTTTCAAGGTGTGGACAAAGTATTATTCAAGTTACTAGGTAAAGATCAAACTATTTGGGGTGCTATGGGATATATATGTGTTTTGAGAGCAATGCTATTAATTTTCTTGGGCTTAGCCAACTGCGCCAAAGGACCAACCGATCGTGCCATGGGTCGACCGATCATCCCAAGAGTCGACTGATCATAGGGAACGACGCGACACGTGTTGCTTGACAATTCCTGCTGCGATGCGGATGCGACAACAGCGCGGACCAATTGATCACTAACAACAACATCTAGCGTCTGGAGCTGCAGCAAGTCGGAGTGGGTCAAGGCTATTTATAAGAGAGAAAGGCGCGGTGTTAGTGGATTGCCAGCTCAAGAGTAAAATTGAAAAAAATACTGTCAATTAAAACATGTAACAAACAAAACTCACTTTTTAAAGTCAGGTCCCTCGAGGATCATGGTACCGGAGCGAACATGGACAACATATTTGAAGGCGCCGAGGATATCGTCAAACAAGATGATATATTTGCCAGATGATACGTCTGGATGACAGGCAACGTGAAATATATCGGACACGGATGGCGCACTGACTGTAGTTTCGTTTTCGAATACCTTGCGGATAGCCTGGAGGTGAGGGGGAGTCCTTTGAACTGTCATGAATGTCGAGTTGTCGGAAGGTGTTGCTGGAGGAAGTGAGGTTGATCTGAATGCAAAGGTGCAGTGATGGAAACGAGAAGAGTTGGCGAAGATGAAATGAGAGATGACAAGTCGGGAGAGTAAAAAAACGGCATTGTCAAGGGAATTCCGCTTCTTGTGTTCTGATTGGTCGAAGCTTGATAGGTCCAGGCACAATCAGCCTTCTTTTTGCGCTACAGGGGATCCACTTTTCCAACCTCCAAGCGCACATACTTTTTGCCATTTCTTCACCCTGCTCGTCTTTTCAATCTCTTCATTATCTTCAATGCTCATAACGACTACACCGAAGGAGGCAGACCTCTTTCTGGTCGACACCCCCGTCCAACAGCATTATCCTGTACAATGGGTGACCACCCTTTTTTTCAAGGTAAGATGCCCGTCCGTGACGACAAGCCAATTTTATCCAATTAAAAGTGGAGCTGCCTAAGTGTTCCTCGTACGTGCACATAGTCTAACTCACTCAGTAAAGTATCCTAAACCGTATAGCGCACATGAGGATTGTACAGCCCGTCCTCACCGGGTCAGAGACGACGCGTGTGATTCCAGACGACCCTTGTTGCTTTGTGGGCGCGCCCACAAGAGATCTAGAGATCTAGGTATGCTCCTCCTCCTACTCTGATGACCATGTTGCCTCTCCTTTCTATAATATCCATGCGCCTCAGGCCCAGCAGGGTGCCGACGACTGCTCGATCAGCTACTCGAGTATCGCTCTGCTCGCCTGGACGCCGCTGTTCCCTGTGTTCTGCTACGGCTCGTCCGCAAAGTGCACAATGGGCGACCCCTTCTTCTGCTTGGACATTTTTTAATTTGAAAGCACGTGACTTTTGCCACATTGACGAACCAACACGCACCATGCGCCAACCTTTTCATTGTTCCATTGTTCTCGTATGCAACCTCTAGGATTTCTGTGTTAGAACTGAAATCACGTTGCCTTTTTCACTGTAGAAAAAAAAATGGGTAGGTATCATATGGCTCAGTCGCAGCCCATGCATGAGTTAGACTACCTCTTTCCCTTCTTGTCAAGGATGTCAGCACGGTCGATATTTGTTTCTTGTTCAAGTTGGATGACGATGGTGTCCGCCTTTGGCGAATGACAGAGCGTAGTCGTCATGTCATTGATAAAAATGCAAGTCTTCCCTTGTCTCAATCAAACGGGGTCCTGTTCTACCGGTCATCGCGTTAATCGTATCAGAAGTAAAGCCCGAGGGTCTTCTTCCTCTCATCCCCCCACCTTCATCATCTCGACCCGTAATATTCTCAAGGAACTGTTCATTGACCATTACGTGCGGCTCAATTATTTTCTTTTGTTCTTTCTTCGACTAGTATTCTCGCGGGCATTTCACCAGTTGTGCAAATGTAGGGGTTCAACTGATATGAAGAAGAAAAAAAAGAACCTCTACATACGCGGTGTTCCTTTGATGATTGCGATGCGTTAAAAAAGGACGTTCTGTTCAAGATGGTTGATACTTCTAGACTTTTTTCTCTCCCTTTGTATCAGTATCAATCAAAACCAAGAGGTAACCATGGACATGGGTCTCTCTCGCCATGCAACGCTGTAACAGTGAAGAAGAGGAGGTGAACAGCGATGGATTGCACAATCGCAGCTGACCTGCTATTGCCAATGAGATAGGCTCATTCTTGGTTTTTTCCTTGCTTTCTTTATTTCTTTGCTTTTCGATGCAATCGTCCTTGTACCTTTCTTGTTTCTCCATTTTTTTTCTCGCATGCCAATCTCATCCCTTTCAAATGCTTTCTTTTTGAGATAGCCATTTATCCCCAATACATCGATAAAGCCAAGAACCCCTCAATAGCCTCTGAAGCTGCTAGTTCACACACGAAAAACGAAAAAAAAAGAAAGTGATATCCTCTCATCGGTACCATTTCCAACCGTTTTGAAAGTCAACAAGAAAAGATTCTATCCCTTCACATTTCCGTAAAACACAGCGCTCAACACGATATTGATAATTGACCGCTGCCCATGTTCACAAGAAAGAAAAGATATGATAGATATTCTGCCTCACTGACGTAAACACATTGAAGGTCGTTGTCAGCCAAAAAAAAGTAAGAAAGAAAAAGAGATACGCATATCCGTGTGGACAGGGTAAGCATCCAACCATGCATCCATGCATTTCATTTTCTCTGACTGATTTCACTTTAATATCTTCTCATGGTGTAGATGAATCACTGTCTTTCAAAGAAAATCATGTCAGTTTCTCGATGCTACTCCTGGACACTTCGAAGCAAGTTATTCTTTTCCTCCTTGGCCAATGAAGGAAGAAAGGAAGAGGAAGAAAGAGAGAGAGGAGAGAGAGAGAGAGAGAGAGAGAGAGAGAGAAAGAGAAGAGATAGAAAAGAGATAGAGAAAGAGAAACAGAGGAACAGGGGAAAGTATGAGGGGGAGTGGCGGTATCAAAAATAAGAAGGCAGTTCGTAGTACTAGGACACTTCAAAAACAATCTCCTAGGCAGGTTGACGGTCAAACAGAAGGTTGATCCTAACCCATTAATAACTTTAGCTGTGTCACTCACAAATCAAAAATAACTTTAACAGCGGTCACAAACACAAATCAGTCGAAGGGCAAACCAAGAAGGGGTTCAACGTGTTAAACCCGCCTGTTCGTTCGCGCTTCTTCGAAACGCAAGCTCGATTGACTTCGCCATGGAAACATCAACTGCCTCAAGAGACAAGTCAAACAACACTGGTAGCATGGATACCGACAACAACAGCAATAGCAGGAATCAGCAACACGCACACAGGCCCAAAGTCGAATCCATCGAGGTCGTCACCTCCATCTCCAACGCAAACGTACACGAGGATGGCAGCATCACCCCCACCCCTTCAACAGTCGTCGGGACGAGCGTCTTTGAGAACGGAGTCCTTGCGGCTGCTGTCCAGCAGGACCCTAGCCTCTTGAAGAATGGCAGCCTTAGTGCCATCATGGATCTATCTGAATCTATCGCATCTACGTCCTTATCCGCCGGAGGACCGTCGACACTACTTGCACCAGGTCATCCTTCCGTAGGAGCACCGTCAGGGTCGAATATCTCATCAAGGTCCACCTCACCCAACCCAGGAGTTTTCGATCAACAACAGCAACAACAACAACAACAACAGCAGCAACAACAACGGCAGAGAGAACTCCATTATGAAAGCGCCAACGCTGTGCTCGTCCCACCACTGAACTTTGCGCTGGTTGCCCCAGGAGTCTACAGATCAGGACACCCCAACAAACACAACTTTCCATTCATGAAGAAACTGGGCCTCAAAGTGATTGTGTAAGTCATCTGAAGTAACAGTTTTCAGTTCAACAAGTTTTGGAAGGGTGTCATTCGCCATAGGTTGACGTTCAGGCGCTAACTTACTACACCCGTCATCCATATAGCCAAATGAGCGAAGAGCCCTACGCCCCAGACTTGGTCGACTTTCTTGAGCAGGAGAATATCAGGAGAATCCATTACAAAATCGAAGGAAACAAAGTATGGAAAGGAACTATCTGCGCCATGGATAACATTAAGTTACAAAGTCAGCTCTAACCATTAGGTCTTCGTTTCATTGCATGGAAAATGGTATATAGGAGCCATTCATTGAGATCGACGAGGAGGTCATCAGGAGTGCGCTTGTCAATATACTAGGTAATAATTTGCAACTGTGTCAAGAGGAAAACACAAGCCTTTCTCAGGATAATATGCATGCTTCGTAATCCTGGAATTAATGCGTGTTTCCGATTATTACAATGTAATCGTTAGATGCCAGGAATCACCCACTCCTGATACATTGTGCCAAAGGAAAGGTATGCACTAGATTCTCAAGCAAACCTGGATTTGAAACATGACCCCTGTATTGCACGAATCAACAAAACTGACTGTCCATCCCTTCTTTATACAATTTAGCATCGCATTGGGTGTCTGATTGGATGTCTTCGCAAGATTCAAAACTGGTCAATGACCTCTATCTTTGATGAATACCGGAGGTTCGCAGGAAGCAAAGTCCTTGCAGACCAAGAGGTAATAACTGAATCGCAGCATGCTAACAAAGCGTGTTATTATTTTGTTATGCAATGAAAAATCTCTAACGCAATGTCTCCCATTTCTTTATGCGACTAGTTCATTGAGATCTTTCCTGCAAAAGTGCCATATCTCCTCGAGCATAAACCGGTCTGGCTATAGTCGCATGATTTTACGGCATTGGTACGCAATGCAAAAAAAACATACCCTGCTATGCATTGGAGGCCATGGCTTCAATTGTACGATTAACCTCCCTTATTCACCCTGGATAGCTTTCGTCTCCCACGACCAGGCGGAAGTATCGTGAATAAAATTGGTACGGCCTACGCCATACTAAAATAAAAGCCCGAATGTGTGAGCACCATCTACTCCCTCCTTTTGTTTTATGAAAGTAAAGAGACATTGTTCAGACCAGAGAGACCAGGCTGTTTCGTTTTCCTTTACCATTGATATTCTTCGCTCAGCCACTTCGCCCAACACCACACCTTCGTGACCAATTGTGTAAGTGTGAAATCAATTTTTCCCTGAATGGCAGAGATAAAAAGGAGCGAGCGCATTTTTTGTTCTGCTCACCCCTTTCTTCCCCTTCTCTTCCTCATCCTATCCAACAATTGCCTCTCAAAACATCGCCATTCTCACCAACACGTACGCGCACTGACACATATCACACATCCAAACCCAAACCCACACACATACGCACATCAAGCACGGAACGCACACCAACAATTCAATCCTTATGAAGATGCGCCTTCCGTTTCTAAAGAGGCACTCCAGAACTGCCTCTAAGGGAACCTCTGTTGCCTTGGTCCCGGCTCCCTCCAAGCAGGCACCCTCGCCTCTCGATATCCCAGAAATCTTGGAGATGATCTTCTCTTTTGTCGACGATCACACCCGCTTCAAGACGGTCGTCCTTGTCTGTCGCCAATGGTGTTTTCTGAATTGGCGTTTCGTCTGCAAGGAGGTGGTGTGGGATGGAAGGTGGAAATCCGATAGTTTGACAACAACACTGGCCAAGATACCCGGATCTCAGCACATTCGCTGGCATAGCGAAGTCGGTCATGACCAGGAATCGCAGTGGGATCGACTCATGAAGGTCCTCAAGTCAAACCACGAGCACTACCTCAAACGACAACAGCAACCGCAGGGAGAGGCCTCGACAAAACGACTGTCGACGGATGGACGACGAGATGATGGATCCTGGTTCATGAGGAGGAGACCCCTGTTCGACGGACCGCTTCAGAAGCTGGACATATGCGGTGCCCATTTTGTCGACGGCCAGATCCACGACTTTTTGCCTTTTGCCCATTGGCTCACCAGTCTTTCCTTTCAATTGGGCCAGAGCTGCGAGTTCAACATGTCGTCGCTTTTCAACGCCTGTCCTGGACTGGAGGAGCTCCGTGCAGAGACGGATGAAGGAGCTTTCTATCTCCCCGGACAATGGATCCCTCTTGAGGCGTCCAAGCCATTAGTTCTTCGATCATTGTTACTGAGGAACGCCCACTTTTCTCAGTCTAGTCTCGAGGACCTCTTGGTTGTCACACCACGCCTCGAGGAGCTCAAGTTGATCAACCTGGCGAGAGGGAACGGATGTTATCCGGAGGAGGGTCAAGTTACGTCAAAGTACCACTGGAACAGCCTATTTCAGCACATCCGGGCTCTCCCACTCCGGCTGCGCTCTGTCCACTTTTCTGTCCGTGATGAAATCATGACACAGGCCGATCTGCGGAGTATGCTGTTCGATGTCTGCCCACGGTCGACCGAGTGGACACTCTGGGCAAGCGACTTGAAGCCGATGATCGTGCAGAGCTTGAACGAGCTGCCGAACCAAATCACAAGTCTTGACCTTTACTGGCACGACCGGTCAGGTTGTCTCTCGGGTGATGCTCTCCACCACTTTCTCTGCAACTCTCCGCACCTTTTACACCTCAGGACGTTCAACGTCGGATTTGATTTCAAGCGGATGGATGTCCACAACCGAGCGGGATTACGTTACTCCGATAACTCCGAGGATCGGCCCACTACAGCCGCCACCACTACCTTGGCGACATTACCTTCAGGAACAGCAGGATCAAGAAACGATGCAGTGGAAGTACGTCCACAAGTCTGGAAGTGCCGCAACCTCAGGACGTTGTACATTGAGCTTCATGGCCACGGCGACGAAATGATCAAGGACCCGGTACATTCGAGGATAGTCTTTGGATACATTGCCGCAGTGTGTCCTCAGCTACGCGATCTCCACATCAAGGTCCCCTGGACGTGTCGGTCTAACAACGAGGTGTACCATCCAGCCATCTGCCTTCGACTCGAGGGAGGTCTCTGTCATTTGGCGAAGCTGCAGCACTTGTCGCGATTGAGATTCCAGGATTGGACGTTTGGGACAAGCAGATACGATTTGAACTGGATGGTGTCGTCGGGTCAGAATCTTCGATACCGGAGGAAGAGGCAGGAGGTGATGGCACAATGGGAGCCTTGGCTAAAGGAGGAAGCCGAGCAGGAAGGGAATATGATACAGGTACAGTCTAGGTTGTATCGTGACGATTGCGAGTTGCAGAGCGAGCTTTTGGATCTGGGGTTGTTGAGGGCGGTTAAGGCGAGAATGGAGGAGATTGATAGGGATGGAGATGGAGATGGGTTCCGGTGTTGGCCTGAGATGCAGGGAGTGTCGTTGAGTGGCAAGTTTGAGCAGCGGCCGCTGGATGAGCTCAGTTGCCTTTTCCCATCAAAACGCCTTTCTATCTTCTAAAATCGATAATGAAATACTCTATCAAGCAGTTTCACTTTCGATTATTGTTCCATGATTATCTCACGTCTCACGGTCCATGCCCCTTAAAACACCATTCCTTTTTTATCTGTCTGAGAAAAGGGAAAACTGGAACGGCAATGAAACAAAGCATTCCTTGTCCCAACCGCAACCAAACGGATCAACTAATCACCAGTAGAACATGTATCGACTCCTTCCTGCCGACTACTGCGACCGCCAGACAGGAAGATGTCGCATCTCTCCAGGACGATTCCAACACCTCGGCTTGTCGGTCGGTCAATGGGTGCTCCTGCAATCAACACTCCATGCAGAAGATCAGATCTACTGTCGTGTCTGGCCTGCGCGGTATGACTGTCAGGATGACATCCTTGCTGACCGGTCGATTGCAAAGGGTCGTCCGTCGGAATATGGGTTGCGGATAAGAGAGCAGGATCGATATGGTATGTCGCGACGTCTTTTGGTACCCGTGGCGTAGAGAAGGCGGTCTTGATCACTTGAAACGGAATTTAATATTATCCCGTTGTTTATTGCACTCATGTGTAGATATGACTGTTCTGCCTTCGATTTTGGCAAAGGCGTTACGGTTAGAGGTGACAGTGGCAAGGATTCGGATTGACGGGAAGGAAAGCGACGATGGATCGCGATATGAAGAGGCGTCTGACAATTTGCGGCGAAACGTAAGTAATTACAGCCGATTTATTTCGATACTTTTCTGAATAGGTAGGATCATTATCAATGTTATGCTGAAAGAGTTATTAATCGTTGCGATTGCTACGCCATCACCACAGATTGTCCAAGACGCGCTCGAAAATCAGATTCTGGGACCAGGATTCACAGTGGCGAATGAGTACTGCGGGCTGTTGATCAAGGTAGACATTCCAACTCATACAGAAGATATCCGTGTCTTTATGTGTACTCGTAAGCATGGGGTATTTATCATGGCGCTTGTCTCTTATCCTGTAGATCGCTTCCAGTTCACCAGTCGATGGTCCCTTATTGGTTACTAAGGGAACTATGGTCACCATCACTCAGGAAAAGCAACACACCGACAAAAGCACCACAACATCAGGATTCAACAACAGCCAAACCAACATGGATATCTCTCAACACCTCAAAGTCTTGCCAGGACTGGAAGGACCCATCAAGGCTCTTCTGGAGGTAGTGTCTTACCCTCTTCTATACCCGGACCTGATTGCGCGACTCAACATCGAGTGTCCCAAGGGTATTCTCTTACATGGACCTCCCGGTGTTGGAAAGACACTACTCGTCTCGACGGTCGCCCAATATTGCCGTGCGCAGGTGGTGATGATCTATGGACCTGAGATCTTTGGACCCTATGTCGGCGAGAGCGAGGAGAAGTTGCGACAAAAGTTTGGACAGGCAAGCAGGATGGCTTTGGAGGACCCTCAGAGACCCGTCATGATATTTATCGATGAGTTGGATGCCTTGACGCCTCACAGGACAGACGCCCAAGCGCACGAGTCGAGGGTTGTGGCACAGTTGCTGACGTTGATGGACGGCGTGGCTTCACGAGGACGCGTTGTGGTCATTGCGGCCACGAATAGACCCAACTCGATCGACCCAGCGCTGAGACGACCAGGACGATTCGACCGCGAGATCCGGATGGAGGTCCCAGGAGAGTTGAACAGAACCAAGATTATTCGCGGCTTGATCAAGGACATGCCTCATACCCTTACTGAGACAGAGCTAAGCAGCTTGGCCAGGATGACCAATGGGTTTGTCGGAGCCGATCTGGAGGCACTGTGTCGTGAGAGTGCCCTTAGCGCAGTCCATCGTGAAATCGCCTCGGGAGCGGCAATGTCAATGTCAGGTGGTTCAAGCGTCAAGGTGACATTGGCGGATTTCAAGCGAGCATTCAAGATGAACACTCCGTCACTACAACGTGGCTACGGCGTGGTTGTCGAACCTGTCCGCTGGACTGACATTGGTGGACTTGAGCATGTCAAAACTCAACTTCGACAGGCAGTGGAGTGGCCAGTACTCTACAAGGATACCTTTTCACGTCTCGGCCTTACGGCGCCTCGCGGGATATTGCTCTACGGTCCTCCTGGATGCAGCAAAACTACCCTTGTCAAGGCGATCGCTACCAACTCGGGAGCATCATTCCTCTCAGTCAACGGCGCTGCTCTGTATTCGTCTTATGTTGGAGACTCGGAAAAGACGATCCGAGAGACGTTTCATCAAGCCCGGCTATCGGCACCATCGATTATCTTCTTTGACGAAATCGACACCATTGTCGGCAAGCGCAACTTTTCAGCCGGCGGCGGTGACGGTGGAGGCGACAGTGTCCAAGAGCGGGTTTTGTCAACGATGCTGAACGAGATGGACGGTGTCGAGAACGCGACTGGTGTACTCATTGTCGCAGCGACCAACCGAGTAGACTTGATTGACAAGGCTCTTTTACGTCCTGGTCGATTTGACCGAGTAGTCTATGTAAGTTATGAACTATTTACTTGGTTGCTGTCCTTCTCAAACCTTTTTTTCCCCTTGTGATTGCCAAACTAAATGTATCATTGACGATATTAACTCTTAAAATTAGGTTCCGCCACCGGATCTTGAAGCACGGAGACAGATTCTGGGAATCTATACTAGGGATATACCTCTTGCCGATGATGTTAACTTGGATGCCATTGCAGAAACGGTAACGATTATTTTAAGGCGTGCATTTCCCTCTGCATTTGCATTTCGAGTACCTTGCAATTTGTTTGTTGTCATTTTCAATCAATTAATTAGATATCATTACTTTGAACTCTGCATAGACCGAGATGTATACCGGCGCTGACCTGCAAAATGTCTGCAGGGAGGCTGCGCTGGTCGCTCTTCGGACGCGCATCCTGGGTCCTTCCTCATCCTCCCTGCATGATTATTCAAAATCTACGATGGAAGATGTCTCCCCCAAACAGGAACCAGTTGTAAGTAGCAACTTCGAAAGTGCATGTACAGATGAGTCCATCTCTTTTTGTCGTTCAATTGCTAACAGCGTTCGCTTATTTTTATCTTTCTTCTTGATAACGTTTAGAATGGGATTGACTTTCGCATTTCACTTACTTCGGTGAAGCCATCGCTCACAGCTGCAATGTTGCTAGAATACAGCTCTACAGGTCAGCGTGCTTTCTAGTTTTGACCCCCCCCCCATCCCACCTTTTTTGTACTACTAGCTTCTATTGTATTTTTAAACAGCCAATGTTATTTTTGAACGCCCCATCATCATTGTAGTCTAGTCGTTTTTATTCAAGAGCCAATTGTTGACGAAACAATAGGCTTCTTCACCTATGAAGTCAGTTAATACAGACAATTAGTTTTTTCTGTCTAGGGAAATAAAAGAAAAGACGTTTGTTGTGAGCATAAAAACGAGTGTGAACAATTGGGGCCAGGAAAGGGTAGATCTGAGCAAGGCAAAAAGTCTGATAAAGAAGAACAAGATGCTCCCCCTGTGTACTACAGGGCCGTCCTGTGTGGTTGAGGGGGGACGTTGGATAGGGCGAAAAATAAGAGGAGAGCATTTGAGCATTGGACACAAAATAAATAATGGTAATACAGGACCTCATGGCGAGATGGGAGAGGGAGGGGGGGTTGGGGTTGGCCTGTTCTGTTCCAGGCTTCCTGTTTGGATTCATTCAGGCACAATCATCAATCGAATAAGTTGGTGATAAAGCAACTACTTTATCAGTCTCACCCCTTTTCCTTCTCTTCTCCTCCTCTTTCCACGACGACCCCCCTCGACCTTCCTTCCTCCTTTCCTCCTTTCCTCCTTTCCTCCCTTCCTCCTTTCCTCCCGTCCTCCATTCTCCCGCCGTCCTTGTTCTTACTCTCCTCATCCCATTCTCCTCCTCCTCCAACATCGCCCTTTGTTCCCATCCTGCCTCCCTTCCAACACCTAACCCCATCTTCATGCAACCAGCCCTCCCTCCTCCCTCCCAATGACCACCTCCACAAAACACCTCTCCTCCTACCGGTTCTCCTTCATAAAGGGCTTCCACAAAATAGACAACGACCAACCCTTCAAAATAACTCCTTGTCCTCCTCGTGTCAACCCAGTCCATATCCCTGAGATCCTCGAAAAGATCCTCTCCTATCTCGACGACCACACCTCCCGCAAAATCTCTCGCCTCGTCTGTCGCCAATGGTTCTTCCTAACCAGCCCAGCCCGCCAGGTCGTCTTTGATGGACATCGACATGGACGGACGATAAACAAGACGCTGGCGAGGATGGCGGGAGCGGGCGGGTTGTGGTGGAGGTCGGATCATGATTATTGGTTAAAGCCACCGCCACAGAGGGTGCATTGGGGGTTTCTGAAGAAGGCGCTTCAGCTTGTTCATGAACGGTATCAGGAGCAACAGCAGCAGTTGCTGTTACAGCAGCAGCGGCAGCGGCAATCATTACAGATCAACAGCACTCAGGGCGACCAGGAAGGACACCTTATCAGGACCCGGACCAAGCTCTACAGTCCCCTCAGGACCCTTGAACTCGTCGAGAACCCGCGGGTGAGCTATCTTATCAGTGATATTCTCCCCTACATGTCGACTCTGACGGTTCTTCGGATATGTCCCACGACAGGCGAGAGCTTTGACATGAACGAGATCATGGTGAGCTGTCCTTTACTCGAGGTCTTTCACCTCCTGCCGGCAGAGAAGCTGCGAGTTTTTGGGCCTTGGGAAGTTATGACAAAACTCAAGAAGGCGCAAAAGGAAGCTGGCCCCGCAGGACAACGAAAACGGCACCACCCACGCCCCGCCGGACAATTGCCTCTCCGGTCTTTAATCCTCAGGAACGTCTTTTTCTACCAGTCCTGCATTGAAGAACTCCTAAACTATACCCCGGACCTTACAGAGCTACAACTAGTCGTATGGTCCCCCGACGAAGACTCGACGTTTGACCCGCCTTCATTCTATCAATACCTCCAATCCCTCGACCACATCTCTCTGGACTCTTTCCACTTTTCCTTCGAGGGCAAGTTTGACGACAACACACCCGAACTCAGGCAGATGGCCCGCAAGATCTGCCCCAACCGACACAAATGGCTCTTCTGGACCGGCGACCTAACCCCGGCCATGACACGGTGTCTCATTGAACACCAGAACGTCGTCACCACCCTCGAACTCGTCTACAATCAACCCGTCATCTGTGGACCCAACGGACTCCTCCACCAATACCTCTGTTCTTCCCCACAGCTCCTGCATCTCCGCGCCAGTAACACCGCCTATCTGTTTGACCATCTCGACCTCCACCAGCGGACGCTTTTGTACGACGGACACTTTTCAATCGACCCGCTGACAGCCGGTCAGAGTTATGGATCTGCACGTCCAGGAGTGTGGGCCTGTCGCGGCCTCAAAACCCTCCACCTCGCTTTTGACAGCCAGACGGACCGTTTACTCTTTGCCCCCGTATGCCTCCGCATCGTCTTTGGATATCTTAGCCGCGTCGTCCCTCGACTCCAAGACCTCCAAATCGTCATTCTCTCATGTTTTAGCTATGGCCGAGGCAACGTGGGCCCACCTCTGCGACTAACCCTCCAAAGCGGATTCTGTCTCCTCTCAAGGCTCAGGAATCTGGAAAAACTTCGTATTGGATGTGATGGCGGTTCGGTCGACTGTCAACGGAGCGATATCGAATGGATGATCCCCTCTGGTCAGAGTCCCCGGAAAATCGATGAACGACGCAAGACTGTCGCGGGATGGACACAACAACTTGCGGAGGAAGAGAGTATGGAGATTAAAAGAACTCATAGCTTCGCCTTCTCCAACACTACCACCACCACTGCCACTGCCAACAAGGCTGCGGCGCAGGCCTGGAATACTGGACCCTCATCGTCATCATCATCATCGTCATCGTACTCGACCTCAAAGCAAGTCATCGATATCTGGAACAATGTCGAACCAGAACTCAAACAGGAACTCCAGAACCTGGGGCGACTCTTGGATGTCAAGACGATGCTGGATGAGATGGCCGACAAGGACAAGGATTTCCGATGCTGGCCTTATATCCAAAAGGTAGCCTTTCATCGTCCCATTGAGATGGGTCTCTCACCCGAGAGGGAGCTGAAGGAAATGTTTCCTTTGAGAACACTTTCTGGCGTTCGTCTTCGGCTTGGCCAGAAATCATAAATAAATACCCTGTACCATATTATATATGTATCCACACACACACACACACACACACACACACACACACACGGCTGGCTATTGCTTTCTTTTTTACTCGTGTATTATTTATTTCCGCCGGAATTGCTCATACCGAAGTAGTCCAAACTGGTTTACAGATGGTTGAACGTCTGAAGTGGCCGCAAAGAAATCCCGGGACTCAATTTGTGTCTAGCAAACAGGGGCGTGGGAGGGGGAGCAAAAGGAGATTTGTTGGTACAAGTCAGTTGTGTGTAACCATCGTTCCCCCCCGTTTGGGTGACGCCAAGCGACCAGAGCAAAAATCATAACAACATATGGACCCTTACCCTGTTGTCCTTTAGCGCGTAAAGACCTGCTTTCCGCACAAGGGCTTTCATATCCGCTCCTGTAAAGTTGCTCGTCAGGTTCCCGACGGTGTACAAATCCGTAGTCTCCGAGAATCGCGTCGACTTCTGCAAGATCCTCAAAATGGTGACTCTTTCATCCAGGGTTGGTGGAGGAACATATACCAGCCTATCGAGTCGACCTATTGTGAAAGCAAACAAACGATCAGGGTCAGAGAGAGAGAGAAAGAGAGTGAGGTTGAACAAAACCGTTTGCATTGACGAAACTTGCGGTGCCCTTCCTTACCTGGTCGCAAGATAGAGTTGTCGATCGCTTCAGGGTGGTTGGTGGCCGCCAAGATAACAACACCTCCCGAGCACCCGTCCATCTCGAGGAGAAGTTGTGAAATTAACTGGGACACACACAGATCCGAGAATAATAAAAATGGGTTAGCTGCCAGTTTACATGCGCTTTAAATGACGTCAATTAAATATAAACGACGTCAAATAAATACAACCGTAAGTAGGAGAGTTATCCTCACCTGTTTTCCAAGACCGCCGCTTGATTCTCTCGTTCCAAAAATGGCCTCCAGCTCGTCCAAGAAAACAATGCACGGACTGCACTTTGATGCCGTCTTAAAGACCTTGGCGATCGCCTTTTCAGATTCTCCGACCTCTCCTTTGATCAGTTCCGGAATCGACACCGCCATAAAGTTGGCCTCGGACTCGGTGGCGACCGCCTTGGCAAGTAGGGTCTTGCCTGTCCCTGGTGGCCCGTATCTGTAGAAAAAAGATGGTGCGAAATGTAAGCTAACCGTTGAAGCTTCGCGCCACATGCATGCACTCTGCTCAATAAACGATAGCAATTAAACTTACAAAAGGACTCCTTTGGAAGGACTAATACCCATCCGTGAATATGCCTCAGCGTGCTTGTACAGCCAGATTACGGACTCCTCCAAAGTTTTCTATACGTTCAGGACAACAGATTGTAAATAGCCCCTTAGATAAAAGAGATGACCGAAAGGGAGGTGACAAAAGTGAAAATGACAAGGAAACGTGGCTGTACCTTGACGTGTTCAAGCCCTCCGATGTCGCTCCAATATACAGGGTCTACTTTTTGGACGCTTGTATTCTGTCGTAGTGCCGAGACTCGAATAGCCTTCATCCCGTCGTAAAAGTCTTGTTTGCTGCAATTATTCAATCCGCGCCCATGTCCGTGGGCAATCACAGCGGCCTGCGTACAAAGAGCATCCAAATCCGCTGGAAGATACCCGTGGCACTTTTGTGACACTGCCTCGACCTCCGAAGCGAAATCCTGTTGCCCGGTCATCTGGTGGTTGACAGCACTAGCTTGCAGAATGACAGATCGCTCCTCGGGTGTGGGGATATCGAGTTCGATAGAGTCGTCAAACATGGTTGCGACAGAGGGATCCAGTGCACGAGCATCCTGTGTCAATCCGAGAACCACTACTCGACGGTGGGAGGTATTTGTCGTGGCAGAGTTCAAAGATAGATTCTCCTGGTCCTTGAGTTCCTGGATCCATGACTGGAGCGCGTAGACAAGGGAAAAGTTGCTGTCGTCGCGAGGGAATATAAGCTCAATGTTGTCCAGAATAACTAGGCAAAGTTCAAAACAGTAATACATTGTGGTATGACTATTTCAGTATCTAATTGTAAAATGTCATACCGATATCGATCTCTTTGAAAGAACACGTCAAAATAAAAATAACCCCTCCTACCGACGGTCTTGGAGAATTGTTTTGAAGATCCAAGGTAGGTTGTAAGGCCCTTGAGTAAGTCACCAGGATACATGACGGCGAGATCACCAATTGTCACTGTCACGACTCGATCGACACCATACTTTTTGCAGAGAACATTGGCCAAGTATGTCTTGCCTATGTGCAGTAAGAGTAACCAATTCAATGATCAGGACGATGCGCTCAGCTGCGCGGTGACATACATAGACGTGCCTATAGCCAACTATCCAGCTGTATGACCGCAAAATACACACCTGTGCCTGACTCTCCCTTGACGATCCATGCTCGGGGAAGGCCTCCTAGGGAGCTGAACGTATTGCAGAGTTGAGCGTACTCCTGTGCTGAAGTGTTGAAGACGAGTTGGAATGCCTGTTCTAATCTCTGTGTGGCCTCGTTGGCAGGAATCGAAAGAGTCTTCATGAGCAGACAGTTCTTCCTTTATAGAAGTATTGTTGTTTCTGTGCTGTTGTTGCTGATGCCGTCGTGTCGTAATGTTGAAAGTGCATGGCGGGAAAAGAAAGAAAAAACTGTTGAAGGCATGAACCACAGCATAATAGAAAGAGCAGTCACAACGAACGCGCTTCATTTCTTGTTTCTACGTTTCTACAGATCAAAGTGGCTAAGGACACAACTGAAGTATGTCAATGTGATGTACTCTGGACGCGCATTGACCAGCCTACGCATCACCCCAATATCACCACTACCTTCGAGCTCACGCTCAATATCCTTCCCAAATCCTTCAGTCTCCATCGCCGTTAATTCCACGTGCAGACGATCTTCCGGTCCTGTGGCGCGATATTCTAGATCCAGTCGCCACCCCTCACCACGGTAGCCACCAGCATTGCGGATCACATAGTGAAAGTGATCCTTCGAGGGCACATCGACGTCCATGGACCACGAAACCACCTCTGCATCAAAGCTGGTGACCGTCCAGATGTAGTTTGGATGTGTGCAAAGGATACTGAGCTTTCGGAGACCCGTCTTGGGATCGTACGAAACGTTTTCAGCAACCAGCCTGGGCGCGTCATGAATCAGACTTGTTAGAGGCTCGGACGATTGTGCGAGAGTCGTGTTGGAGGTGTGGCGGCGGATATATGGCGTTGTGTCGAGAACATACGAATCCAGGAATTGGCTGAATGGATAAATTGAGTTCCAGTCGCCAGGGTTGTCAAATCCGCTCCTGAACGTCGCCTTGATCTGGTACATTGATTCCAGCTCCGTGACATAAAGATCGTAGAAGGGGCCGGGGTCAGCGTGGGCGACATATAGTAGCGATTCGCCAGATGTCGTGTTGCGGAGGTGCTGAATAAACACGCGTTTCGGATGCATGTTGTCGTAAGGCGAAAGGACCGATAACCCAACGAGGACGATCGCCACTTGTGCCAGTAGGAGGCAGAGAATAGTCTTCTTGAGCACAATGGAACCGAATCGATGAGAGAAAGCCAAGAGCGGAGGGCTGACGAAAAAGACGCTGAATCCAGTAACGACCGCCATGACATTGTCCACAGGCGCGGTGACTCCAATGCGTCCAGTCAAGGGAACAATCAGGTCAAACAGACTGAATCCCAGGTAGATCCCGTAGAGTGTTTGAACTCCCGATGCCACAAAATAGGTCAAGTAGTCGACTGTCAATATATTGCTCCCATGAGTTTGGGCGATCCTTTTGTGGTTGAAAATGAGAGCCACACTGCTGACCAAGGAGTAAAGGGCGATAAAGTAGCTGCTGGCGATCTTGGCTATTGAGGCAGCCGCCATCAGAATTGTGTAGAGCACGGTGATGCCTGAGAGTGTCCTGAGCTCGTTTTCGCCGTTGGAGACCGTCTTGTCGTGGAACAGCCACTGTACAGTTAACATGGCTGCGGCACCAAGTGGCCCGTAAAGCACAAGGGGGAGCCACTCGTGTGAAAACCAAATCATGGGTCGTCCAATAGCGCGGAGGAAAAGTGCCGTGAGATTGGGTGCCAATAGCGCAGCGACTAATGACAGTGGAACAGATACGACTGACCGCAGTGTAGGTCGACACGCCCCGATGGCGACGGCAAAGACAGCCAAGGCTCCGATTACAATGTGTGACCAGATCGCAGCGCTAAGAGAATAGGAGACAAAGAACAGCCCAAGGACATCAAAAAAGACAACGCTGGATGTCTCCACCAGCTGGGTTACATCGAGATTGTCTCCGACATAGATGGCGAGGGCCAGGGTGTTTTCACCGAGATGTTGGGGAAGACCTTGCTCCATGTTGCGGTCCAGGTCAAGATGTGTGTGGTACAGGTAGCTGTTCTTGTACACCGCCATGTCGAGTCCCGTGAGGTTCTCCTGTACAAAGATCCTGTAGTCTGTGTCTGACAGGAGTACCCCGGTGGCGAAGAGGTCGTTGGCGAGAACAGTTGCATGGGGGTATGGCACCTGGCTGTATGCCTCGATCATGGAGCGGGAGTTGGCCTGAAATAGAATCTCAGGTCCACTTGTCCCACAGCCTTCCAGGTTGATGACGGCTTTGATGTATTTCCTGAGGGGATGGTTGTTGATAAAAGAGTGCGATGCATCCTGCAGCGACTCTTCGCCGCCGTTGAACACTATTAGATAAGGAATTGAGACAACGAAACCTTGGTGGTGAGTGCTTGCACATTTGTTCCATCGTGGTAACGAATAAAAGCGTCGTGGTTTCGGGAGGCCTGAAGGGCTTATTACGAAAGATAAGGCTGTTCTTCTTGAGGGCAGGCCGTTGGCTGAGAATCCGGATGAGCTCCACCATGACTCCGATCGGGAGTGCGTCGTCCACAGCACCCGGGCTCCCCAGGGTAGTGTCGTAATGTGCGTTCAGCAAGACTGCATTTTCGTCGCACTCGGGACCGCAGGAGAGCCGCACGATAATGTTGGTCATATTGGCGTACATCTTCATCACCACTAGTAACGAGAAGAGATGGAGAAAGAAATGGGCAGTTAGCGCTCGAGCCCATGGGGTCCTTCCTTTTCTTCTTCTGCTCCCTCCTTGTTGCCTTGCAGGTGGCTAGAATGGACACGTAATCCCTAAAGCACGGGTGAATAATTTGTCCATAGCAAATGGCGTTGAAGACAAATAACATGGCAAGTCTTGTGATAATGCGACGAGAATAAGAAAACAAAACGAGCAAACATACCCTTGGACATAAAGTCGAACTGGTGCGCTCCGTCGTCCTTTTGGGTCCACACATCGAACTTGGGAAAGGCTGCAGGAACTACACCCTTCCCTTCAGAGACAGGAGTACTCGACCATCTTACGCCTTCCTTCTCTGCCTGCATCTTCAAAGCTTGGATCTCACTCAGAAGGTACACCTGCGTCTCCTGGTCCTGTTCCGTACCAACAATCCTGTAGCCGATGTCTTCTGAAAGATGCCTGACAACCCTGCGAACGTTTTCTTCCGAGAATTGCCTCTGTCCTGTCAATGGGTCGACTACCAGTGCACCATCCGCGGACGAAACTGGGGTCGGAAGGGTATAGTGGAGCTGGAAGGCTAGAATGGCAAGTGAGATAAGGAAGCCGAGATAAAGAGCACATGCGCTGAAGGTAGAGCGTGGGAACTGAAATGAGTCCTTGCTTGTCCTTGTCGTTGTCTTCGTCGTTGTCCTTGGATTTTTCCCGTTCGAGTCTATGGTGAGCTGTTGATAGGGATGATGTTTGTTGTTTGTGTTTGTGTTTGCGTTTACGGGCAGAGGAGGAGATAGGGTGTCAAGATCATGCGGTGTTTTGGAGGGGGACTCCTCTCGGAGGGAGGTGGGATGGCGCTGCTTCAATGCCGCGCTGCCAAGGGATGTCATGGATAGTGGGTGGGAGGTGAGGAAACAATGAAGAAGTGAAGAAGACGAAATAAACGAGAAAAGGGGTGTAAATATGCAGGGCGGGGTGAAGACCCTTAAGAGCCTCCTAGTCACTGCCTCGTACATGGGTATGATAGAAAATGGATGGAGATATGGAGATATGGAGAGACACGACTCCGTGCTCAAAGGGGTCCTCTCTTTCTCCACCTCAAATAAATCCGAATTTATCTCCTTTCATTCTTTTCCCATTCTTTTCTGGCCCTCTCTTTCAATTCACCACACTTCCTACTCCACCACTCGCCGACATATTCAAATGAGGTTTTGCCCCAAAACTATATTCGCCATTGTCATCCTCGCTACTGGCACCGGCGCTCTCCCTGTCCCAGTCACCCCAGGCAAGGAGGACCACACCCCTGGCGTTCAGGCAGATAACCATTCTTTGCTTGCGAAACGCCAACTCGTTCCTATGATGCACATGGCGGGCCTCTCTGCACAAGACTATGCCGTCTCGCATTCACTCTCTACCTTGAATGACGAAGGTGACCTCCCGTCAGCATTGGAGAAACGTGCCGAGTTTCAAAAAGTGGATACTACAGCATGACGCGTTGTACTTGATGAGGCCAATGAATAAATCGTGTCTGACTGCCGACTTATAAACGAGCATTTAGCCACCAGTCAGCAAGAATGATAGTTATGTTGCAAGTGTCAAACACGAGTACTACGGGGTTTACCAAGAGAACATCTCTCGACATTGAGAGAGAAGGAAGAAGGGGAAGATGCCGTGTGGTTTTTTTTTTTTTTTTGGCAAGATTTGTTCGGAAACAAGACAAGTCAAGACAAGAAAAGAAACTTTGGGGGGAACAGGGTGTGTGTATGGCGATGTACACCGCGGTGTACAAACATGTATGTGTGTCGTAAGCCGCGTGGCTGAAAGTTTGTGTTTGTGTCACCGAGCAGTCGAGCACAGTTCAGTGGAGAGACAAAAGCATTGCGGTAATCTTCCCACCTTTTTTCCTTTTTTCCTTTTTTCCTTTTTTCTTGTCCCATTGTTGCTAGTTTTTTATTGTTTTGTTTGTTTTGTTTGTTTTGTTGACTGTCCCGTTCTTACCAGCAAGAGTGTTTTTGAGAAGCGATAAAGAAGAGAGGGGCATCAAATTTGTAATGTACTTTGGTGTAGCCTTCATTGCTGCATCGCCAAGGGGTCACCGCGAAAAGAGAGTGAAGCAAAAGGGAAGAGAGATCTTTTTCATCAGTGATCACGAATTGAAATAGAGTTGAACTGTGCATCTCATTTTGGTCAGGTGGTTGGTGGATGGCACGGTTCCTGGCAGATGGGAAGGGGTTGAGGAGGAGCCAGACCAAGAGCGATGGAGACGGGGCACCGAAGGCACCGAGAGGAACAAGAACACCGAATATGAACATGAACAAGAATAAGTGTAGGTGTGGAGAACATCTTCTTTTTTACATCTCACTTTGCGCCAGTGGCAAACAGGTGTATGTGTGCGTGGTCACCCAACTTTCTTTTTTTTATTTTCGTTGGGGCAAGGCAAGGATGCGGTATTGCACCAAAGAACTAAAACAAATCAAGAAAAGGGACAGGTCGACGTGCATCCTTTATTTAATTGTTTTTTTTTTTTTTTTTGTTTCTTTCTTGGTTTTGGTTTGTTTGTGGCACGCAGCGCAGGAAGAAGGGAAGAAAGAAGGAAGAAGGACGCAGGACGCAGGAAGAGGGAATGCATATCGCACCCTCCCTTCTTCCCCTCTCCCTGTCCCTTGTTCCCTTGTTCCCTTGTTCCCTCCCTTCCCGAATAGACATCATCATCATCATCATCATCATCATCATCATCAGGCCATCCTTCCCTGCCCAACTTCGCCAGAGGATATAATAAAGACATGTACCACCATGGTTCTCTTTTCCTTTCTTTCTTTCTTTCCTTCTTTCCTTCGTTCTTTCCTTCTTTCTTTCCTTCTTTTCCCCTTCCCCTTCCCCTCTATTCCTTCTTCTATATTCTTCTCTTCTCTTCTCTTCTCTTCTCTTCTCTTCTCTTCTCTTCTCGTCTCCACCTCTTCCCTATTCCCTTCCCTCCCTTCTGATCGCCTGCCTTTATTTTCTTTCTGTTACTCTCCCTCCTCGCCTTCCTTCTCTATAGCCAGCTCCCCCTTGAACTCCTCTTTCCCCTAGTTTCTCTCTCTCTCTCTTTCTTTCCTTCTTTCTCTCTTTCTCTCTCTCCTCGATCGTTGTTTTTATCTCCTCCCTCGCTCTCCCCTTCCCTCCACGACAACTATAGCAGACAACACCAACAAAAAAAACAAACGCTCTTCTCCACACAAAGCAGGTGTTCCTGAACCCTTTTTCTCTCCTGTTCTTATTGGACAAGAAGGCAACAACAACCAACCCCGCCCTTTCTGTGCAACCTTTTCTTATTTCTGTTCTTGTACATTTCATTCCGTCCCACCTCTCTCATCTCACTAAAACTCCCTCTCGATCCAAACCAGCATCAACAACAACAAAAAAATAATACAATGAGCTCCTCCAACCGAAGCTATGGTTCATCCACCAGGAGCAGCAGTGTCAGCGGGATCAGTAACATCAGTAGTAACAACCACGATGCCATCACAGGTACGTAACGATTCCCTTTTTTTTTTGTTGGTGCAACCATGACGAGGGGGGAAGCAGTTGGTGAGCAATTGACAACTCCTTCCCTCCCTCCCCTCCCCTTCCCCAAAAAATCCCTCCACGCTCTTCTTACTTCCGAAAAGAAAAAGGCACCTTCTCAATCTAACGCTTTGTCATGTCCGGATTCAATGGAGTGCAGATAGAAACATGGAGTTCATTTGGTGGCTCGCCAATCGTCTCACAAGCTACGACGAGGAGATGCACAAGGAGATCCTAGAGGACTTTTTTACCGATGATGCCAAGTATGTAAGCCTTGATGCTGTATGCTTTGTTGTTTTTATTTTTGGTTGTTTTCGTTAAATTCTTTGCTGTCCATGATCGGGTCTGGTGTTTATGCAATCATCCATGCAGGTGTTGTTCTTTTTCAGGTCAAGGAGGGACTGAGACAGAGAACAGGTGTTTGACAATGCAATGCAACAACAAGTCGTGATCTGTGACAGGGACTCGACTCTCAAAGAACAGCACAGATATACATTAGCATTGGTCCTAGAACCACCAATTGACCCTCGGTATTGGCATTCGCATTGTTATTACCACGGCCATTATTGACATTGAAATTGACATTGACATGTTATAGATATGTACATCCAGCATTGACCGTCGAAGGTCGCTACAATATCCGTAAAGTCTTTCGGGTATGGACATCGCTCAACAAGGACGAGCCAGAGGTCACTAATATTGTCTTTGAGTAAGTACAGCCCTGCACTTTTTTTCATTGCGCTGTTACCCATTCAAACAAGTACGGTAGCGAGAAACGTGTGCATTGACTAATATGAAAAAAAAAATGCTGGCTTGACTATTAGCGGACACACGGCCATCATCTCCCTCGTCCAGAATCTTCGCCCTCGCGTCTTTCCGATGCTTAACCTTCAAGTTCCTGCCACGACAACTCTGCTGTTCAAGGACACACCCGAAGGCCCAATGATCTACAGCCACCAGGACTCTTGGTCCCTCGAAGGAATTGTACAGAGCATGCCCCTCCTCGGATGGTGGTACGATCACATTGCACGGTATGTGTCGTCAACTCCACTCTAAGCTTTCTCCATTGTTCACCGATGTTTATGAAAGGAACTCTCTCACTAATGCAATCGTTCTTTGCTGTGCATACTACTGTTAAAACCCCCCTTAGTAATGTATTGGGTGCTGTGCTAACAAGTGCCGGAGGATTTTTGCATACGGCCAACCAGACGACTGGATATCTTCAATTCCGTGCGGAGGAGGTGCAAAAGATGTCGACGGAAATCATTGAAAAGTCGAGCGCCGAGATTCAGCAGCGGTCGAAGGAGATGACGGCCAAGGCGCATTTGATGGTTGATCAGGCCAAGGACAGTGTGGAGAAGAGGGTGGCGAGTGCGCGGGAGGAGGTGGAGAGGATGCGGGCGATGATGAGCCAGGGAGGGGCAAAAGCCATTACGGCCACTCAGGCCTCGGGCTGAATGATGATGATAATGGTCTTTTTTTTTTTTTTTTTTTTTTTTCCTTGCCTGCTGTTATGTTAATCAGGAGAACGCTTTTTTGATGATTTGCAACGATACCGCGGGCCAGTCGCCCGACCTACACATGTACATAAGAATATAAATAAGTAAAGAAAAGTGAACGAACTCCTTCCTATACACATTCTTCATTGACACGTACAGTACTGTACCGTACCCTGCCTCCTACTGGGAGGTCGATCTAAGAAGGAAAATGAGGCAGTCAGACTCACGATCCGTGAAACTTTAATTCCCACGGAAAAGCAGTCTTCAGATCTGAATCATTTCTGGTCAGGTAATCCCAGGCCCACGCATAAAAAGGCGCACGAAGGAGCTCATCCCTTTCTTCATCTATCTTTCTCTTTCTCTTTCTCTTTCTCTTTCTCTTTACTCTCTCTTTCTCTCTCTCTCTTACACAAACACTCACCACTCTCCATACCGTACCGTATCATATATACCATACCATAACCCTTCACTCACATAAAAAAGACATGTCATCCACAACAGCACAGGCTCCCGCCGCCCGCAAACTCTGGGGCGGCCGCTTCACAGGAAAGAACGACCCCTTGATGGAAAAGTTCAATGCCTCGATCTCCTTCGACTGTCGCTTCTACAAGGCCGATGTCATCGGCTCCCAGGCCTACGCCAAGGCCCTCGCCCTCAAAAACATCATCACCGAACACGAGGCCTCAAAGCTCCACGAAGGGCTCGATAAGGTCCTGGCCGAGTGGGAATCCAACAGCTTTGTTATCCAGGATGGCGATGAAGATATCCATACTGCTAACGAGCGCCGTCTGGGAGAGATCATCGGGACCTCCATCTCTGGAAAGCTCCACACGGGACGTTCTCGTAACGACCAGGTCGCAACGGATTTCCGAATCTGGGTCCGTGACGAGGGCCGCAAGTTGGTTGTTGTCCTCAAGGAACTCATTGCCGCTGCTGTCGAGCGTGCCGAGAACGAGATTGATGTGATCATGCCCGGATATACCCACTTGCAGCGCGCCCAGCCCATCCGGTGGTCTCATCTGATCCTGGCCCATGCCTGGTCCTGGCACGCCGATTGCCAGCGTCTGGAGCAGCTCCTCGACCGCTTGAACCAGCTCCCCCTCGGATCCGGTGCCCTTGCCGGCAACCCCTTCCAGATCGACCGAGACTTTCTTGCAAAGGAGTTGGGCTTTGACCGAGTGATGCCCAATTCTCTTTATGGAGTCAGTGACCGTGACTTTGTGGCCGAGTTCTTGTTCTGGGCCTCGTTGACGATGGTCCACATCAGTCGTTTCTCAGAGGACCTTATCATCTACAGTACAAGCGAGTTTGGATTTGTCCAGCTTGCCGATGCATACAGGTAACGATTTTTTTCGACAATCTCTCACGTTCCTCTTTCTTTGCATTATGAGCCATAATCTTAACCTCCCCTCCCCCAAACATGGTCTCGTTACTTTTTCTTACTACTCATTTTTAGTACCGGAAGCAGTTTGATGCCTCAGAAAAAGAACCCTGACAGCTTGGAATTGCTCCGTGGCAAGTCCGGGCGCGTCTTTGGCGGCATGACCGGGTTCATGATGGCCTACAAGGGCACCCCAAGCACCTACAACAAAGACCTCCAGGAGGACAAGGAACCTGTCTTTGACGCCTACGACACCCTCATGGGCTCCCTCCAGATCACCACGGGTGTCCTTTCGACCCTCACCATCCGCCCCGAGCGGATGTTGGCCAGTATGAGCATTGACATGCTCGCCACCGATTTGGCAGAGTACCTTGTCAGGAAGGGAGTCCCCTTCCGTGAGACCCATCATATCTCGGGCGAGGCTGTCCGTATGGCCGAGGAACGCAAGTGCACAATGGCCGATTTGTCCTTGGCTGACTTCAAGTCTCTCCATCCTTCGTTTGAGGAGGATGTTACAAAAGTGTGGAACTTTGAACAGAGTATTGAGAACCGTTGCACACCTGGAGGAACTAGTCGTGCTACCGTTCTGGCACAGATTGAGTCCTTGAAGGCATTCCTCCAGTAAAAAAAAAATACATTTTCTTTTGAAAGAATAAAAAGCAAAATTTGTACAATGCATTCTTTGTCATTTCTTTTTTTCATTCGAAAGCTCGTGGGTTGGGAGGGAGGAGAGGGGTACTAATCTGAGGGGGGTGAGAGGAGAGGGGAGTCTACAACGGTGGCAGAGATATAAGAAGGCAACTGCCCACCTTCCAGTTGTTTTTAAAAGATGGGGATATAGTTGTTGATTCTCTCCTTCTGACCCTGGCTAATACACTCTGAGATCCAAACAATATTGCGGATCTCTTGCTCCTTAAGCTTCAGGAACGAGTAGAACAAAGCGTAGTGGAACTGTTGCTGGAACGACTTCTTGTTCAGCTGGACCTCATACTCAAAGAAGCGGTCCTCCAGCGTCTTTGACCCTGTTCCACTGTTGCTGTCAAAGAATTGGCGATATTCCTAACAAAAACAATAACAACATCAATAATAAAAAAAAAAAGGGTAGGAGGTGAGCTTATGGTCATGCTTTGCAAGCAAAGACAAGGGAGTTGGAAGGAGTGGACAAAATTGTTGTAAGCAGATAAAACATTGGCCTTTCTCTTTTTTGCTTACAAGGAAAACGTCGCAGGTGCCCTTGACTTGGTCCACATCGTCAGCCTTTGCAAGTTTGATGTTTCCTTCAGGGTACAACCTTCCAATGTTGGGGAATAGCTTTGCACGGTCGTCCTTGGTCAATTCCGTTCCGAACGAATTGATGGTAATGTTCAGCGATCTGCGGTCAGCCTCAAACTAGAGTGAATAATGATTGATAGTAATAACGTGTCAGTCAAGTTTAACCTTGCCAGTTGTCACTGTAAGCAGCATCCTGTCATCTAACTTTCTTGTGTTCAATTGCTCCGGTATTTGTTTATGTTTACCTGGAGCAACTCGCCCATGATTTCAGCAGTGGGCCCACCAAAGGACTGAGTAAAGTAATAAAAGTCCTCGAGATAGGCCTTGTAGAGCGTGTTCCTGATGATCTCAATGTTCATCTCGTCCAAGTCTTCGGCAGAGAGGCAGTCGCTAAAATAAGGCGCAAGGGGGGTCTCGACCAGAACCGAGTTGTAGAGCTCTGCAACGTTGGTCGCCACACAAAGGGCAGGCATACTCTCAAAGACGCCCAGAGGGTGACACCTCTCCAACAGCTCGTGCGTGTCGCGTTCGTGCAGTGTTCCTGTGATCAACAAGATGACATTGTCGATCATGTACGCATATCTAATGACATTATATCCACAGGCACAAGGGGGGGGGAAGAGTCAGAGAGAAAGGGGCGAGTTAGTCCAGTCTATTCGTTAGTGACAAAACGACGACGATGACCCTCGATAGTTTTTGGTCCTTTGAACGCACGTCATGTAGTCAAGGAACTGCTGGAGAGGGGCGACGGCGTGGGCGCGAATGTAGTCAAACTCTTGCACAAGCTTGTCGGTGCACTTCTGAGCAAGCATCGAGGTCGACATGTGGGGTTCATTCTGAAGAAGAGTGCCATAGTCGGACGCTGAGAGTTGAAGCTTGACGTCTATTGATGACCCAGACCCAGGACCAGACAGAGAGAGGGAGTTGAATGAAAAGTGCTATTGTCAGTGTGTCGTGGAGGTGGTGGTGAGTGATCCTTTGTTGCATGTTATCCTTATAGTATTACCTTCAAGGGTCTCGCACTGGGTGAGGTTGATGTAGGCTGTGTTGGTGAGGATGTTGCCGCGGTAGCCACGGACGATGCCCTCAAGGTAGCCGTCGTCAGCGTTGTAGAAGAGTCCCTCCATTAGTCGTCGTGGTTGTGGTGGATGCAAAGAGGTGAGGAAGAGAGGGGGAATGTGTGTGAGCGTGAACAGAGAGATTCGTCTCTCTGGGTCAAGGGGTGGAGACCAAGGCCAACTGCACGTCACAGCATCACGGTCAAGCGTGACCTGAAGTTCTTAGGAAAGTCGACGACCAACAATGTCGCGGATCTCCTTCTCGAATACACGAATGGACACGACAAGCAATAATCGACAAGCAACAATCGGCAAGAAATATCAACAAAGGCAGAAGAACACATAAAGCAGCGAACAACAGCAACCAGCTGAGAGCAAATGGCCACAAAGCGTGACCATGCCGGGAAGAAACTCCAATACAGTGTTCCCCTGCCCCTTCCTGCCCTCCAACAACAACAACAAAAACAACAACAACAACAACAGCAACAAAAACAGCAACAAAAACACGCACAGCCGCAAACTCCTTCGACAGCTACAGAAGACCTCTCGCTGCAACAACAGTCTGTGTCGGCTTGTCCCCCAAGCTGGCTACTTCTTCCTCTTAGGACCGTCCTTTCATTCGCTCTCAAATATCTACATCTCAACACAAAGGTGTCTCCTACTACACAGGATCTCATCCATGGGGACTTTCACTTCTGTGGGGCCTCTGTCTGGATCCGTGGGAGCAAGGATATGGAGACCCTCTTTCGCCAGGGCTTCTTTGGCAAGGGGACACTTTCCAGGAGCGAGGCCACTTGGAAGGAGAGAACAGCCGGCAGCTCGCAAGGTAACCGACTCTGGAGTTCGAACACAGCACATACATGAGTCACTCTGCATCTGTCTGGCTTACTTCTTTCTTTCCTTTTTTTTTTTTTTTTTTTTTTTTTTTGTTCCTGCCCTTCATACGAAAGGTATTTCATTGGAGGATATTACGCGGCAACGGAGGGTAGAGAGAGCACAGTTAAAGATGGGGAAACTTGTCCAGGCAGCGCAAGGAAACGCGTCTGGCCTCACTACTTCAACAACACCCGTCATCTCCTCAAATACATCGTCGACGAATGCTTCAGTCTCTACTACTCCTACTTCAACAGTCTCGTCAGCGACACAGTCGCAGGACCCTCAGTCCAACAAGACTGTGCAGCAATCGATAATGCTTCTGATATCTCCCGTTGGTGATGAACCAGAAGGAGTCCACCAAGAAACTGTAGGTAGCAGCAGCAGTGGCAGTGGCGAGAATGAAGAGCACTTGCAACTGTCCCTGGAGGAGGCCTTCTTCCTCGTCTTTGCTGTAGAGTGTATTGCAGTATCGGAACAGAAGACCACTTCCACTTGCGACCAACTACTACTCGGAGGCGGCTCTGTTGGCCTTTCGCCTTTCTCGATCCAAGAATGCTGGCTTCGATTTGCTCAAGCGTCTGTTTTCGCAGGCAAGTCATCTATGGCACTACCAATGCCAATGCTAGAGATCTCGCCGGACAATCCATTTATCGTTCGGTATGCAGCATACCATCACTACCGGAGCCTGGGCTGGGTGGTCAAGGATGGTCTCAAGTACGGGACAGACTTTTTGCTATACAAAAAGGGTGTGATGTTTGGACATTCGCAGTTTGGGATTCGTGTTATCGCGTGCAAGTCCGCGGATGAGGTCACATCCAACACGACGCAACAACATTGGTCAACTGGTATGAGTCCTCTGGATTTGCCTCGCTTGCCCTTGTCGTCGACGACCCCTGGCCTTTTCGCCCCGCACGCGGTCCACTCATGGCAGTGGCTCTTGGCCCTGAACAGAGTCATTTCTCAGGTTCAAAAGGTAAAAAATTGAATGCCACACTTCAGGTTCAAGGCCCAAGCTAGCAAACGAGGGGGGGGGGGGGCATCCATTTGACTTGTCATCCGCTAATACATCACTTTTCTTTTGTGTTTGTTATAATAGACGGTAATTCTCTGCCATATTATTGTCCCTTCGAGTGCTTCAAAACAACAGCTTTCACATCCTCTGAAAGCGTTACCCTTGTATACGATCGTGGAAATAGGTATCAAACGTTTTATTCCCGAAAAAAATCGAAAATAAAATCAACTTTACAGCAAAGAGCGGGAAGCGGAGCAAAAAAAAACTTATGCAAAAAAAGGAAAGTGGGAAAGATGGATGAAAAAAAAATGTCTAGAGCTTGCTCTTGGCGCCAATGACGCCAAGCTCGCGGCCAATGTCAATGAAAGCAGCGGCAGCCTGACGGATCTGTTCTTCAGAGTGTGCTGCCGACAGTTGGACGCGAATACGGGCCTCTCCCTTAGGAACCACTGGGTACGAGAAGCCAACCACGTAGATACCACGCTGCAACATCTTGTCGGCAAATTCCGAAGCAAGGCGAGCATCTCCCAGCATAACAGGTGAGATGGGGTGGTTGTCGCCCTAAGATAAATAGAAACCCCAAGAAGGTGATGAAGGTGTTAGAAGTGGTCAAAGAAATCGTCGCCCGAGTTGACATGATCCTGTCCAATTGACAATCAATACCTTGATGGTAAAGCCGGCGTCTCCAAGAAGCTTGCGGAAAAGCGTGGTGTTGCCCCAAAGCTGGTCAAACAGTCCATTCGTCTTTGCACTTTCGATGAGATCCAATGCGGCGCTGGCAGAGCCCACAACAGCTGGGGGCAAACTGTTCGAGAACAAATAGGGGCGGGAGCGGTTGCGAAGCAAATCAATCATCTCTTTGCAGCCGGTGGTGTAGCCACCAGCAGCGCCTCCAAGCGCCTTTCCAAGAGTAGAGTTGACAATGTGGACGCGATCCTGGACACCAAAGTATTCAGCGGTACCGCGGCCGTTGGGTCCCAAGAAGCCGGTCGAATGGCAGTCGTCCACAAAGATCAAGGCGTTGTACTTTTCGGCAATATCGCAGATCTTGTCCAATGGGGCGATCTTGCCGTCCATGCTGAACACACCATCCGTGGCGATCAACTTGAGGCGGGCGCCGGCCTTGTCGGCCTCCTGAAGGCGAGCCTCAAGGTCTATTGATGGAGAAGGAAAAGGTATAATGTCAGGAGGCATATATGTATGTGTACCTTTGTGGCAGAAAATAACGAGGCCGTTCTTTCTCCTTTTCTGTGACGTTTCAGTAATGCGTGCGCCCTTTTCAAGGTCTATCAATGGTGCGTGCAAACGTACCATTCATATCGCAGTTTTTGTAGCGGAAACGCTTAGCCTTGCAAAGACGAATTCCATCGATGATACTGGCGTGGTTCAAGGAGTCAGAGATTACGGCATCCTGGTCGGTGAGGATGGTCTCAAAGATACCAGCGTTGGCATCAAAGCAGGAAGCGTAAAGGATAGTATCTTCGGTGCCGTAGAACTTTGTGATCTGGTTTTCAAGGTCCTTGTGGATGTTCTATTGAGACGAGATAGCAAAAAAAAGGGGGGATACAAAGAGCAAAGAAAAAAAGGGCGATTAGAGTCATAGCGAATTGATTAAGAGATAGCCCAACCTTTTAAACAGAACCTTTTCAGGCAACGTCTCTTTACCTGAGTACCACAGATGAAACGAACACTGCTCAGTCCAGAGCCGTGGGTATCAAGAAAGTGCTTAGAACGAGCAATGACCTCGGGATGGTCAGCAAGTCCCAAATAGTTGTTGGCGCAAAAGTTGACCTGGGCAGAGACCTTGCCATCCTTGCCGGCAACCCTGATGGCAGAGTTCTGGGGGGAGACAATGACACGCTCAGACTTGTAGGTGCCTGCGGCCTTGATGGACTCGATTTCGGTCTTGAGGACCTGGTTGAATTGTGTCTGGGCCTTGGTGGAGGACATTCTGGTGGAGGAGGTGAGAGGATTGAGGATGAGACGACGAGCGATGTTGACGTTGGAGGGGGAGGTGATGCGACGGAGCATAGTTAGAGAGACAGAAGGTGGGGGAATGATGAAAAGCGATGGAGGCAAGGACAGAGAAAAAAGAGAAGAAAGAGATCACTAAAACTTTTTTCCTTTTATTATATTATTGCGGTGTCCGTGGGAAAGTGTGGGAAGGACAGCCAAACACGGCCACAGGGTTTGTTCTGTTCAAAACCCACACCCACACCCACACAAACACAAACACAAACACAAACAAGATGCGGTCTGATTCCTGTACTCTACTTCCCTCCCCCCAAAGAAAAAACACACACCCACACCAACACAACTGAAAAAAAGAAAAAAGTCCGCTCAGCGGCATTCGCAATACGTTATCAGAATGATTCATTTTTTATCTTCATTTTAATGCACATCTACGAGAGCACCACTGTTCGCGTTTAGACGACGGTACCGGCGCAGGAGGCAATACGGGGCCACAAATCGGCGCACTCCTTACCGACGGGTCCGGTGATGGCCGATCCCTTCATCTCTCCCTTGGGGTTGACAATGACACCGGCGTTGTCTACAGGACCAAGGTGCAAGAAGAGAAGAGTAATTGTTAATTACATAGATCATGGTTGAAAAGTTCATAGCTGTTCGTTAATTGTTCCAGAAAACAGCTTAAACAGCTTGTTCTTTGAGCAGCAGGGAAAGAGAGGACAGGACTTACCCTCAAAGTAGATGAAGACACCGTCGCGACGGCGCCAGGCCTTGCGCTGACGGATAATGACAGCGGGCATAACTATAAAACGAATTCAATAAAAAGAGGCAACGTTCAGTGTCATGCAACAATTGCTGGCGAAGCAAACAAGCAACAGTTGCGATAGTAAACACTACGAGCAAACACACGAAAAACTCACCCTTCTTTCTCAACTCGGGCTTTCCCTTCTTGACGGTGGCCATGACCATATCGCCAACACCTCCAGCGGGCAACTTGTTGAGGCGACCGTGAATACCCTTGACGGAGATAACGTATAAGTTCTTGGCACCAGAGTTATCAGCGCAGTTCATGACGGCACCGACGGGGAGACCCAAGGTCATGCGGAACTTGTTTCCAGAAGCAGCTCCACCTATGTCGAGATAGAGAGACGGTACACAGAGTCAGCAAATACTGCTATAAAACAACTTTGACCGACAGCCCCTACGCTCGCGGCTTTCGAGTGCAGAGAAAGCGGGATCAAGGGTTCCCCCCCATGGCTGATCCTTTTTTTTGGAGGTTCTCTGTACTGTTGCTCTGCTCTGTTCTGGTATGTCCTGTTATGTCCTGCCATGCCCTACTCTTTTCTGTCCTGTCCGCAATCACTTTGTCTTCTAAAAAACGTAGTGTCCGCTTTGTCCATCTCCTCCGCTCCACCTGCATCCATACGTCCCATGACTGTATTACCACCTTGAAAGCCGAGCCAACATCACCACCAGATCCTGCTAACGGCACTGATGTCCAATTAGACGTTGAATCATAGTTTCCCCATGCAGATTGGACTTTTGAATTCTTTTTTTCCTGACTAATCGCCTCCTGCTTGATGGGAACGATGAATAGTCCAGAGTGAAGACTGATGTAAGGTTCTGGGAGGTTCCCAACTGAGAATAAAGAGTGTGATGTTGTTGACCAGCTCTCCAAGATGCTTTTCCCCCGTCCTGTGAACCAGACCACGACCCAACCACCCCAGGGGTCCCACAAGAATAGGAGCAGCCATTCTCCCTTTTTTTCCCGACTGATATGTGTGCTTGTCGATGTTGGTTGCATCCTGGTAGCGAAGATGATGGCGATATGGCTACTGAAGCAGACGGATGGGTCAATGGACGGAACGGGGGGTTGTCCATCCATCCATCATCCAACCGGGCCTGAAAATTGGGCGCACCTTTTGCGGACATTGTTGGTTATGATTTGAGGGGCCGTGAAAAGTATCGACTCTGCCACCATCAAATAATGTAGACCTGTCTTAGATACCCTTAAGCTTACTTGCTACAGGCCAACTGATGCACGGACCTGGTTCATGATTTTTTAGTATCACTTTTGATCATTCTTATCTCCATCACCACCTGAGACGATACGCTTATTTTGTTTTGCTCTTCATTTTATTACAGATTCTGGCTGATAGAATAATATAACGTGTAGCTTGGAAGGAGAGTGATCATAGAAAAGGAGGGTGAAATCGACCAAGAAGAAGGCGGGAGGGTATGAAAGTCATAAGGGAGAAGACATTATCGAAAAAGGACCAAAAGACTATAAAAAAAACTATTAGAGGACCGACCAGCAATCCCTTCTTAGACCTGTATCGCGCCCAAGTCCACCTCCTCGCCAGCAACAAAGACCCGCTTCACATACAGATCGTCCGACAAAAAGACCAAGTCCGCATCAGCACCAGGCTTTATCACGCCCTTGCTCTCCTGGATGCCTAATAGAACTGCCGGGTGTAGTGTCACCGCTTCCAGTGCCTCGACCACCGAACAAGACGTGAACTGAATAAAGTTGCGCATGCAGGCATCCAAAGTGATGACACTAGATGATGGACAGCAAAGGTCACCGTCATTGTTAACGTTTGTGGGGTTTGAAGGTGATATCTGTCGGGACTCTGCGAGCTTCTTGCCCTCTTCTGTACTGTCGCCACTGCTACTCGGATGGCAGCTGCATTCACTCATTCCCTGCTCCGGAGGCGTGCTGTTCAGTGCTGCTGTTTGCTGTTGAATGGATGGAATGTCGAGTTGTTGCCGATGCTGCGATTGTTGTGGTTTAAACGAATCGTACGGAGCCCGCTCGCAGTCATCAGCATTGTCATCCGTGTCGGAAACAGATAAGCTCATGATGCGCATCCTATGCTCCGATCCTTCATAGTGTTCGCAATCATCGTACACATCGTGCTCCTCGTATTCCTCAGTGTGTACGATCAAAGTCTTCCAGAACCTTGCAGCAATGATTCCATGAACAATACTCTTCAAAGTCGTAGGCGAAGGGAGTTGGTCGAGCGTCGAAGGGATGCCGGAGGCCATCATTTTTTGTGGCGATAGGGGGGTCGACCCAGGTGGTGTCGGGAGGGATCCTTCATCGTGACGCTGCTTGTCCAACGATTCTTGTTGCTCTATTGTATACTGATCTATGCTGTGGGGACTGCGATGGTGAGAGGTCGACGGAACAGGTGTTTTGCCGTGGAAGGCGGTGTAGAGGAAGACGTTGAGTCGATAAAGAGGTGGAAAAAGTTGGCATAAACAGGCTGGTCCAGATTGATAAACGGGAACATATTCACCCCCCCCCCCCCCCCCCCCCTCCTCACTTCTTTCTTTCAAATGCACTCCATATATCTGTGTCGCTCTGGGCGTGTCATCATTACCTTCCAGCAAGAGTATCGGTACCCTCAATCACAACGCGATCTTCCTCTTTGGTAACATCCATGTTCCCGAGTCGGTAGTCCCCTGGCGAGAGACCCATGGCAGACATCGCATCGGTGACAAGAATGACTCCTTCTGGATGAGAATCGTATGCAATCTTGACAGAGTTGGGGTGGACATGTATTCCGTCGCAAATAAGGCCGTAGTAGGGTCGCTGTAAATCCAAGCGGGATCCAAGAAGACCGATAATGCCGGGGTCGCGATGGTGGAACTGTGGCATGGCGTTGAACAGATGCGTAATGAATGTTGCTCCCTGCAAGACAGCCTTCTCGGCCTGAGAGGTATTGGCCATTGAATGACCTAAATAGTTCCAAGCATCAATGAATAAAATGTCAGCCCCCCATTCTCTTCCTATCCTGCTGAAACAAAGCCATGCAATGCATCCATGATACTTACCAACTGAGACTGTGATCCCTGCTTTGACGAGATCAGGAATACTCTCCATCACGCCATCTAATTCTGGAGCACAGGTAATAATCTTGACGGACTGAAGATTCTCCTCGTTCAGCTTCCTTTGCGCCTCGGGTGTGTCGCCTTCGAATCCGTAAACGTTTTTGAAGTCCTGGAATCCGTTCTTGGCAGAGGCTTGAAGAACTTTGAGTTCGTGTGCTCCAACCCGAGCCTCGTTGATGAATGGGCCTTCTACATGGGCGCCGAGGATGCTGGCGCCTGAATCGGAAGAACCAGACCTTGGCTTAAGAAGTGGAAGGACCTACAAAAGATGCGCAATGCGGGATAGACCAATTGGATTAAATGGATGGTGTTGGTTAGTATCGAATGAGGGGTCGGATTGTATTGAATGTGGAGGTCAATCGGAAACCTTACCTGATGGTAGACCGCGGCACTGGAGGACACAATTGTGGGGCAATAGGAGGTTGTTCCGTACTTGAGCAGTCCTCGGCTCACTTTTGTCAAGCCCCGCTCATACGTGTCTTGGTCAGAAGGCACCGAAAAGTCTACACCAAAGGCGCCTACAGAGATGAATTGGATATGTTAATATTCAATGAAGGAATGGAACAATCCATTAGTCAAGAGCAGGATGGTGTAATGTGTGCGTTTTCAACCAGGGCAGAAGTACTATTGGCTTAAACGATGTGTGTGTGGGCCAAATGATCTTTTAGATTTGATCTTGATAACAACTTTCAGAGAAGAAAAGGAAGAACAAAGGGGTACTACGGACGCATGAAGAGGAAGGGTGGGAGGTAAACAAACATGCATGTAAAAAGAGCAAATCAAATAGTACAACTCGACTCGATTTCTCCCCTCCGTTCCAAACACACAAACACAAAATATGCAAACTTGCAAATACACGCCAATGCTCTCAAGATCGCAAAACTGATAACAGAGAGGTATGGGAAACAAATGCAACGAAAGGGAGTGTGTCTTCTCTTCCTGCGCAATTCGTTGGCCACAGAACATGCATGATCTTTTCTGATAACAAAAACATCACAATAACAATGCCAAGCCGGGCGGAAGAATGATGTGGCGCATGAGGCGTAACAAGAGGAAATAATAGGAGAAAGGAGAAATGCGAAAGGAAGGGAAGGGGAATGGATGGGATGGGAAGAGAAGGGAAAGAAAGACAAGGGAAGAGAAGGGAAAGAAAAGGGAGGGAAGGGAAAGAAAAGGGAGGGAAGGGAAGGAAAAGAAAGGAAAGAGACGTGGACAATGGGTAAAAAAGTTGGAGGGTTGTCGTTACCATTAATCTGCGTCTCAATGAATCCAGGAACAACTAACAGGCCCTCTGCATCGAGCACCACATCGGGGAGTCGCTTTTGGTACCAAAAGAACTTATGGGGGTCGATAATCTTTCCGTCTTGGATCCAAATGGCATCCTTTTCGACAATCTTGTGGTCTCTCAAGACGCGACAGTTGGTGATTTTAATGACTTTGGCCGTATTTTCGGGCAGCGGGGTGTTGGGTTCCGGAGAAGAAGGCGCCGAGATAAAGTTGTGGAGTTGTAGTGCTACGGGATACTGCATCTTGGGGGTAGGCAGCAATGTGCGTAAAGGATAGGTGAGAGGTGATAAGCGATAGTTGAGTGATAGGTGCGAGGTAATTGTGAAGGCAGGGTAATGGGCTGAAGAAAAAATAACGGGGAATCGGAGGATGGACAAGGTAAAGAGAGCGATGAGTGGTCGTTAAAGAAAAAAAGATGGATATGGTATTGAGGGTGGTGGCGGTAGTGGCGGTGGTAGAGGACGGAGTGGTGGTAGTGGAAAGGGTGGTGGTGGTACTCGATGGAGCCAACGGCCAACAGGAACGAGGGAGAAAAGACCAAAAACAAAAAGAAAAACGGAAAGACGCGGCTTTGAAAAGGGGGGTTCATTTATTCGAGATCTATGGGAAATGGGTCAAGTCGACTTCAGGATTCGCATGTTGCTGTTGAGGGGTGGGGACATAGTTATGGCTGGTCGAGAAGGGGGCAGGCGGGATAGATTGCTGCTGCAGTTGTTGCTCTTGCTGCTCTTGTTGCTGCTCTTGTTGCTGTTGCTGTTGCTTTTGTTGTAACTGAAGCTGCAATTGCTGCTGCTGCTGCTGCTGTTTTTGATGCAACTGCTGTAGTGTCTGGTGTTGGGGACGATACTGCGAGACCGGCTGATAAGGTTGGGGTTGCGGCAAAAGCGGTTGCGAAGGCTGTGGATGTGGCGGTGACTGTCCTGGTACTGATGCTATATTGGCGGCAGTCTCTCCGGCCACAAACCTGGAGGATAAGGACGATGGTTGACTCGATGTACTTGGAGGTGGTGATCCTGCCTGGGCGATGTTCGTCGGCACTCTTCTTGGGGGTGGGCTAGGTTGATGTGCGGCGCCATTCAGACCGCTCCGTCCACTGGTTGGAGGCCCATTCGACGTGGAAGTGCTTGAACTGCTGGTGGAGGGTCGCTCATGATTACTGCTTGACGATAGCCGCCCATTGTTGCTCTCACCATTGCTGCTTGTAGAGGGCCGGGCATCCTGAGCAAACAACTCGTTTGTGTGAACGATGAAGAACTCGATGGTGAGATTCTTGAACGTCATGTCCATGATCTCTCTGCTCGGGTCCGGGTTTCTCATCAGAGTAGGCCCAAAGACGACAGACAAATTCTTGGAGGTCATAAGGTTGATCTTGTCCTTTTGGGTGACACGGTTCAGATGCTCCAAGAGAACCTTCAGGGTGGCATAATGAGCTACTGGCATCCGATCCATCAAGTCCTTGAACGTCTGTATCTTTGCGTTGTTTTGAGGTAGGCTAATGGCCTCCATGAACTCGGCATACAGGTCGTACGGGATCAGCGGATCGGGAAGACTGCGGAGGTACTGCTTGAGGACCGAGGTGATGGAGCAAATGTCCTGATAGATCTCCGTGTCCATTAGATCCGGTTGCATGCCGATGTCGTATGCCTGCACCAGCTGCCTTGCCTCAGCAGCCATTCCCGATCGCCTGTAAATCCCCTCAACCTCCAAACCGCGTTCGTCCACAGCCTCAATGCACTTTTCTACCACCAATGGCACCAGACGTTGCTCGAGTTCCAGCTGATCTAAGAGGTCGTTGCCAAACATAATTTGCTTGGCGGGCGGGGGCGGAGGGACTCCGAAGCTACTTCCTCCACTAGGCGTGATATCGCGAAGACTGGAAGAGTCCGAATCCTTGATAACGCCTGCGCACCCAGGAATAATGTCATGCATACACCGTCCGTGAATATGGAACGCACAGTCTATTGGAGTCAGAGTTGCCGTAGAAGAAAAAAATTGGTTAGATTACCAGGTTCATAGGTGGCAACGAGTGCAGCCATTCGTGACGGTGATGAGAATACAACGTATACGTACAGCGACATCTATATTCACGACCCCATAGCTTGTCATCGCAGGCGTCGCATCGTATTGGTCGGGCAAAGTTGTTTAGAACGAAGGCGTGCTGTTCCGTGTTTTTTCCGTTCAATGACCGTGTCTCGCTGCTGTTAGAAAGCGTCCGGGTGGGTGGCAGCAACAGACTGTTGACACTTCCTGATTCCGAGAGAGACTGTCCCAATTTGGCGTGAGGGACCTCCAAGGTCGAGTTAGGCGCCTCGACAAGCAACTTGCCAAACATCGCGCCAACGGACTTGACTGTGCTGGTGGTGCCCTTTTTCCAATTGAACTTTTTCGGTACTGTAAGTCCCTCTTCAGTATTGTCGTCGCCCATATCCTCCTTTCTGGCCTTCATGATTGTAGGATTTCTGGTTTGATCGTCGGAATGGGTAGAATTAAAGGAATATGTCGATTCGCCGCTGCCGAGAAGAGCCCCGCCTCTAAGGTCCGACTGGTTTCCTCCGCTCATCTGACGTTGCCGCCTGATCTTGTCGGTGAAGGATTGGATCATACCGTTGTTGGGTGGAGTTGTTGTCGGCTTGGTGTCCATCCGTCCCTGCATCTCTCGCATCATATCGTTATTGATAGTCGACAACTCCGCGTTTCTGACACTCAGGATCTGCATCTCGTTGAGAACGCCATCGCGTTGATCGACATAAAGCTGAATGTCGCGCTGGAGTCGATCCTTTTGTTCCTGGAGTGCTTTCACCTCCATAAGGTATGCCTGCTTCATGAACTCGTGATTAGTGCTCAGGCGTGGGTTTTGCACTGTTGCCGGTTGCAGTTTATCGGTTCCAGATTCCAGCGCTTCCTCTTTCGCCCTAGTTTATCATATCAAGGTAAAAATATGTACTGTTAATACTCACGTCCATCACAAAGGAGCATAAACAGCACACCAAACTGGTTTCACTGGCGCTTACTTCAGCTCGTTGTTCATAGCTTCGAGGTCCATCCCTAGCATGTCTTTCTCGATATACATATCGCGGATTGCTTTCTCCAGTTCAGCATGCTCCTGAGACAGTTTCCTCGTTTTGTCCAACAAAAGCCCATATTCCTGTTGTGTCGTTCCATGAAGTAAAGGACTCATGGGATTATACTTGGCCAACTCCATCCGCAGTTCCCGAATCATTGCCTCGGCCTCCTGCAGAATCATAGTATCGTCCTATCCAACGCAACATCACAAATGAACCTTAGAGTTAGAGGCAAGCAAAACACTTTTTTACGAGCTGGGATGAGGTAAAATAATAATTACCTCCGCATTGCCTTGGTTATGAAGTGGTATTGAGTCACTCGGGTGATCGGCTGGCGTTGTCTCCTTGAGCAGTGGAGCCATGTCATGACCGTCGGTGGAAGACCGCGATGTTTCCGAGACTGACACAGTGTTGTACAGGGCTTTTGGAGGCAAGCTGTGGCGTAAACTGGCTCTGCTAATGCTAGCGCGAAACGAGTTGATGCCCAAAGAGCTGATAATCTCCGCGTCTTTTGCTGGAGGCGTTGGAGGATTGGAAATGAATCCTTGTTTGTCGCTGGTCTCCGATTCAGGACCTCCTAACATGTCGCTAAGGTCGAAACTGCTCGTAGAGGCATCGTCTAGTCCGAAGATCAAGGGTGGCAGGAACGGTGGTCCGACATCGACGGAAGGCAAACCTGGATCAGCCTTTGAACGGTAACCACCGTGAGAGTGTGGAATGACTTTGTTGGATTTTGGTGAATTTGTTTTGTCAGACTGCAGACTGAAGAAAGGTAGCCTTGGCATGTCTGAGCTCGACTGATCCGCCACGGGTGCGTCGACGACCTTTGAATTATGCTGGGTATGATGCTGGTGTTGGTGGTTATGCTGATACTGCTGTTGTTGATGTTGTTGTTGTAGATGCTGCTGGTGTTGTAGATGCTGTTGTAGTTGATGATGCTGTTGCTGTTGTTGATTATGCTGTGGTTGCGCTTGCCGCTGCGGAAAGTCTCTGGATATGGGATTGTTGGCGATCTCCTTGACAGTGCTGGAGTTGGAACGGCTATGAGTTGTTGCAGCGGGCGAATCGGTCGTTGTCGAGAATGTATTTTGGGATCGCTTCTATGGGGGAAAGAAGAGGGGAGCAAGAAGGTAGAGAGTGCGTGTGAGAGAGAGAAAAGAGAGAGATTGGCTGCAAAATTTCCACAGACGAAAATATCCCTGTCCCTCGGAATGACTGAGACTGAGACATTGGCGTTGTGCTCAACAATTTGTTCCTTACCTCGGCCTCTGGGATCGTAGGAAGGAGCTTCTCCATCATCCTCTCAGCTCGCGCCATCCTCTCCCGTTCCTCGCGTAGGCGTTTCGCTTCCTTGCGTTCCTGATGGCACTTCATGCAGTAAATCCCCTGGGACGTCTTTGCAAAGACCAGATCGTCAATCTTGGACTCGCACTGGATACAGCGGAAGCAGTCTGCATGGTAGGCTTCGTCGCCTGTACAACACATACGGTGAGGGATAAATAAGGGCAAGGGTCAGCAATTGTCGATCATAGGAAAACCAAAACACGCCTCTCAACCCTGAGGTCTGTACCTGTCATAATGGCTTCGTCGAGGATTGGTCGCCGGCAGGAGTTGCAGTTGTAGGAGCATTGCTCGCAAATAGGGCTCCCATCGGACAGTAGGAGAAGGTTGCTATCACACTCGACCCTGTTTTTACACTTTGCACAACGAAAGCTAAACAGTCATTAAAGTAGCAAATAAGGGACACTGTGTCAGCAAGCAAGCACAAGGAATCACCATCACACACCGTCTGTCTTTGCCAATGGAGTGGTCTAGGGACGGTGAACTAGTCAAGTAGTATGAGAAGAGAAAATGGAAGGAAGAACTTGCCATTGGACATGCCAGAGACCTTCGCCAAATGCGACGACACTTCCTTCTTCGATGGACCGGTGACAACCAAGGCAGACAGGGTCCTGATCATCCATTGTGTTTAAGAGCAAGAGAAAAGAGCAGGGAGGGTGAAGGTCGGTTGGGCGAAGGGAGTCGAATGTAGTTGTAGTTGTGGTTGTGGTTGTCGTTAGTGGATGTTGTTGATTTGGAGGGAAAAGAGATGATGGTGCAGCAAGAAGAAAGGGGTTGAGAGGGGCTGTTCAGAGGGGAAACGAGCGGGAAAAAGGGGTTTGAGGGAGGCTGTTGGATTGATTTGAAGGGACATACAGACAACCAACCACCTGTCGCCTTTCTTTCTCTCTCTCTCTCGTCTCTCTTTTTCTTTTTCTTTTTTTCTTCTGTCTGTCAATGTATTACTTGGGGTCCAAGAGCCCATCTTTCATTTCAGATAAAATACACACGTGACATGACCCTTTTCTGCCGCCAACAGGTCAACAAATGATGGTGCAAGTGGAGAGTGAAGAGCGAGCGGAGAGGGGAAAGAGGATCGGTTGGCGCCCCCCTTTTGAAGTGACAGGTGGTGTGTGAGGATGTACAGCGTGATCATGAAGCAGGAGGGACCATGCGTGCAGAGCAGAGAGAGAGAGAGAGAGAGTTGCTCTTCATTATCGTTTGCAGGTCGTGTGTTGTGTGTGTGTATCCATGTGCGTCGTGTGTGCATGTATGTGTTGTGTTCAAAAAACAAGAAAAGTGGCCTGATCATTTTTCAGGCACCATCAGCACCGGCCCAACCCAATCTGTCTGATATCATTCCAGTCGTCTGACAGTCCAAAAAGCTCCACGACGCATTATAATTCCATCTTGACGTCGATCCTTCTTCTATCTCTCATACTTCTTCCTCTTCTCCCTTCTCCTCCTTTCCCTTCCTCCCCTGTTCTTCACTATTCTCTTTCGTCTTCCTCTCGCCCTCCCCCCCCCTTCTCTTCCCCCCTTCCCCCTCCCCTCTCTCTCCATATCATACCACCCGCAAAACAGCTCCTTACTCGCTTCACTTCTAAGCCCACCACCTATATACCCACCTCCGCCAAGCCCACACATCCCACTCCCATTCACTCTTCCTTCATCAATCGCATACCACTACATTCCCTTTGCCGTCAACAGTCAATCAACCCTCATTACCTCTCTTTCCCCCGCAGGTACTTGCCATGCTGCCATGCAAAACCTAAAGCATATACAAATCTCATTACGTGTTTCAGTACGCCTCCAAACTACAACTAATTTTTTTTTATTGGGATAATAGCAAAGGGCACTCTGCCTCTCATGGAAACTATTTATGATGAAGAGTACAGCGGTGGTGAGTACTAATAGTCAACCCTGCAATGAATTAGGACGTGCAGTACCAAGGGTATTAATCAAATGTACCTTTTTGAATTGGTTGTGGACAGATATCGAGTCGTCCGTTGCTAACCTCGCCTTCAATGACCACTCGAGGCTAATGGAACGATCGACATCTTCGCCGTCCTTCAAGAGATTAAAGGGAAGAACAAGAACGCCTTCATTCTCGACTTCGTGGCGACCCATGACTGACGCCACCAACATCCACGATACTCATCCCATCCCCAACGACACCGTGCCATCTGTCGCTGTCAAGCAACACCTTCCTCTGGACTCTCCCGACCTTCCAGTATCCCTCGTCAGCCCGCCCAGCAGCACTGGACCTCATTTAGCAACACCACCTTACTCGCTCCCCGATTGGATCACTAATACAAAACTCGGTAACGACAGACATCCTCGCCGTCATGATACTCATGATCTTCCTGCCAGTGGTCGTCGTTACTCCCAAGGATCCTTCGGCTCCTACTATGGGACTCTTCATGGGCAGCAACCCCTTTCAGACCGATCAACATCTTCTAGTCACCATCGACCAAGCTCAAGCTCAGAGGATTCCGTGGACTCCCATACTTCTGCCCCCGTCCTGTCTATTCTACCCTCACATAACAAGGCAGTCCGTCGTGCCTCATATAGTCAGGAACTTTCGGCCCCTATTCCCATCCAGCCACAGCTTTCATCGGCGCCATCGAGGCAACAAAGGCGGAAGGCACCAACTCCTCCGCCATCCCTTCTTTCGCCATCATTGACAACGACCAAAGTCTCCAGATCTTTATCGACAATCCACGGCATTTCTGGATCCAGCTCTGCACAAAGTCATGCCATTCATACTCAAAAAGACGACCACGCAACGACTATCTCAAGCAGCAACGAAAGCATCAAAGGAAGCACCATTTCGGTATCTGCGCCTCTATTATCGCCTACTACTACACTCGATTCACCAGCAATCCACAGCTCTCAAAGTCAAGACCTGATTGGACCTAAGGATGTCAGTACCGGACCTACGAATTGCGAGTGCCCTGAGCACTATCGATACGCGATCCTGTCCACCGTTGTCCCGATGCCGTTGGATGTGTGTTTTGAGTGGCTCTACTCGTCTCAAGGACTTGGGCACGAGGATCATCTAATCAAGAAGGCACACGCCATTGTGAATTCCTCGCCTCACATTGAGATCTCCCCTTGGGCAAAACCAGGACTTGAGACCTCTACCGCCGATACTAGTGGGTGGGAAACTAAGAAGCGACAGCTCCACTACTCTGTAACCTTCAAGATTCCGATGTGTAAGTTGGAAAACATTTACCGTTTTGAATGCAGTGTTGTCTGAGTTATGTGTGTGCCCCATTCTAACCTTCAATGGCGGCATTCTGTTACTAGTGGCAAAAACGTCGACCTTGTGTAGTGAAACTCAAGAGATCCTGGAACACAACACCCATTCCATACGCCTCCACACAGAATCGACAACACCCAACGTTTTATACGGCGATATGTTTTCAACCGTCAACCAAGTCTGCCTTACATTGGAGTCACCGGGGATGACCAGGATCAGGTGCTTTGCGGAGGTCAAGTTCAAGAAGTCGATTCTTTGGAGTAGCAGGATTGAGGCGAGCGCAATGCAGGGATGTGGGTCGTACTACAAGGAGCTTCTTCGGGAACTCATGGAGATGGAGCCGACACTATTACAGGAATCATTACATCCAGTGCGACCTTCAGTCATTCGTTCTAATACTTCCGACAGTGCTCAGACGAACCAACAGCTGCAACATTCCTCAATAGCGACCAATTTGGCGACCTACAATACCACATCGTCTCTGGAGGCAGCACCTGTCATGGCACGATCATCGTCTCAAGGCTTTATCGGGGTCAGTCCAGCACACTCACTCCTCGCCCAGCAATACTTGAAGAACCCTCCGACCGTCTCCAGAATTTCAACCATCTCAACAGACAATTCTACAGAATCCATCATTACCAGTACCACCACTACCAGCATCACATCAGCCGACAGCATCACCCCTACCGGCCCCTCTAAGCTCGTGGCCCTGAATAGGTCGGCAAGTGCTATTTGGAAGAACATTGTTCAGACGTCCGTTGAGCTTTTGTCCAAGCCGCTTTCGATCACGGTCCCCAGTTCCAATGGTAGAGTCACGACACGTAGTGGCCACGATAGCTGCATCCAAGGTGATTCTGACACCGTCAACGAAGGACCTCTTTCCCAAGGCGGCAACCAATCATCGACAGCCGTGTCAAGTCTGGATGAATCGGCACACACAGTTGTTGAGGCAGATGGTTCTGGTCAAGAATCGACGGTGACGAGTGCCGAGCCGGGGATCCTATCCAAGGTGGAGAGCGACACTGATGCTACGGTGCCTAAGCGGGTGGCCTCACCTATTCAGGCAAGTAGCAGGACGTTATGGCTTGTCCTTGCTGTTGCGATGGTAATGTCGGTGCTGAACATGTGGTGCCTGTTTCGAACGGTTTCTTCAATGGCTAATGTTATTCATAACAGCCACCAAGGACGACAACTTTCGACGGCGCATCTCCCATACCCGCATCACTGGCTGGACAGGACTGGTTGTTTCCATGATGGAGGCATTGGGTCTCCTCGGATGTTATCAACGCATTTGCACTCACTACCTCTTCATGTTCAAGCAGATATGCTGAGGTCCGAGATGAACGACCTTACAAATTTGCTGCAGATTGTACGTGGAAGCACAGAACATTAAATCCTCACCATTGTTCGCGTTTTAATTACAAAATGAGACTGTCGATAACCCCTTTCCCACCCTATTATGCAGAACATAGTGACTGAATACTCCTTCGTCTTTCGCCTTTTTCTTACATCCTCTTGAAGCCCTTTCCTCCTTCTTTCATCAAGCGCCTCCCCTTCTTTCTTATCCTTTCCTCCAGCCTCAAAAACAAAGCAGCGACTAGCACCTATTGCATCCTTTCACAATTCACACTTGTTCTTCTCATTCCTCATCACATCTCTTCCACCCATCCCAACAACCCATAAATAAATACAACTCAAACGCACTTACCACCAAGTTCCAACAGCGACGGGATGGCTCTCTTGACAGCCCCACCCAAGTTCTCAGGCTCGAACCGCGAGAGCCCTCGTTTATCTCCCCACAAACGTAGTCCAGACATCGAGCACACTTCTCATATCCCGGGTTGTAATGAAAGCGACAACTACAACTACTGCGACAACGACGACAAAGAGACAACAACAGCCAACAGTCAGGGCAAAGCAGAACAATGCGATCATCAATGCAACAGGCCAGTTGACAATAACAGTCGCAGCAGCTACAGATACAACCATGGTGTCGACCACGATACCAGCTATCAAGACAACTTGTACGAAAAGTCGGAACCTCTCCTTCTCTTCGCCGATCGCTCGCGTGGTCACTTCTTCAACAACAGCAACCACACCAACAATACCACCACATCCTCCAGCTCACTCCTCCACAAACAGCAGCAGCGGCAACAGAAACAACCTTCACAGAGATACACAGCAGCGCCCTTGCAATACCTCTTTCGACTGATCAACATCCGGGCCGCCCCCCTCACTCTCCTCTTCTGTTTCGCGGTTCTGAACTTGTTCCCCTGGCCACCAATGCCAGTCGCTACAGCAGCCTCCATATATATGGCTGGGGACTTGGAAGGTATGAAAGAAAATAAAGAACGAAAGAATGACAGAGTGAAAGATACAGTGGTACATTAGAGACTATCCCACTCGATGCGACAAAACCATCGGGGATAACCACAGCATACAAATGTGTAACCCCTGTCCGTTCCCTCTTACGTCCTTTATAGCTCCCGAATGCGACTCTTGCTCAGACCGCGCCAGTCCCCTCGTCACTCCCATACAACAATCCAGCATTATATTCTCAAACCCCCCTTCTCCAGCTCTGGCGCACAAGCCTCAAAAACCGTCCGGACCTCCCAAACTACCTCACCTTGCCAAGAGGATCCCTCGACCTATCACCCTCTACAACGAGACCTTGATCGACTACTACCGTTGGATGCACTATCTCGACCAGGATCCCGATGTCGAGGCCTACATTCAAGCAGAGTCAGAGTACACCGCAGCATGGATCGCCCAATCTGGGGTTGAGAACCTAGAGAAGCAGCTGGATCTGGAGGTCAGTCAAATCAAGACCTCAATGGCAGCCCAACCTAAACGCGGTGGCCGCCCTTCCTTGGATGATTCCAACGATGAGACCGCGGATGACTTGATGCAGACCGAAGATGGCCCGTCCGGGAGTCGCAGTGACGTGAACAAGCCCAAGGTGGAACATCTAGAGCGGACTCGATTTTGGGACGTCGATCGATGGCGATATTGGCTAGATGGGACGGAGGGCAACTATGGTGTTTATAAGCGGCGGCCTATTCCGGCGGGTGCGTATCAAAGGACTATGGAACTTGCGCGACGGACGTACGTGACGCCGCGACATGCGTCAGAGTCGAGCTCTGACCGTGAACCTGGATCACTCTCGCAGTCTTCACCCTCACAATTTCGATTCGTCATTCCATCAACGCCAGATGGTCGAGGCAAGGACAAGGCAATGGACGTGGACATGGACATGGACAAGGACAAGAAAAAGGACAGGGTCAAGACAATTGGAGGTTGTACGTTCGAGGCACATGTCTCTGCCTTTGACGTCCAAATTGTTCTGGACGTCAATCGGTTGGCCAAAAAGGTGAAGCGCAAAGGAGGCGGTGGTCAGTTTTCATTCGGTGCAATTGAGATTCAACCTCAACACACGTCGCTGAAGCATGACCGTAGTGTCCACTATAATCCGAACAGCACGGCCGGAGGCGAAACAAGCACGGAGAGGTTCCTGGCATATACCTACGATGTTTCGGGAGACGAGCGGTATCACATCAGGATTATGCCGCTACCGTCGGCACCATGTTCAAGATCGACTCCATCCACTCGTTTGTCAAGACGTTCTGCGCTCAGCCTAGCCTCGGAATGCGAGCGACAGCCATCGCCCGCAGAGTTCGATTTCGACAACTGGTGCGAAACGCCGGATCAAGGTCGTCTTATCATGACGTTGGAGGGGAATGTGCTCAAGGATGCTGGAGCAGAGACACGATGGGTGAAGCTGGGTCAGGAGTTGTTCTTGTATTTTACCAGGCTGGATCCCAAGGGTTTGTCGAAGGAGGTGTGGCGGGTGAGGATCGATTCTTTAGATGCGGCTGGCTCTGGCTTCGATAATGGTCAGGACATGGACCAGTCAAAAACGAAACTCCGACAGCCTCCTAAACTTGTACCTGAGCTGGTGATGCGCGAGAAGGACGAGCGGAATGTGCTTTTGATCTCGCAGACCAACGACGAACGGTACCTACTCATCGAGGTATGTGTTTTGTACTGCCCGACCTTGGTTATTTTGGTTGGTGTTCGCTGCTCTTGTTGACAATCTACTAATGAGGTTCTTCCTTTGGTGCTACCTGTGTTGAAATAATCATAGAGCGCCGGACAGACCAACAGCCACACCTACTTTCTCAGTATCGACAGCCCCGAAGCAGGATGGCACATCGTACGACAACCCGAGGAAGATGTCCTCTACAAGGTCGAACATCACTCAGGGCACTTTTACCTTCACACCAACCACAACAACGCCCCCAATTTCAAGGTACTTCGCATCCCGGTCGAGACGTACCTTAGCAATAACCTTCAGACTTTGGTTGAGACGCCTGTAGAGATTGAACGACTTACAGATCGACCCAGGTCGCAAGCTCAGTCGTTCTTCCTGCAGTATATTGAGGACGAGGTTGTGGTCGCACACGATCCTAGCGAGTACCTGGAGCGATTTGAGGTCTTTGTCGAGCATTTTGTTGCATGGGTCTGGCGAGGTGGACTGCAGGAGTTTCGTATCTTTCGGGCGCCTCACCCCAGTGAAGGAGATGGCCCCAATCCCGACTTCCCTCTCACGGAACTACAGCGAGTTCGGCCGTACGATCCCGAGTTCAAGGTTGCAACAGTGATGCCTGGGAATATCCGAGATGAGGATGAGCGACTCTTCCGCGACTTTTATTCGACAAGACTTCGATACTCAAACTGTTCCTTCATCCACCCTTGGGCGCTTTACGAGCTGGAGATGGACGATCTGACACCCTTGACGACAGCGAGGAATTCAGAGGCGGACGATGACAAGGTCAGGAATGCGACCAAACTAGTTTGCCAGGAACCTTTCCCTGTTGGTATACGGTATGGTCAGCCTGCACAAGAGTCCCCTCAAGACACCGGTCTTTCGCCCAAGGATGCAGAGAAGGAGCAGAAACGGGAGATGAGTCGGTACAAGGAGTTGCGCATCATGGTTGAATCAACGTATGGCACCAAGCATCCACACGGCCAAGACAAGGTCATGATTCCAATCTCCATAGTCTATTACACCTATCCGGATGGCGACCGCTTCCCACGCAAGGCCGGATTTTTGAATGCGTATGGAGCGTATGGTACTTTGACGTCTCCATCTTTCGACCCTACCAGGATGTTGCCTCTTCTTCGCCGCGGTCTTGTCTATGTTCAAGTCCACCCCCGTGGAGATGGAGTCATGGGACCCAGCTGGTACATTGACGGCAAGCTGGAGAACAAGAGGAACACGTTTTACGATGTCGAAGACGCCCTGCTGTATCTTCGGGACTCTGGTATGGTCGAGCCTGGAGGGGTAGTGGTTCAGGGCCGCAGCGCTGGAGGACTGGTCACGGGATGGATTGCCAACCGGTGGGGTGAGGCAGTCCAGCCTTCACCTGGCAGTTCCATAGGTGACCGTCGTCAGCGTAACAACAACGGCGACGACATTGACGTAACGAAGAGAGGCGAATCCAAGAATATTGTGCGAGAGATGGTCAAGGTCGTCCTGGCACAAGTACCGTTCTTGGATGTGATTGCGGGCATGTCGGACCCGAATATCCCGTGGGTGGAGTACGAGTGGTCAGAGTGGGGGTCGCCATTAGAGAGCCGTGAGATTTTCGAGGTGATGAAGGCCTATTCACCCTACGACCGTGTTCGCAACCAACCGTACCCGGCGATGATGGTGATGGGGGGACTGTCAGACGGTCGAGTCAGCTATGCAGAGCCTCTCAAGTTCGTTGCCAAGTTGCGGAGCATCGACGGCAAGACGAATGACTGCCAGTCGGTGGAGGAGAAGCTTGACCGGGGAAAGAAACGGATGTGTGCTGGCGAGAAGGAGACGCCCTTGTTGCTGCAGATGGAGGATGGCGGTCATTTCAGTGGCAGCAGTTCTCTCTGGATGGCGTTTGCTCTTTACCATCTTGAAGCTGACAAGGGTGTGTTTGACTCGTTCCTTGATTAATTATAAATGAATTTTTTTTATGACAGATTACTATGGTACATTGCTGCAACTAAAGAACGTAAAGGAAAGAAGAGAGAAGGGTGGAACGAAGGAGGGAGGAAGGAGAAAGGCTAGCAGAGGGGTTCATGCAAGACGTTGGCGATATCGATCCATTGCATTGCGCGGACGACCTTATCCGTCCTGGCTGTGGGCTGATCGTCGTGTCCCCAGGAGGTCCACTCTTGAAACTGTGCCGCGGTTTTCATAGCCTTGCGCTCTTCCTGCATACCCTTCAACATGGCCTCATATTCTTGGTCTTCATCTTCCAGGTCCATCATGTCCTGGTTGGGCTTTGCGCCGTTGCTGGCGCTGTCTTGAGTATGTCCTTTTTGCTCGGCCAGATTGTAGATTGTGCCGATGTATCCTGCGGGGACTTTCATCACGGTCCCCTTGAGTGTCCTGCCCCGGAACGAGACCTCGGGCGCGATGACGGATGTTGTTGACTCCAATACTCCTGCTGCTGTTGTTATTGTTCTTGATGTTGTTGTTGTTGTTGTTGCTGCTGCTGAGGCATGGTCTAGCGTGGACGGGTACGTTCCGTCGACGAGGAAAAAGAATCCGGGGATGTTGGCCTTGCCGTCGTGTTGGATTCCGCATGGCAAGAGATGAAGGGATGTTTGATCGAGCGTCCTGAGGGATGATGGGTGGAGGTGAGCGGCGGGCTGCTCGAGGACTGATTCTGTGGTCGCCATGGTTATTATGAATGCGAAAGACGGGTGTGTGCGGCGGGACTTTGTTGTTTGGGCGGTGTGTGGGGGGAGGGATCTTGAACCTTTGCTAACTGCGTTATTTTTTTTTTCGTTGATGCGAGCAAAGTTGGGTTGTGGTTATGATTTTGTTCTGGGAAAAGAAGAGAACAGGGACCGACAAATTCTGTCCAAACAAATGTTTTGTCGCTTGGTGGCGTGGCGCGTGTCACAATTTTGGGTTTTGGCTTTTTCTTTTTTTTTTTTTTGTTCCTGGACGAGATAAAACTATGGTGAGAAAGTGAGGGAGGGAAACCATGGGGGTTACTTGATGTATGTAGGTGGTAAAGATGTGGCTGTCCAGCAAGCCGAATTGGGCTTTTATTATTATATAAAAAGAGATAGATATGTAACAAAGAGAATGGACTCGCTACAAGAAGGAGTCCTTTTAGGAGATATAAACAATTAGATGTGTAAAGGGGAAGCACCTTAGTACTTGGCAGGGGCAATTCCAATGCGGGGAGTGGTACCCTGGTCAAAGACACAGTAGTTGTTCTTGATGAACACATCTCCCAAGATCCAGAGATCATCCTGACCACCCTGGATACCAGAGTAGCAAAGACCAGAGCCATCGCCAAGATCCTCGTAGGCAACATCAGCAACAGGGATGTTGAAGATGGTACCGCCCAACTTGAAGCCGACATTGTCAGAGCTCGACTGGAGCGAGCAAGGGACGGACCAGTAGGCGGACTGGGTGCGGGTGGCGGCGGTGAAGACGGAGCCGGCAATCTTTTGGTGGACGGCCTTGGCAGCAGCAGTGCCGATGATGACGAGGGTGGTACCGGTGTCAACGATGCCCTGGGCGGACTGTCCCAACGAGGCACCGTTGTAGGTGATGTCGGACATGGGGATTTGCCAGTAGCCCTTCTGGGAGACGTTGATATAGGTCAACGAGCCAGTGTAGTGGTTAGCATTGATGCCGCCAAAGAGGTACTCTCCACCGACACCGCCGTTGCGGCGGTAGGAAGGCAAGAAAACGGAGACGACGGGCTGGGCAAGGACACCAGCGGCAATGGCGTTGTCGAGGAAGGTCTTGACACCGGCAACGGACTCGATGGTGTTGAAGCCGAGACCGAAGAGGCCGTCTTCGGGGGAGGTGCCGAAGGAGGCGGACTCGGCGGTGGCGAGGCCAATGGTCTGGCGGACCTGGATGCCTCCGACGCTGACAATGTCGGAGCCGAGGATACCAGAGGCGGTGGAGCCGTCACCGTAGCCAATGTTCCACTTGCGGCCGTCCTTCTGGAAGGTCGAGGAGGTGGCAGAGTTGAAGCGGACGTGCTTCTTGCAGGCGGTGGTGGTGCAGGTGCTTGAGGGGAACCAGATGTCAGACGAGCCCTATTGGAATGGAAAACCAGTTGAATTGTTTGTTAGCAAACGGACATACATAGTGGTCGTTACACAAACGCGGTCGTGAACACACTTTTGACAGGCAAAAATGGGATGTAACAAAAAAGGGAGAGAAGCAAGATCCACATACGGTATCAAAGTCAAGCTTGACGTTCTGGGCAGGGGTACCGACAGAGACGGTACCGTAGTACTCAATGTCGTGATCGACATTGACCAAAGGGACAGTTCCGGTGCTGGCAGCGCGGATGTTTCCGTAACGGGAGTTCATCTTGTTGATCTGGGCTTGAGTGTTGTGCCTGTAGTTGGGGTTGCGGGTCAAGGGGACAGCGTGGCCGTGCTTGGGCGAGAACTTGAGGGGCGAGGCATCGGCGATGGCCAAGACGGCGGCGGCCAAGGAGACAAGGGCGGTGATTCTCATTATGAGATGATTGGTTTTTTTGTGGAGTTGGTTGTGGTGGTTGAAAGAGGAAGAGGAGGAGAGAGAGGAGGATGAGGAGCTTGGATGGAGAACAAAAAAAGGAGGAGGGAATGTCGATTGCTTTTATACCAAAATGGTGAATTTGTTTGCTTGCTTTTCTCCTCTTATTTCAAGTGTTGAATGAATGAATGAATGAATAAATAAATAAAGATGATATGAATGTCAACTGAGAGAGTGAACACGATGGATTAGAAAAAGGAGTACTCCTTTGTCGTTTCTCTCAAGGGAGGTTCAGAAAACTGATTGTCCTTGTGGAAAAATGTCGCGTAATAATTACAGTTCAACGCTAGCCTCGTCCAGGGATGATGAGAGTGTGAGCATTCGACCTTGTTCTTGTTTGTTTTTGTCCCTGAAGAAGGACTGAATGCACTGGAGCAAATGAAGAGAAGAGAAGAGGAAGATGATCCACCAAGGGTTGAAGAGAAGAGTGTCTACAGGGAGTGTACATGGATGATCATACTGCACCTTTTAATTCTCTCCAATCACATTGCCTTTGAAAAGGGCGGGGTGTCTCGATCGCATGGGAAGGGGTCAAATAAGGTTCCTGAATGGTCATTGGGTGCAATTCAGAAAAAGGAGTCGACTGACGAATGGCGTTATTAACCTTGGACCCTTACATGGCACAGGGTCAGAGACAGGAACAAGAACAAAGGACAACAACATCATCTGTTGAGCCGTGAGCCGTTTTCTCTTCCGTCCGAACGAAATGAGATACTCCCCCGGAAAGATGGCGTAAACACAAGGATAATATTCGCCTCTCTCGCTCTCCTCTTGGAAAAACACGCCGCCGATAGGGTCGAAAGCGAAACGCCGAGGGTTTCCGCCTTAGGACTCCAGAACTGTTTTTCTCCTCTCTCTCTCTCCCTCTCTCTCTCTCTATTGTACATGAAAAGAGGATACACTCTTTCATGTATCCCTGGCATTCCAACGGTACTAGCCTAGTAAATCCCCCTGCGCATGCAAGTCGGATACCCTGCATGAAAATGGAGAAACGGCTTCTAAGTCTAGTGCCAAGAACTGAGGGGAAGTGGGGCTGGACATGCATGCTGCTGTCCACTTTGCGCCCACCTTAGATTGCGAACAGAAGGATGGTGAAGAAGAATGGAGGATGGATGAACTTGCATTCAAGGCAAAAAAAAAGCCCCCCCCCCCCAGCAAACCTACTTTCGCTATCTCTCTCTTTCGACATTGCGACATGCGGTTTTTGAAGAGAGAGACGAAGAAAGGCTCCAGCTGGTTCAACAACGACCATTGGGAAGCTCGCTCTAGAACCCGGGGGTTTTACCTTTTTTGTTCTTGCGGCAACATTGTCCCAGGACGACTAAGGTTTTCTCTTTGTTGTCGTTGTCTCTTAATCACTTCCCAATGTGTCGACAACAAACAAACAAACAGGTCTCATCCAATTGACCTTGCAAGATGAAGGTAGGGGAGAGATAGACAAATATCACACGAAAGCAACACAAAAGGCAAATAGCTCACATTCTCTTCACCCTCCTCTCTCTCTCTCTCTCTCCAATACAAAGTTACAAACACAAATTTGGTACATTAGTCCAAGTAAAGTGTAATCGAGTCTGTTGGACACCGAGGGTTGTGTGAAAAAGGCACGAATAAGCCCGTAGCCTATTGATTTTGTCCAGCTGGCTTTCCCCTCCCTGTCCTCTCCCTGTCCACCTGCCCCAGCCAATCTCCTATCCCAAAGTTAGCTCTACCACATCATCCGACCCTGAATGTCTACCTAAACCCTTTTCAGGTCCCTTTATTTTCGTGAGAGCACCCTTTCACATAAGCAACAAAACAAACTAAATCCTTGAACCTTAGAAAACGGCCTTTCAAAGAGGATAGGACTCATGATGATAAACCATTGCAGTCCAATGGGTAAAAGGAGAAGAGTAAAAAGACAGAAAAAGTGCCTCTAGGCCGTCCCGTCTCGATCAAAAAAGGAGAAGTTTAAAGGTAGAAAAATGCCGTCTGAACTTCCGTTGTCCATCCATCCCATCCCATCCCCACCCATGAGTCCCTTGACTCATTAGGAAATGTGCTCACACATCATACGCCATTACTAGCCTTCTTTTGTTATTTCTTGTCCCCTCCCCCCCTTCCCATGATATATGGTTTGTTATTTGCGTACACTTCGTCTTCCCTTGCGCCTTTTTGTTGTTTGCCCGTTTTCTGTTCTGTTTACGGACCCTTGCATTAAAAAGTGGAACATTCATCCACGAAATTCTCGAGAGACCCAAAGTACAACCGAATTATTATTAACTCTTCTAGACCTCACAGCGATAGGGGAAACCCAGGGCGCGCGACGCCTTTTCTCTCTCTCTCAGACACAAAAACAAATAATCAAAACCAAAACACAAACACTGAAAAACATATGAGAGAGAGAGAGAGAGAGAGAGAGATGTACTTTCCCAGGAGTATACTTTATGGCGACATCTTTCGCTTTTGAAACCCTATGATGTGTTTTCTGACCAGTAGGATAAACATCCAAGGTGTAGGTTTTAATGAAGAAACCAAAAGAGTGTGAAAGTGGAGAGAAGGGGTAAGTAGAAGGGAAGGAACTGCGCTAGCCCACCCGCGCCTCCTCTGCCGTTGAATCTGTCTGCATTAGCGTGGATGAAGTGTGATACTCTTCGGAATGTATCCTTTTGTGTTTTCTTGTGCCTTTTTATTTTTTTATTTCTGTTATCATCAAAAATGATAACAGGAGACAAGAAGAATAGCCAAAAGAGCGTCATTGCATGTGTGTCTTTCTCTCTCCTCTCTTCTGCAGTACATACATCTCTTGGAGGACTACGACGGAAAAAAAAAATGTCAATTTGGAGCGGCAATATACGCCGAGCGAGAGTATGCATTGCGGACGCCTCTATTTTTTTCCTACCTTGCTGCAAACTGCCCTTTTTTGGCGTCGAACCTCAATCTGCCAGAAAGAAAATGACGCGTGTAAAGTAATTGAGGAGGAAAAAAGAAGAGTGCTTTGGCTGTCCAGCATGCCAACTTCTTGAGTATTTTTTTATTACTTATTGCTATTCAACTACTGGAGGTGAAAAGGGGGAGGGGATACCAAGGCAATCCCCAGGGATATCATGAACCAACAAAAAAGAGAGTTCATAAACAAAAGATGAAAGAGAACATCTCTTAGTAGGCAAGAGGAGCGATTCCAATGCTGGGCGACGAAGTCTGGGAGAAGACACAGTAGTTGTTCTTGATGAAGACATCACCCAAAATCCAAAGTCCATCCTGACCGCCCTGAATACCCGAGAAGCAGTTTCCGGAACCATCTCCCAAATCCTCATAAGCCAAATCGGCCAGGGGCACGTTGAAGGTCTTGCCGCCCAACTGGAAGCCAACGTTTCCGGTGTTGGACTTGAGGGAGCAAGGGACCAACCAACCGTTGTTGGGGTCGTTTTTGGCGCCGGAGATCTTCTTGTGGATGGCGGCGGCGGCGGCGTCGCCGACAATGACGAGGGTGGTGCCGGTGTCGATGATTCCCTCAGAGGCCTGGCCCAACGAAACACCGTTGATGCTGGCGTCCGAGATGTGGACCTGCCAGTAGCCCTTCTTAGTGACGGGGACGTAAGTCAACGAGCCGGTGTACTTGGTCGAGTCGATGCCGCCAAAGAGGTACTCTCCACCGACACCACCGTTGCGGCGGACGGAGGGAAGGAAGACGGAGACGACAGGCGAGGTAAGAGCGCCGGCGGCAATGGCGTTATCCAAGAAGGTCTTGACGCCAGAGACAGACTCAATGGTGTTGAATCCCAGACCGAAGAGACCGTCTTCGGGGGAGGAACCAAACTGCGAGGACTCGGCAGTGGCGAGGCCAATGGTCTGGCGGACCTTGACGCCTCCGACGCTGACAATGTCGGAGCCGAGGATACCAGAGGCGGTAGAGCCATCACCTTAGCCAATGTTCCACTTGCGCCCGTCCTTCTGGAAGGTCGAGGAAGAGGCAGAGTTGAAACGGACGTGCTTCTTGCAGGCGGCGGTGGTGCAGGTGCTTGAGGGGAACCAGATGTCAGATGAGCCCTGCAACGATCAGAAAAAGTGAGCAAGAAAATGAAGGAAATCGTTTGTCAGCATGCTGAAAGTTAAAGCCCGATCGGCCACACTGCGTGGCATAGGAGAAAGAAAGCAAGAAAAAGGGGTACAAGCAGTAATTTTTTATCACTTACGGTATCAAAATCCAGCTTCACATTCTGAGCAGGGGTACCGACAGAGACGGTACCGTAGTACTCAAGATCGGGGTGGACGTTGACAAGGGGGACAGATCCGGTGGCCAAGATGTTGACGCCAGGGTAACGCTTGTTCAACTTGGCGATCTGGGCATGGGTGTTGTGCTTGTAGTTGGGGTTGCGGGTCAAGGGGACGGCATGGCCGTGCTTGGGCGAGATCTTGAGGGGCGAGGCATCGACAACGGCCAGGACGGCGACTGCCAGGGAGACAACGAGGGCGGTGACCTTCATTTGGAGGAAGTGGTGGATGGTGGTGGTGGTGTTGGTTGGGTTGAAGGAGAGGATGAGAGGACTGGTGAGACGAGAGAAGAAAAAAATGGTGAACATCGGTTGCTTTTTATATGAGATGAGGACACTAGTGATGCCACTCCATTTTCCCATCGACACCATCATCTCCTTCGTCGCCTTCCTCGGAAAGCATATTCAAAGCTTGAAACAACATATTGCAAGCCTCGGGTGAAAACAAAAGTAGGTGAAAAGGCGTGTTTGTTTTCCCATCGCAACTAGTTGCTCATGGTGAATAATTGCAGACACGAAAAAATGTTCTAGGCAAATGACGAAGGGATTGGAGGATGCGTGGGTGAATGCGCAAGATGTGCTGAATATGGCAGGACAACGGAGCATGGACAGGCTACCCTCAGCTGTCCAACCGACCGCAATCGAGCCATATTTGTCGTGGTCTGCTCCCTTGGTCCCTTCGCCTCCTTGCCCCCTAACCATGTCTGGACAACTCTGGAGAGTTGGACACGCTTAATCGAGTGAGAGAGAGAGACAGGGGAAGAGAGAAATGCTCACAATTGTTCGCAATAAGAAATTTCGATATATTTTCACAGGGAAACGATCACGATATCCTCGATCCAATGCAATCAAAGGGATTGAGCCCGGGAGAGGGAGGGAGGGTGTATGCGCTAAGGTTATTTATTTTTGTTTGTTTTGTTTACTTTCTCATCTTGCTTGACCTGGCAAAAATGGTTGATTAAACGAAAGACGGTTGACCAACAATATCAGAACCCCTGCATGGCGCCTGAACAGAGCGAGACAAGCAAACAAACAAAAAGCAAACACATGTATTTACCCATACACCTTCCTTCTTCTTTCACACTCATTAGGAGCCTAGCCAGGGCCTCATTCTGCCTTCCTTCACTCTCACCCAATGAATCCTGAAGAGACATTGCCCGAATGACCAATCTGGAAGCAATGCGATTGGACACACCCTCCTCTCACGCCCTGAAGGTATGAGCGCGCAGCTACCCTTCCTTGCTCATACACATGCCATGGCGCCGGGCAAAACCCCTGTCTGCTCTGTCGTTATCGCCAAAACGGACAGTTGAACCGAGAATGCAAATACGATATTCTTATTGAGCTGAACCTGAACAGTGCTAACTTTTCCCGAAGCCTAGTCCTGAGAATGTTTTTTTTTTGTCCAATAAAAGGATGATGTTGTCTTTTTTATCCCCCTGCTAGGCTGTTTAGCCGGCTGTCGCCATACATCCATTCATTGGAGGACTGGCGGTGACGCGATGCTGGTCGACTTTCTCATGGAACATCTATTCTCTATTCGTGGGAAACTCTTTTGACCTAGGATGGTTCAGAGAACACACGCGTTGTTTTGGAGGAGAGGTGAAGAAGCGGAAACGAAGTAAAGCGTTTCCTAGGATATAATATGGTCACCGTGCACGTCCATCTCCGTTCATCATTTCACTTTCGTGAGTGTCAAAGAGTAAGACGTCTAAACCAATGAGTGTGAGACAAGGAACTGATGAGCTTATTTGAAACAAAATTGCGATGATCGCGGTGATGCTCTGCTATAGACCATAATACTGCTTTTCTGATTGATATTTTTTATGATCGAGAGTTGGGGGAGAGGGTTAAAAACAACGCCAAGACTAATTTTGGCGCCCATCGAGCGAGTGCGATACAACAGAAGGTAACGCCCATTTTTGTCGCATATGCAACGCGGACTGATGGGCACTGCCATGTGCTCGACCGGCAAAGAGGGGATGCATGTAAGCATACATGTACTGTGTATTCCAAAGAATAGGAGAGACATCAAATAAAGATGGTGACAGACGAGAGCAAAAATGTGAAGTAGATAATGAAGACCTGTTCATTTTTTTATTATTATAACTCGTATCATCAACTAATCGATAGTTGACCGAGATAAGGAATGTGGTCTGCCCAGCACGACCATTGGAGGGTTTTTATAGGGGGTTTTTTTTGGTGGAAGGAGTTTTCGTTCAACGAAAACGAGGACAGTGAATAAGAAGAGAGGGAAGAAAGACCAGAGGCTTAAGCAAGAGGAGCAATTCCAATGCTGGGCGACGAAGTCTGGGAGAAGACACAGTAGTTGTTCTTGATAAAAACGTCTCCCAGAATCCAAAGATCATTCTGACCACCCTGAACACCTGAGACACAGTTTCCAGAACCATCTCCCAAATCCTCGAAGGCCAAATCGGCCAGAGCCACCTTGAAGTCCCCACCGCCCATGGAGAAGGAAACGTAGTTATCAGTATCCTGGCCGACCGAGCAAGGGACGAGCCAACCGTTGGTGGGGTCGTTGGTGGCGCCCTGGATGCTGTTGTGGATCGCCTGGGCGGCATCGTCGGAGACGATGATGAGAGTGGTGCCGGTGTCGACGATTCCCTCAGAGGATTGACCGAGGGACTGGCCGCTGTATCCGGCGTCGTCGATGGCGATCTGCCAGTAGCCTTCTTTGGTGACGGGGACATAGGTCAAGTCGCCGGTGTACTTTGAGCTGTTGATTCCACCGAAAAGATATTCACCACCTTGGCTATTTGAGAGCAGTGAGAGAAACAAAGGGTGTTGTGTTAAGAATGATTCAAGTTTTTCGTGCATATCGAATCATCCCAGAACGAAAATGACACTAACCCGTTGAAGCGACGCTCAGAGGGCAAGAAGACAGAAACAACGGGCTGGGCAAGGACACCAGCGGCAATGGCGTTGTCGAGGAAGGTCTTGACACCAGAGACAGACTCAATGGTGTTGAATCCCAGACCGAAGAGACCGTCTTCGGTGGAGGAACCGAACTGCGAGGACTCGGCGGTGGCAAGACCAATGGTCTGGCGGACCTGGATGCCTCCAACGCTGACAATATCAGAGCCAAGGATACCAGAGGCGGTGGATCCATCACCATAGCTGATGCTCCACTTGCGGCCATCCTTCTGGTAGGTTGAGGAAGAGGCCGAGTTGAAGCGGACGTGCTTCTTGCAGGCGGCAGTAGTGCAAGTGCTCGAGGGGAACCAAATGTCCGACGAGCCCTATATCGATCAAAGAATAAAGAACGAGTGTTAAGTGTCAATACTCTTGCTTACTGGCTACTTTGACAACACTGCAAGAACATTGAGGAGGAAGGGACCTACGGTGTCAAAGTCAAGCTTAACGTTCTGGGCAGGGGTACCAACAGAGACAGTTCCATAGTACTCAAGATCGGGGCTGACATCGGTCAAGGGAACATTGCCAGAGGAACCAGCAAGGATGTTGACTCCAGGGTACCGCTTGTTGAGCTTGGCAATCTGGGCTCTGGTGTTGTGCTTGAAGTGGGGGTTGCGAGTCAGGGAGACGGAGTGACCAGCCGCGGTAGGGTGAGGTCTTCTTGCAATGGGCGAGGCATCGGCGAAGGCCAGGACTGCGGCGGCCAGGGTGACGAAGGCGGTGATCTTCATTGTCTTTTTTATCTTAAGCTGGAGGTGTTTTGTGGGAGGAGGAGCGGATGTGTAAGGAGCGGATGAGGAGAGAAGGAAAGAATGGGGGGAACTTTCAAGTTTTTATAGTTGAGAGGTTGATGATGAAGGAGAAAAGTGGCACCGTGAAGAACGGGACTATAATGTATCTTTCACGAGAAGGCGTGTGAGTGAGAGAGATAGCAAGAAATGACAAAGAGCACTGGCTACTTTTTTGATGATGTTGTTATTGCTAATGGTTGAATGAATGAATGAAATTTCACCCTCGGCAGATTTTCCAATTCGGAAATGCAATAGGGCATGAAAGGAGGCTGAAGGATCATTCATTTAGACTGTAATGAGCTGAGCCGTAGACAAGGCATGCACACAAGTTCTCACAAGTACCTGAAAAAGAAATCGCGCATCGGTTGACATTAACGACAGCCGACAACGGTCGTTTCTCAGGGGAAGGATGATCGCCTATTGGTCAAACCACCATCCAGGGAAAAAGGAGAGGAAGGCGGGGTGAAGGTGAACGTGGGCGCTTAGCATGTCTTCTTTTCCTAGGCTACTTTTCAAAAAAGGAAAGGGGCCACCTGGACACCCATGTCTTTTTTTGTCTACTTTCCCACTCGTTGTTGTCAGATGCGGGACAAAACTCAGGGACGACTCAGGGACAGGGTTTAACTCGCAATTTGTTTTCTGTTAAGATACAAAAAAGTACATGCATATGCATTTACCCGAGGTATAAACAACGAACGTCATGGGAATCAAAGTGCTCTGTCAACGAATGAGTGTTTGTAAACAACACTAGCATACTGTAAAGGGTGTTGCTAAACCATCACTTCCACTCGCCATCTCACTCATGTTCTGCGTCTCTTTCTCTTCTGGCTAACGATAGAGACGGCATCCCCAACAACCCTAATTTGCATTTTAACTTTCGGTCGACTGAGACGAACAAACGAGCAGAGAGCATGACCAATCGTCCAAGGCCCTCGACTCAAAAAAAATCAACTCGAGTGTTGTTGTCGCACCCATGATATTCCCATGGCAAAGCGTGAGAGCGAGGTGACCTCAGTGGCCTGTTCTTTTTTTCTGCGTTGTTAATGTCCCATCTCTCTCTCGTTTCTGAGAGTAACAAAAGCATCCTCCCAAGCATCTGTTTTGCTGAATACAAATAACGCCATCGTACACCCTTAAATCCTTATCCTCTTTCCCTCCCACCTTTCACCTTGCTTATCTGTGAGCATACATTAGTCTGCCAGCCATTATCAGGACCGACAGGACAAGAAAGAGGGAAGCATGCATGTAGCTGTGAACACATACAAACATGCTAGAATTTGGTTCGCTGGGAGCGGCGCCATTGTGCGTGTGATCTCGTCATTGCCTCAAGTGGACATTTTTGACCAACTGGACAACTAAAAGCAAATTAGGGCTCTCGTCCTTATAGACACGCCCTCTCTTCTATGTACACTCGATCGAGTGTACTTCTTTGGGTGTTTTTCTTACTTCACCGTGTCCCTTATACCTCGTTTCGATGTCATTACAGAATCCCTATTATGAGTGAGGACTCCAAAACAAGGAGTGCTCTCAAATATTGACATAATCGTTTCCTTTCTCTTCTTTCCGGATAAATAGACCCTGCTGCAATATTGTAGAGGAAAGAGAACGGCGCCGAATGGGGGATTGGTTGGTTGGCTGTGGTGAAGGGATTGCGCATGATCGGTGCTTTTGGTTGCAACGAATGAGATGAGAGATAGCAATGTGGGCTCCAGAGAAAATGAGAGGTAGTGGTGGTGGACCATATTCAATGCAGATGATTTGATATTCTCGCGTTCCGTTGAGGGCGTAAGATATGCAGGTCCAGACCAAAGTGACACTACTGCACTATTGGCTGTTCTCTCTTTTCCTCCCTTCGGTCTCACCTCTGTTCCTGTCCTGAAAGAGAGAGGAGAGAGAGAGAGGAATGTTCAGATGGTTTTTTCTCACACTACGCCAAAGTCAGCTTAGCGCCATAGTCCATCAGTTCTCATGAGAACCCAACACTCGTTTGTTCAATAGTTACTCTTATTTTATTTCCCATCCCAATAGTTTACTTCAGTAAGCATATACTGCATCTACTTGACGCGCTCCCAGGGGAAGTCGACAGGCTCAAAGTCAGGGCGATTGTGCAGCAACATCACCAGCCACTCTGTGCACTCTACAAGACGAGGTCCACTGCGGTTAAACATCTGGTTTCCATCGACAAGGGCGACAGTGGTGGCCTTGTTGGCAAGGTCTCGGAACCATTCCTTCTCCATCATGATGTCGTATTCCTTCCGGGTCGCTGCCATGTCCAATCCGCAAGGGCAGATGATCAAAACATCTGGATCAATAGCCACCACCGACTCGACCGACACACGCTTGCTATTGGGGACAAAAGGAACAAGTGCTGTATCAGTAGAACGTCACAGTGTCATCCACCTTAACGCAATGCTTCCTTGATACAAGCAAAAGCCCCAATACTTACGAAGGAATGCCAGGAGGATTGATGGGATGCACACCTCCTGCCATCTCGATCATCTCAGGGGTCCAATGTCCAGCAGGGTAGATGGGGTCGGTCCACTCAAAGAACATGACCTTCTTGGGCTTGTAGTCTGGGTTATCCATCTTGACCTGAGCAGCAACATCCTTGCATTTTTGGACCCGTCCTTCGAGGTCTGCCCGGACCTTGGCTGCCTCCTTGGCGTGACCGATTGCAGTGCCGACTAAGGTGATGCTCTCCATGACTTCTGCGATGGATGTGGGGTTGAGGGTGACGATCTCGGGCTGGGGGTCCATCTTGCTGGCGACACGCTGCACGCTGACCAGGTCAATGGAGCAAACATTGCAGAGATCCTATAGGGAGAAGCGAGATCGATCGTCAGAACATGAATGGTGAAGGATAAGAATTGAACAAGTAGGGTTGACTGTAGGTGTATGGATAAGTATCATTGTGTTTGTTACCTGTGTAACGATGACGGAGGGTTGGAGAGCCTTGAGTTGGTCGACATCGAGGTTGTAGAGACTGTTGCCTTGGGAGAGCGCCTCTGAGACCTGGCGATCGACATCGGCGGAGGTTGTGAACCTGGTCTTGGCCTCAGTCAGGATTGGCAGATGTTGGATCGTCGAGGGGAAATCATCTACCGTATTGGAAAATAATGGTCACGACGGAAGCCAAGCGTGGGAGTCATCGAATGATCACATTTTTAGTTTTCTGTCTTGTCTACTGAGGGGGGACTACTTGTTGCTGCAAGATAGAAACTCCTCCAGCCGGCTCCAATTCATCAACCGATGCATAGAGTCAATTGTACCTTCGTGGCTCCTTGCGACCATCTCGGGCTGACCTCCAACCAGGCAGATCTACTTGTCCAGATAGAACACATACAGATACATAAAGAGGTACGTTAGGGAGACTTCGGCACTTTCTATGTTGAACAGGAGGAAAAGGCATCTTATTTCGCGCTTTGCACACATTTGAGTGACATTGCTAGTCCCTCCCTCTCTCTCCTTACGATTTCGGCAGCTGAGGGCAGCAGACTGATGATTCGTTGGTGCATGGTTGTAATGAATGAATGAAAAAAGTGTGTAAAGTGCGGGGGTGAGATTTGAAGAACAGTACAGGTGCCTGTCCCTGTCTGCCTGCCACTAGTCCGCCCTTGTCTAGTCCCGCCCAGTCCTCAGCCACCAATTTTTCATCTCTTTTTTCTTTTCAGACAAGAAAAGGTCGCGTCTAGACTCAACGGACCAAACAACGCCCACCGCATAGGAAGCAGACGAGGCCAGGGACAGGAAAATACATCACAATCACGCAATTCAGGATGGCTAGCGACCGAGGTATACCTCAACTCTGCATACGAAAACCATAGGGCAGCGAGTGAATCTGCATTAGGAAAACATCACACTTCCTACCCACGACTTACCAGTCTCCTTCGCATTGTCAATGCTTTATTAGCAAGTCCAGACGCGGACATGCAGACCCTTGTCAGGGACATGTCAGTAGAGGAGGCCGATGAGACTATCGTCAACACTCTTGAACGAATCGAGCGAAGTATGGTCCATGCACTCCTTTTCGCAATCAAGGAGGCAAAACAATGGCGGGATCCGATGCGATTGACGTGACAATCTAACGCACTTTGAACAACAACAAACAACAAACAAATAGACGCTGGTGTGAAGGGCGGTAAGCCCGTAGTCTTGCGGTCAACAACATCGCTTGACCCGGTCATTCGACACTTTGGGCTCGCGCCGGAACAGGTCACTCAAATACTGGATATCATATTATCTGCCAAGCTCGGTAAGCAACGGGCTACTTTAGTAAGGCACAGCTCTTATTGTATCCCCTACAGACAAGGGTGTTGACCTATGCTTTCTGACCTCGCCTCAATACCCTGATAGACGACACAACATCAAGGAAAATGATCAAGCTGCTGCTGCCTCGTCAGTCAGTCCCAGAAATGTGCGCTGTCAATATCTTGGGAGCTCTCGGCAAGAATCTCAGCTTTGCAATTCAGGTAGGGCGACAACGACAACATCAAAGTCTTGGAAATATAATTAGAAATAATTACCACAAGCTGACCATGGTTCTTGTAACATCTAGGCCACATTGCTGAAATGGATCATCCTCGTCTATGATATCTTTGACAGCCGGACGAAATTGCAACAACTTTACGGAGTCGTATTCCACTACCTCCCCTACGAGACGCTGAGGTACCTCCACAGGACTGTGGCATGTACTAAGAAGACTGGACAAAATATTGGTGACGCCGAACAAACGACTAACACGCATCATATTTCAACTTGTATTAGGCCATCTCTTTGCCATTTGCTCTATTACTTGACGAGACGAGAAGATGTGAGGCCATTCAGGATAAGAAAGCTGTATGTTGTTGGACAGGAATGTGAATGGGGGCAGTACAGGACATCTCAGGAAGGAGTATTCTCATGACTGATACCTTTTGCATCGCTCTGGACATCATACCGATAGGTTGGACCTGCAGATCACAGTTGGAAAGGAACCAGCGCTTGCAGGACTCTTGCATGTGTACAAGTCGTACTTTCCTGATTTGATCCTGGCGCCATTGACTCTTGCGACACAAACCATTTTCAAATGCCCAGATCAGACGACAGCAGAGGCCATCGACGCTTTGCAGACAAGGTGGAGTCATCGTTCAGCAGACCAGTTGTTTGGGCTCAACGGATCAAAAGACCCTATTTCAAGGAGTGGGGTAAGAACGCGATCGATAAAGGTGGTTGTACTCGGGATAAAGAAAAGACCGACATTCTCACTTTTCGTTTTACTTTCATGTCTCTCGACAAATAGAAGCGACAGAAACTTTCTCATGTACCAGACGCATTCTCGATTTACAGGAAAGGCGCCGATGTAAGTGGAGCAGGAATACACAATCGCGACGGCACAACCATATGAGAAGGCGAGAGCATGACTGACAATTCGATCCTGTCAACTTCTTATTAGGACAAAGCTCTGCCTTTATCGCAAATTACATCCTTGGATGCGCTTGTGAAACACATTGACACGCTCGCCCTCCCAGACCAGCTGAGCTCGGTTCTCACAAACCGATTACTGCAACATGTTTTGTGTCTTCAGCCATCACACTCGATCGTGGACCGGATAAGCTACTGGCTCGGGCAGGAACTCATGGACCTCTGGTACTGGAGCGCTACGTCTGATGTCAGTCGTGCTCGACTCGCAAATATCTTGTCCAAAGTTGTCCAAGTCACCAGAATGATCAAGGTACTAAAGAAACGCGCTTGCGAATAGAGCCCTTTTGGTTCTCTGAGCCTGACGCTAACGTTCAGAAATCCTTCTTATTGCAATAGGATCTACTTCCGGTCATTGAGAACTTTCTTGTCCCATTTATCAGGGTATGGAACGGCGTTGACCATCAGAAGGAGGTCTTTACTCTCTTGACCTTCTTGAGACCTCGGAGCTTTGAAGGTATGGCTTTTCGTTTATGTGAACTCTTGCGGCAAAGTTTCTGTATCAATACTCTTGTGGCCAGCCTGCCCTAACACCTCATACCCTTCTCTCGCCTGGCTGTTAGATCTGTATATACAATTCCTGAAGCCTCTGCAGAGGCTCTTCTATCTCATGGGACCAGTATGGAAGGTAGCAAACGTCAACCCCGCCTCTCAGCGCGTAAGGTTTAGTTAAGACAGCCAACAACGCCGCGCTGACATGTGTTGCTCTCATTTTTAACCCTCTCTTAGGGTCAACTCATCCTGTGTTATACCAGACTCGCTCAAAACTGGGCACAGTTCAAGTGGAAGGACTACCTGGAACTTGGCAAGGACCCTCGGCTTTCAAAGCAAGGGTCAGAGAATTTGTACGTACACATTCGTACACATTTTCATCCCGTTGAAGCGCATCAGGAAACGTCTCATTTTTACCACCAAGTTCTGACCTGTGTATTGTCTTGCTTTCAAATTAGACGACGTCTTTTCTCGGAGCTGTCACCTAACGTGGACTACATGCTGAGTATTCGCGCCTTTATCAAACATGTCGACAGCATCTCGGGAGTGGCTCTTGAAGTCGAACGAGACCATATCGCTGTCCAACATGGCGTCCTCTCGTTCTTTGACTTTACATCAAACCTCACGAAGACAAATGCGCCGATTTCAGTCATTATCCCTAGAGCCTCCATTGTCTATCGATGCTTTCTCTCGGACTCTGCGGTGGCGGTTGTCAGGATATGCGGGATTGTCTACCAGTTCAAACAGGCATACCAGGCTTTTGAGGAAGAACAGCAACTGCAGTACGAGCTCCTTGTTCAGTCTCAAATAGCAGCGAGTCAAGACAATGGCGAGATATCCACGAAATTATCACAAGACGAAGTGGTTCCAGGGTACACGCGTGAGCTTGTGGCGCAGTTCAACAGTTACGTGATGGACATATGCAACTTTCTCTATAGGAACCGTGCTTTCAACAAGGCTGACAAAAACGCCAGGAGTTTTCAGCTGGACCAGTAAGTTTTGATAATCTATGTTTTTCCCTCTTTTGCGAAGAAGTTTACCATGACCAATTGTATGGCACTAACCATTGACGACCTGGATACCTCTTCACGCTTTTTTTTCGATCTTCTAGAGAAACTCTCGCTCATATAAAACAAGTCTGTGCGGACAACAATTTAAGTGTGCCCACCATGCTGTCGTTCACCCACTCTGTAGCTTTCTCGGGCTTCTCCGCGCGCTTCCTGAAGGTACGTATTTCTGTGACTGATTTCAGTAAAACAATGTGGTCTGTCATATCTTAATCAAGAAGAAAAACACGCAAACTTACATGCCCGCATGTACTTAAACCTAATATCTGACACATAGTCACTCGAGGAGCAACAAAACATTCCAGTCGAGAAGCGATTGGATGCACCGGCATCGATTAAGGCACTGAAGGAGATGTCTGCGAAGGGTGGTCTGAACATGAAGTTTGACGAGTACCGGCTCCGGTACCTGGACCATTTGGAGGAGAAGAAGGGATTTGAAGGGATGGTGGATTTCCTGACCGACACTATCAACAACCTTTTGCACAGGAGATTTGAGAAACAAGAGCGATTGCGTGAATTGGAGGAGCAGCAGCAGAAAGAGTCTGAAACGAGCGATGCCGATCCACCTCTACAGAATCTTAGTCTGAAATAATCGTCTGTATAATATTCCTCGTGCACTTCCCGTAGAGTAAAGCATGCCCTTTCAGCCTCTAAGTCTTATCGTCTACATTATTATTATTATTTGCTTTTAACTTGTGACAGGATGAGAATACGACACGGCAAGGAGACCGGGCAGACAAAGAGGGGCGAGTGTTTGCAACGTGGACAGATTCATTGGAAGACACCTCGTCGTTGGGCCTTAGCATTACCTTCATTGTACAGCGCCGCTCCAAAAATATATAATGTGACAGTAAATTTTTGAGCTTCTTTTCACTTCATTCCCCTTCTTTTCCCTCCCGTAACACACAACCCCTCCGTACCCCCCATCTCCTTCCCTCCCTGTTGTTCGATGGCCCTATCACGTTGAGGAGCGCGACTAGATCGTTGGCATGAGCAGGGCTGGCTCTTTGATCCCTACTATTGCCAACCTGTATAATGTACATAGGGCGACTGTCCACAGGATCGTCAAGTTGTACAAGGAGAAAAGGAACTGTCGAGAAAAAAAAAGAACCCAGGTCAACCCCGCATCCTCTCCGATCGAGATGTCCGAGCTGTCGTTAGCGTTATCCACAAGAACCGCTGTGTCGCCCTTGCCGATATTACCCACGCCATCCCCACCAAGGTTTCCAAGTCTACTATTGACATAAAAAAGGCGGGGCTGGACTTCGCCAAAAAGTACAAACATTGAACCGTTGATGATTGGAAGAAGGTTGTTTGGACAGATGAAATCAACTTTCGAGGTGAGGAAGAACATTCGCAGAGTTCGAGTTTGGAGGACCACTGTGGGAAAATTATCAGAACTCTTGTCTTGCTCCTTCGTTCAAGAGCGGGAGGAAGTCTGTGATGGTGTGGGGAACGTTTGTTGGAAGCAGTAAGCTGCTTGGCTTCTTGGAGGAAACCGCCAAGGCCTTCCTGATGGAGGATGGGGCATCGATCCACCGTGCTCAAGTATCCAAGGGAGTATTCGATCAAGTCCTTCATGTGGCCCGCACAACCCCCCGATCTCAACCCCATCGAGAACGTCTGGTCCCTCTTGAAAAACGCTATACACTATAGACGCCCCAGAACCGTCAAGGATATGATGGTCGCTTTTAACGAAGAGTGGCGAAAGATATCAAAAGACCATCTCAAAAAACTTATCAATGGCATGCCCTCAAGAATAAAAGCTGTCATCAAGAACAAAGGTGGTTCTACCCGGTGGTAATACCCTTTTCTCTCCCACTCCCCCCCCCCCCTCCTCCATAAAAAAATGCGCTGTACAGATGGGCTACAAAAGTTTTGCAACAAAAATAAGATTTTTTTTTTGGAGGGAAAGAAGCCCTTTTTGTTTATGTTGCGCGGTTCCAAAAAGAGTGTCGCCGTGAAAAAAAATTCTCTGATGGTATTACAACCAGCACAGACATTATTTTTGAAACCGCGCTGTACGGTAGGACGGGCGAACCTTATCCAATTTAGTGTGCATTTTGCTCACAACCATGTATCTGACCACCATGGCCACCATGGTACTTTGGTTACATTCTAGACAGTTTGAGGCCGCACCAGTAAGTCGCGCAACGATATCTTTGTTGGCTTTAGAATACAAATGAATCGGGACCCCTTAACAGTTGAAGTGCGAAAGGGAGCGAGTCCCAACCACGTGACAGAAAGCCTATCGCTATGGCAGATATTAAGGGTCCCAATTTATTTGTATTCTAAGGCCAACAAATATATCGTTGCGCGACTTACTGGCGCGGCCATATGTCCATCTCCACCGAACACAGCATGATACACGGCAATGGTGTCTCTATTCACGTATGAATAATGGACATGTACAGGACATGTACAAGAGACTCGCTGTACAAAAGGCAGGAGAAGGCAACGAGTGAGTAGGTGTTGTCTCTTCCCTTCTCGTTCCTGCTCCAAGCCTCTTCGTCTTCGTTCATGCGTCAATGATGATTAGAACATATTGATAACCACACTAGCTTTATTCTTCCTTTCTTTCCTTTCCTTTCCTTTTCTTCACTTCACTTCACTTCTCCCACATTTCTGTTCTGTCCTTTTTGTTTTTCTCTTTCTCCCTCTCTTCCTCTCCCCTCCTGTACTTTCAAGCTCTAATTCTCTCAACATATCATGAGTCGCTACAACCCAATACCGACACACAACAACGACGACCTTTCTAACGACATCGACCCAACTACCAACGGTCCCAGGCCTCAACAGTCGTCGTCGTCGCCTGGAAGCTATCACAACAACAACAACAACCAACGATTCAACAACGTCCCTTCCTCCGCCTCCACTTCTTCAGCTCCTCTCCCTCCGACTTCCTCCTCACCCCCAAACGGCAATCGTCTCAACAACAACACCAACACGAACAGCCCCTTGTTCCCAGACTTTACAAACACCATTCGGACTCGCGCCTCGTCTATCATCTCCATATCATCGTCCTCACTTCGCAGCAGTACCAGTATCAATACCAGTTCAGGCACTAGCGGCGGCAACACTAGTCAGCGAAGCAGTTATAGCGACCATGGATCAGAAAGCTCTGCTCCTCTCCTCCCCCACAACAACAACAATAACAACAACGCAGCCCCCGACCTCGAAATAGGAGGTCTTTTTCCACCACAAGCGTTTTCTCCTCCAGGAATAACAGCAGCTTTGGCATCGACTTTTTCGTCCATTCAGCCCCGCAACAACAGCGACAACACTGCCAACACTGCCTTCGACAAGGAGAGTAACAACAGCAATAGTAGTGGGAAGAAGAAGGCTTCGTTAAGGACACCACGACATATCATTCGACTGCGATGGATCTGGGTTCTGGTCTTGCTTGCAGGCGAACACGGGTCGTTTTGGATCATGGTCCAACGCTGCTCTTGGCCCGATAATTCTTCCTGGGTAATTATCATTCTTTTTTTTTTTTAGTTGATTGACAAAATCATAGCTTATTTTCTAGTTTGATATGGGAGGGGGAGTTTATTCACGAGTCCGGTTGATGTGTTTGTTTTATTTTTCCGATTTTGCTTTTTTCTCTTCTCTTCTCATTCCCCCTTACTCTTCTTTGGAGTGGAAGGAGCAGTGATGGCATCATCATATCAAGCAACCACAAAAATTATCCAATCCCCGTGGAGCCTGTGCTCACGCACCATTGCTGTCTTAATTTACACTGGCTCAGCCAGCCAGCGAAAGGATGGATATAAACAAGGCGGATAGGGGTTAAACGGAACGAGGGATAAAGCGATGGGATGGTGCTTTTTGTGCATTCTGAGCTGTCACAGCCTGGCATTGACAAGCTAGTCATGAGAGAAAACCAAGACACGTGTCTAGTTCTATGGTACAGGCTACCAAGTGCCAAGCTAAGGCTTTGTTATCAGTTTGGACGTTCATGCAAGACGAAAAGAGCGCATCACGTTCTTCTTAGGAGTTCACTAATGAGGAGAGGACTTCGGGCGGTTCTCGTTATCACGACTCGGCTATTTTCTCCAAAGCCTAGACCAACAGCAACTCAGTTTAACCCTTGTTTGTTAACGCAACAATTCTAACGCTTCTCGGTCTTTTTCCTTTACATTGTTAATGGTAATTAGGACAAGTCCGAGGAAGCTCTCAACAACCGGTACAGGATGGCGATTATTGCAGACCCACAACTGACAGACTGGATGTCATACCATCAATCAGGTCTCCTTCTGGCGTTGGTCGAGGCGTACACGGATATCTACATGAAACGGAGTTTCCGCCGTCTGCGTGCGTCGCTACGTCCAGACGCTGTCCTCTTCCTGGGCGATTTGAATGATGGCGGCAGGAAAACGGATAATCAAACGTTTGTCAAGAACACGGGGCGGTTCTTTGAATGGATCTTCGCGACCAAGAGTAGTGCCTGGAACCAGGAACCGATTGTAGCGGATGCATTGGTGGGCGAAACGGCAGCTTCTGCTTTAGCAGAAGAACTCCAAAACGGCAATAGCAAGGAGGACAATAGCAGCTACTTGAAGAAGAGACAGGAATTGACGCAGGAGGAGAAGGCTGCGAAGGTGGACATTACAGGCCATTATGTCCAACGAGTCGGGGTGCCCCTGGAAGCTGAGGAGCGTCGAAAGATTCGTGAATCAGGAAGAAGTCTGAGGCTATATGTGGCGGGTAATCACGATGTGGGATTTGGCGATACGTTGATCCGATCGTCGATGGTGCGGTACAAGAAGGTCTTTGGATCGGTCAACTATGAGGTCAATGTGGGCAACCATAGCTTGGTTATTCTAGATACTCTCGCTCTGAGTTCAAAGGTCCCCTCTATCCGCGACGAATCACAGCAGTTCCTGGACCATATCAAGCAAGGTATTTAATTCTCCGAGATCAGGGTTTCTTGGGTGTCCATGTACGGAAGAACTTATTCTAGCATGCGAAGAGGGGAAGAGAGAGAGCTGTGGGAGGTAGGAATGACAGAGGCAGGGGATTCAAACCTTCATAAACATACCCCACAGGAGTACATAATGACACGGCAGGAAAAGAGATGGTGACCAAGCAAAGAAACGTTCGCGGGCTTTCTTAGGGAAAATTCTATCTACAGCCCACCTACGTTCCTTCTATTATCATACTAATCCACAGCCGCCTATCCTACACCACAATCCCAAAATAGAACAACCCTCACTCCCAAGGATCCTGTTCACCCATGTACCTCTCCACCGCCTCGACACAACATCCTGCGGCAAGGCCCGAGAGACTGAACAATTGATTATAGACAGAGGAGGCGAACAGTACCAGAACATGGTCGACAGCTCCCTCTCACGCGAAATCCTCGAGTCTGTCCAACCAGACATGGTCTTCAGTGGCGACGATCACGACTGGTGCGAGATTGCGCACCCAGCCGTCGGAAGCAACATGACCCCCGAGGTGACACTGCGGTCGTTCAGTTTTGCACAGGGGATCCAACGACCTTCCTTTGGGATGATGACCCTCTTCAACCCGGACCTCAAACCCAAGAATGTTTTCCCCGTGGTGCCACTCGATGCAGGATTGCCAGTCTCGAACGAGTTCGCGACTGGAAGTGTGGAGAGGCCTTCGGGAGATTCCACGTTTGTGTATGATGAGTGTATGCTCCCCTGGCAGATGATGATCTATATGCTGTATGGGGCTCTGTTTGGGGTCTCGTTGAGCTGGATCATTATCCGGCAAGTCAGGTGGATGGTTATGTCGAGACAGCGGGTCAAGTCCTTGTCGATCCTGGGACGCTGGCGCAACGCCGGCAGGAACGACACTGAAAATACTCTCGACATCAACATTAACCTCGAAGACGACAACATTGGAAGCAGTAGCAGTCGAGCAGACCAACAACTAGACGGCACCACTCTCACGGACGACCCGCACTACCAGCAGGATGAAGAACAGGAGCTGTACTATGACGATGAGCCGCTTGTTGGACTCCTCTCACTCGCAACTTCAAGCAGTGCCACCAAGGAGAAGAGGACGATGCGACGGTGGCCATTGTGCGCCGGTTTGTTCTGCAAGCAGGTTGTCCGGGACCTTTGGGATGTTGTCAAATATGTCGTCCCCTTCTATGCTTTTCTCTTTATTTGCAGCATCATCTAAGCCCACCGTTTTTTTTCTTTCACTGTTCGATCCTCGTAATGCTTTCCTTTCCTTTACCCTTTCCTCCTCTACCTTTCTCACGCATCCATGGCATGTACATAGCCCATCTAATGATACCCACCAAGTTAAATAAAACTTTTTGTTTTGTTCCACTTTATTATTTGGATACACGATTGAAGACTTTTCATAGCTCATGAGGGGAGTGAGAAATGAGTAAAGAGTGTCATTTTTGTCCAAGGGTACATACATGCCTGCACTAAACAAGCAGAGACCATTTCGTTTTCCGCCTCTTTCCACTTCCATCCTGGGTAACACTAACAGAAGGTGAGTGGAGAAAAAACATGCTATCTTTCATATACCCCTTGTTTTTTTTTTTTGATCTTTGGTCATCCTGGAAGGTTGACCTTGGGTGTGCAAAGGGCGAGATCACCCGCACAGTTAAAGTCAATGAACAGGAAAACGAGGATAGTTAACGAGAAATATAAATGCGATAGCCAAAAAAAAAAAAAAAAAAAAAAAAAAAAAAAAAAAGTGCGCCATGCAAAAGATGTTCACCCCCTATATATTTGCACACTGCATTTTCCGTTTTTTTTTTTTTTTTTTTTTTTTTTTTTTTGGCGTAGAGGATTTACGCATGCTAGTTTCTCATGTTCTACTCACGCTGCTTTTCCTACGCACTCCTCATGTCAGAATACTGAAATAAGGCGATAGACAAAAGATGTATCCTTTGGGAGTGGGCCATCCTTTTATTTTCACATTCCTCGAAACGATAGCATATGACTACTATGAAATCGATTCACACGATTTACCACCACCAACCCCCATAGGGTGTTTCCAGTTAGTACATCCAAAAACCGTATGTGTTAGTAATCAGACATATATTTTTCTGAGACATGTAAAGATGCAGTATGCTGTGAATTGGTCAATTCACCCAATAGACTTCCTTCCTGGTCTTTTGGGTCAAATAAAGGGCATTCCTCAACAATGGGCTTTGTGGGTTCGTCGGCCATATGCGATCATGCAATTACGTCTGTGGCCTGTTTGCCCATTTCATTCTCTCCTTTGTACTGTCTTGCATCACCCCCCTCCCCTCCTCCCATAATCTTAGTTTTTATTTCTTTCGTACTTTCCAGGTTCTTGTTTGGATACAAAATCTTCATCGATATAAAAATAATAACTAAGGCTATAATCCTACTGCTGTGGATCTAGTTATCCAAGGCAATGGCTTCTCCCTCTTCATCTCCACCCTCATCTTCGTCCTTCTTGCCCTTGCCCTTATCCTTGGTAGGCCGAGTTGTTGGCGATGCGACATTCTCGGGCCCGAGCATCTCCAGGTGTTCGAGAATGTTGGCTATGGCGCAGACTGTTTTGCCCTTGTACCCGTCCATTAATGTCCCAATGTACGCCTCAAAAGTTTGGTTCTCCTTCCTCGCGAGTCTCTCGACCCTTTTAAACAGGATTGCTCTCCTTCTGAGGGCAATCTCGTGTTTTACATGGAGCTGGGAACGCATTAATCCTCCCGGCCAAGGACGCAGGCCCAACCTGGCCACGTCATTCTATGGCAAAAGCGTTCGAGAGAAATGCTTATACTCGAGCCATGCAAGATCGAGCGTCAGTCCGTCCTGTTTACTGTCCAGTAGAAAGGGCTTATGTGGTGTTCCTGTCGAGAGTTCCTGTTGCCTCTTCATTACAACCATCATCTCCTTCTCCTCCTGTACTCGCTTCTTCACTTGCTCCTGTACTCGCTGACGTTCGTGATCTTGAGTGGGGAAATACTGTGATCGTTGTTGGGGCTGGACGTCCGCCGGATGAGGCTCTTGAGACAGCGTCTGTGCCTGCACTTGTACTTGAGAACGACGTTTCAACTCTGCCTGCGGCTCCGGTAGGTGGTGCTGTATGAGCGGCAGTTGTGGAAGGAAGGGCTGCTGATGTTGATGATGTTCCTTTTGTTGAAGTTGTTGAAGGTGTTGAAGTTGCTGCTCGAGGAGTTTAATTTGAAGCTGTAACTGTTGTTGCTGTTGCTGTTGTTGCTGTTGTTGCTGTTGTTGCCGCTGCTGTTGTTGTTGCTGTTGCTGTTGTTGTTGCTGTTGCTGTTGCTGTTGTTGCTGGTTACCCAATAATGGAGGAGGTGTGTTAAAGTGTTGCTGAATGTCAACTACGCTCAAAAGTTCATCCCGAATCCTCATGCCTTCCTCGAACCAACTTCTGGTGCGCTCCTCCAGTACCTCTTGTACCTCCAACCTTCTCATCACTTCGGTCACGATTCCCTCCAGTTGACCAAAGCGGATCTCCATCGTTCCCCATCGTTTCTTGCAGCATGTGAGACAGTTGATCGATTTTGGCTCCAACAGTGTTGATACTCACCTTGAGGGTTGGCTCATCGATAACGACGTCGGTGTGGATGTCACGGTGTGCAATCGCCGCCCTCCTCTCGCCAGTGAATGCTCGGCTCTGCACACCGTCGCCATCCTCGCCGTTGCTGTCGTCGTCGTAGCTGTTGTTGTTGCTGTCGTCGTTGTTATTGAAGGATACGATCTTTTGTCGTTTGCTCCGAGATGCAGTGGGTCGTTTCTTGTGTGCAAACAATGTGGTTGTGTTGGTGTTGGTGGGTGTTATGTGTCGTTTCCTCTGGACAGGCGCGGTGGTAGAGATCGCAGAGACTGCACTGTTGTTGTTCCAGCTGCCATCGAGAGCTGTTCCTGCATTTCATGGAGGATCTCTCGGCTGAGGTTGGAGCACGAGAATTCACTGATGCGGAAACTGAGCTAGACTGATGAACAGATCCTGATCCTGATTCTGCAGGGTTCGTTTGCGTCTCCTGTGCTTGCTTGCGTCTTGGTGCCATGTCCGTAGTGATATTAGAGAGGGTTATGATTGTAAAGAGAAGTAGCTGATGCAAGGATGCTGGAATGGCGTGGTGTTGTTGTTGTTATTGTTATTGATCAAGCGTGTGTTCCTGTGTCTGAGGATGCCAAAGTAGTGCTAAGGGCTGCGGGGAGTTGAGTACTGGTAACTGTTGGTTGTTTGTTGATTGGCGTGAGAGATGGGTTTCGAGCCAAAGAAGGAGGGAATATCATTCTATTCACTGGAAAGATATAGCTGCTGCTACAGATGGCCAGCCCCTTGGCTGCATTGCATGTGCACCACACCATCTCGACCAATCATGTCGGCAGCTTTGATTTCTCTCGAGGTAGCGCGAGTCAAGATCCCACAACCAAACGCTGCCCGGCCAGTTCGAAGCAGCGACCCAACGACCACAAGGCGAATAGACCACTCAGGCAAGGGCTGAGTTTACGACGTCGCAGGGGCAAGTACGGGTATGTTGCTATCACCGGCGCGCAGGTGTCGTCAAAGGTGCGTGCGGACACCTGTTTACAAACTGGAAGAAGATGGGACCGTAGAGCTGAGGCCAACGTCTTGTTAAGTCAACCCGCGCGCGCACACAGACACAAGCACCCCATATCTCCTCCATCCTTTTTTCTACATGGTTTATCTTGCTCCCCTTCGTTTTTACAGTCGATGTTTAGGTCCCTACCACATACCCTCTCTTGCTACACAACAAACATACTCAGATCCTCCATCATTCTCCTGAGCAAGCTCATTCTCTTTTTTCTCACACTCTCCTCCTGCGCTGTAACCATTGTTGCAACATCTCAAAATTTGAGATGCTGCGCTTAGGTAAATGAAATAACAATCCTCCTTACTTTCTCCATATTACCTTGAAACAAGACATGGAGAGTAGACAAGGCAGGAAAGAAGAAAGGCTCCCAGTTCACCGCGGCAAATTCCAGAAAGAATGAGGGGTCGAGGCGCGAGATTTTTTTTCTCCATACTTGCAAGTGACAGGAAGTCCATTGGTGTAGAGTAGGCTACCTCGCGGGAGTGGCGGGATCGAGATGCCTTGTCTTTTGTGCTCCAGAGAGAGAGAAAAAGGTAAAAGGCAAACCTTTTTTTTTCTGTGGGAGATGACCTAAGATGCGCAATGGGGAAAAGGAGGGTGGGTCATGGCGCGACATCTTTCGCTGGGGGGGTTTTTTTTTCTTTTTGACGGGATTAGCAACTTCCCGCCGTCGTCTTTTTTGACGCGCATATCATGCAATTTTTAAGGGAATATTTGTATAAAGAGGTGAAGCATCTTTTTCACACACCTCCTCCTCCTCCTCCTCCTCCTCCTCCTCCTCTCCTCCTTCCTTTTCTTGTTCTTCCTCTTCTTCCTCTTCTTCCTCCGCCTCCTCCACCACCCTCCCAATTTCATCCCTCCCTCCAGCGCTCACACGCATCTCAACAACAAACTGCTTCTCGTCCTTTCCAGCCGAGAAATCAATGTAAGATCCACCTGCGGCGCAAGAGTTTATGTTCATGGATATCGATACCAATCCACAGTGTGTTTCGACACTTTACTCACGTCAACCACAATGCGCAATATCCATGTTATAGATCCACAAAATGCATTGGACAACTCCTGCCGTCCTGATCGGTCTCCTGGCCGCAGTCGGTACCTCGGTCCCTCTCTTCTCGCTCTCAGCTCCATCTCAACAGCCCTTTTCCCGCATCAATCGCCATTGTCCGAACAAACCACAACCCGATTGTGGGATTACTTACCTTCCACCGAGCGAACACCAAACTTCGGGTGTGGACTTGAACGGTCAAATGCAGGACATCATTGACAGCGAAATGGGGTACCGCTACTACCCCGAGAGGTACCGAGTGGCTCTCATGGAAGACCTATGCAAACCCAAGCTAGGATTCCGCAACTTGGTCTGCAACGTGACGATTCTCGAAGACCCGACCATCGAGATCATCCCTGCCCAACCCATCTCCCAAAGCATCTTTTGCTCCACTCCAACCTGCAGAGTCAGTTACTCTGTGACCCAGACTGTCTCTACCACGCATAGCACCAGTATTGGGTTCTCTGGTTCTGCGGGTGCCACGCCATTCGGGGTCGGGATGCAGTTCACGGCGACGACGGGATACGCGTTCAGTTCAACGACCGAGAAGGCGACCGAGTTGGGCTATGAATTCCAGATCAATAGGGGTGAGTCTGGGTATGTTGCTATTGTAGGTGTGCAGGTGTCGGCCAGGGCACGGTTTGAGAGCTGTCCGTGTGAGGTACATGGGGATGGAAGGGTAGACTGGAAGTGCAAGATCAAGTGTAGGTCAGAAGAAAAGTGGACGAGGAAGGAAGGCTACCACGAGTCGATCATCAAGCAGAATGGCGGAGTTAAGGGCATTGTCTCCTTCATCTACACTTAACTTTTTTCCTTTTTCCTCCTCTCAAAACCATCGTGAGACCAGACAGTACCTCTCTTGTTTTTGTCCATGGATATCCTCGTAGTCCATCTAGCATCTTTTCGCAACGTTAAAAATGTGTACAAACGAGTGTCCATCCTTTTGATTTTTGTTATCATGCACAAGGGGCTTGATTGCCACCAGCCCCTCTTTCTCTTAAACGTACAAACATACACGCCCTTCCATCTTCGCATGCTCTCTTTCTATCTCTTTCCTCCTATGCTCTTTCTCCACTCCACCCTCACACGTTGTTGAACTCTTTACTTTCTCTTGTGCAACATCCAATCTTATTTCTATCTCCCTCCATGAGTGACCGATGGGGATTGGGTGGGGTGAGGTGATACGATTAGAAAATGAAAAAAACGAGGCCTTTTTTCTCCAATTTGACCATGCTTGTTTGTTTTGTTTGTTTTGGTCTGGGATCTGGGTAGTACTATGCATGAGATGGAGTGGATGCTACTCTCCAAAAAGAAGGGTACAGTCAATTGATTACTGTTCTTCTATCTCGGATGTTTCTTCTACCTCGTATTGTTCTGCGATCTCCAATTGGCATCTTTTTTGTTCTTTTATTCCTCAGCCTTGAGTCTGGACTCGTATGTATGTCTGTATGTATGCATGTAAAGAGTAGAAGTAGGTAGAGAATGCACATAGTCTACATACATACTTACATACATACTTACATTCATGCACTCATGCATGTCTACGCTCTAGAACCAAAAGTACATCCACAGATAACGACGAATGCCTACTTGGGGTCCACTGGACGTGGAATAACAAACAAAAGAACACGCGTACCTTTCAAGACAATTGTTCACTCCCTCCGCTTTGGTACCATCTCTCGGACTTTTGTTCCTTTTCAAGGTCTCTCTGGGTTTAAGAGTACTCACAATGTTAGATCGACTGTTTTCGTCGTGAATCTTGAGCGAAAAAAAATCACATACGGTACCAATGAACAGGTACATAGGGGAGCAAGAGGACAGGACGGGGATTGGAAACCCTTACTTCCGTTCAGGCACAAAAGCACAGGCACGCTCGTCCAGCAGCGAACCCGAAACCATCAATTCCAGGGCCATGGCCAATAATATCCAGCGGAGAAGTCTCATTGGCATTTGGAGGAGAATGGGGAGGGGGTGCCAGATCAGAGCAAAATGTACCCGAGCAGAAGAGAGCATTACTAACTTTCTTACGCATCACTAGCTCGCACATCCTAATAATAAACGTCCATCAGCAAGCATCCATGTCAGTGTGTGGGTTGAAAAGGCCAAAAAAAACAGGGGGAAGGAAGTCCTTGCTTACTTGTCTGGGATATTGGGCTCCGCCTATTTTTGGTTGTTGCTTGAGAACAGAAGACGCTAAGGAGAAAAAAATACCAGGGCCATGAGGATGGGCTAAACCCCTTCACCATCACACTCACTTCACATTCCCTAACTTACCCTATTGTTTTATATCCAGCTCACAAGCATTAGCCTGTGAGCATCCATATTCCAACTGACAAAAATATTTTAAACGAAAGCGTGGAGGAGAAAGGTACATGGAAAGGGTCGCCCAACAGGGGGATCAAAAATAAAGACGGAGAACACTGCTCAAGAGGGAGTCGGTTGATCGCTTTGTTGATGTTGTTGACGTGCCAGGCAGGATGAATGGTTTTTTAATTGAGGTGAAATCATACCATGCGCGAGTAAGACACTATTGGGGTGGTTGATGGTTGTTGGTGCCTTCATTTGTGCTTTGTGTGCTTGCGTTTGTGTTTGTGTTTGTGTACCTCTCTTTCTTTTCATCAGCGGGCAATACAAACCAAACAAACCAAACAAAGCAGACAAAAAAAACAAAAATGTAGCATGGAAATAGGAAATGAGCAAGTAGAAAACAAACAAGAGCTGCATGTCCTTTTGGTCTCATCCATATATATTCCTTTCAGGGCTGTTGTTGGATGTATTTGCTTGTTGAACGTTCGGATGTAACATGAAATTGCACCTCGTTTTTTTGTTCTTGGAACAAGGCAAACTCGGCAATCCCAGTCAAGGCTGCACGGAACAGGCGACGCTTTTCAAAGCTCCTTTTCTTTTCGTCAAAGTTGTCTTTGGTTGGTTAGTTGGCTGTCTGGCGCGGTCGGTGTAGTCGGAAACTTTACTTGACGCCTTCCTTTTTCCAACTGGACGAAAGGGACAATAGGAGAGAATTGAAGAGAGTAAGAAGGAAACAAAAAAAAGGAGATGATGAGAGCCATAAATTTGGATTTGTTTGAGCTCTTTCAGTTGGCACCGGCTCGATTCCTCGTTTTTGTTTTTATTTCTTCTTGATAGACAAAACGACAACAACCAAAATAAGAGGTGGCCAACCATATGGTACTGGAACAGATGAGCATGCCTGTCATGATGAAGACACCTTTTAGCCTTCCTATTGTTGTGCGTTGCAAAGAGGAATGATGACATGGGGTTGAGTTGAGGCGGGTGTAACAAGGAACGACTTGGACACTTTTTTGTGCCGTTTATCGACTGACAAAGAGAACAGCCGAGGTGCTGGCTTCAGATACTTTCTGGCAACTCTGTGTTGGCCAGCCAAGTCATCCAGCCGGGTCCACCGAAGGGAGGCATTGGAAATATGAGCATGAGGCTCTGTTTCTCTTTTTGAATTCAAAAAAAGGTAATGCCCGTAAACGAGGGGAATAAGAGAGTTGAGTGGAGTGAGAGCGAGAGCGAGAGAAAAAGAAGGCGAGAGAGGGAGAGTGTGGTCGAATAGAGAAAGAGTGATCACCAGGAGAGAGAGAGGACAAGGACATGGTTTGAACTCTCCTATGCAATGCAGCACACAACCACAATAAAAAACCCTCCGAACACGCATTAACTAATAATCAAAACATTTAACGGTCAATCAATTCGACTGAATCAGTCGAAGATGAGTCTTCCCTTATGTGGACCTTATTTCTTCTTAAAAGCGACCAGCTCCTCCTCTCATCCTCACTTTTTTTTTCTCTTTTATTTTCCTACCCTCTTATATCCCCTGCTTTGTTCACTCCTCACTATAATTTGCATCTTTCGCCTTGTATCCTACCTTTCCTTACCGTATTCACTTACACAGCAGCAAGCAACACACCTTCACACCCCCGCTTTGAACACTTGACCACCTATCCATCCTTCCCTCGGTCCTCTGTAACCAATCCACACACTCGCTCGACCCACATATAGCTAATTTCATTAACCAACACACCCGCCATCTATCCCACCTTTCAACCAGCCCAAACAACAACACAACAACCCCAGACAACACTAATAACCACCCATTTCGCACTGTCCATAATTTACCACCATTTCTCCTTGGCGCGGCAAATTTATTGCACTGGCCTTTATTTTCTTCCCGCTCCCTCCTTTTCTTTTCGCTTCCATTACCATTCCCTCCCATCCATTCATCCCCCCTATGCATTAGCTATGCAAGGACTGAGGTAGCATTCAATTCTATTTACACAGTTTTTGTTTACATTTGGAGCGGGACGAACAACGACGACATCATCCAGTATCCAATTTAAGAGGTAAGCAAGCGACCACACATACAAATATCCTCTGCAATGCATGCCCTCCTCCCTTCCCTCTCCCACCTCTGCCTTCCACCAGAACACCAAAAAAACAGTTATCTAAGCATGCAAGCAATCGACGCCAGACCCTCCCTTCCCTTTCTGTTTACCTCTGAACGTGTTCTCCCTCCCTCCCTCTTCCCTCTCCGCCCTCTCTCTCTTTCTCCTATATTCGTTCCATCTCTCCCCCGATCTGTTTTTTTTCCCGCCACACAGGCTGACGATGAAAATAAGTCGCTTCTTATGCAACCTAAAAAAAAACAAAGTTGCAGGAATGACTCCCAACCATTGAACACAAAGGCGAAGGTGAACACAATAAACGTTTCCCTCCCTTTCGTCCATCCACTCTCGCTGCTTGGAGCATTTGCAATAAACATCCGCATCCCAACACAAGCACCGGTGTGTTTGTCTGTGTGTGTGTGTGTGTGTATGTGTGTGTATGTGTGTGTGTGTGTGTGTGTGTGTGTGTATTGTGTGTGTATGTATGTGTCCTGTATGTATGTGCCTGCACTGTCTGTCGGACCAAACATTCAAAACCATCGACCATCCCCCTTTTTCTCTTTCGCCCACTCGTTCTTCCTCTTTTCCCCCGCGGACGTCGTTCTTTTGGATTCTTGTATTCTATTTCTTTTTTCGCTCGGCGCATTTATCTCTTCCCGCCTTTTTTTTCGCGTCATTTCGTCCTCTTGTTCCACACTCTCTTCTCCTTCGTTCTTCCTCTTACTGCTACTCTGTGCAACAAGAACCATATTTAAACCAAGGCACTAACCTCCCGTTTTCCCTCCAACTTTTTTTCCTTTCGACAACTTGTTTTTTTTCTTCAACGTCTATTTCACCCATTCACAGATACACCATGGCTGACGAAGTCCCTGTCTCCACCCCTTCCCCTTCTCTTCCCTCAATATCAACACCATCCTCATTCCCCGTCAACAATATACCCTCAACCCCCACAACAGCAAATCTATTCCAAACCACCACCCTTTCATCTTCCATCCCTGCACAAACTACCTCACCACACCCACCACAACAAAACGGACTCCCCCTTGTACCAATCATTGGCGCTGGTGCCGGAGTTCTTCTCATCCTCTTCGCAGTAGGAGTATGGTATTTTCTTCGACGGCGCAGACAGCGTCGCAAGGATACCAAATCTGGATTCTCGATTGTCTCCCCTGACCGCAAGGGATCTTCTCAATTCGACCACGACCAACAACGTCGCTCTCGCTCCCGGGCGAGGAACAGCAACAACAGCAACAAAGTCGGCAATGAACAACAACGCATCTCAGTCGACTCCTTCCCTGGGCGCTCCTTCCCTGGGGACCAACCATCGATCCACGAGGACAGTGATAGCGTCGATCTCGAGATGGCCTTGCCTCTTCATTGCAGCACACTGCCCTTTCCTGACTCTCCTTACTCTAGACCTCGGCAACCACCCATTATCCCTGTCAACCCTCGGTCACAACCGCCAACACCGGCGCCTGTTCCTCCTCCTCGGTCAATATCGATTCCGATGCCAGAAACAACGACGTCAAGTCCAGTAGAGGAGAAGGAAGAAGTGTCTGAGAAGCCCAACCATATCCACATCGACATAACCGAAATGCAAGTCGTTGGCAGTGACGAGATCAAGAATGTCGTCCAACCGTCTCCACAACAAGAGCAGGTCGCACAACACACACCAGAAGCATCCGCCTCCGCTGCCACAGAAACAGAGGAGACGCCTCGTGAGTCAACAGACACCATCATGCCAACGCCTGTCCCTCGCAGACCCAAGCTTACAGTCCAAAATAGCTCCGACAGCTTTATCCAAGGCGGTCGTGCTCGCATCTCGATCGCCCGCCCTCCTCCTCCTCCGCCCACTATTCCCCCTCCAGCTATACCCTCGGGCCAAGAGCATGGCAGGGTTTCGACCGAGTCGTCCTATCGGTCTAGCATGTACTCTACATCTAATCAATCCGCGGGAGGGCGTCGTCCAGGAATGTCGACAGACTCATCGCGCATCTCTTACTCTCGTCGCAGTGTCAGCATGGATACTACTTCCTTTATAGTAGATGGTCGCAGGCTGTCTCGCAAACTCATCTCTCCCCCCAACATGCCTCCTCCCCCCATCACTCTGCCCCCTCCTCCACCAGTCCCAGTACCCACAACCTCGCCATCTTTAACACCAATCTCGTCCACGCCACATCAAGCACCCCGTCGTCAACGCCACCAACGTAATCCTAGTCAAGCCCTCAACACGAGTCTCTTTGATTCGTCAGACCGGTCGGCCATCTCTCCACCCCTCTCGCCCCTGACTGTTCAAATCCCTCGACCCAGCTCTCGGTCCTTCCAGTCACTGCTGACAATAAACACCCAGCTCACTGCCGAGAATGTACAGCAATACCTCCAACAGCAACAACCCCAGCCACTCGAGATCTACAAACCTGATAGTCCTACCGATAGCGTCTTTGCCGTTTCCCCAAGGACTTCCTCCCTTCACCATGCCCCACGGTCAAGAAGCAGGTCAGCGACTCAACTCGAGACTCAGCGGATTATGATCCCTCCTTCTCCTGTCAATGCCACTGCTTTTGGTGCTACCTCGCCTACCTTTTCTCCTCCTGTGCCTCCTGTCCCTGCAATGCCGAGCTCTCTTGCGGACCATCTCCCATTGTCGTCGCCCCGGTCGACATCGTCTCAGTCGTACGTTGCATTCAAGCAGCCCTCCCTGTCTCACCAACAGTCGTCCAGCAGCCTTGATAATCCCCGAACTGATGCTATAGCCTCAGGCTCAACTAGCCATAACCACTACCACTATGGCGCAAACGACAATGGCCACCATGACTACCAGCACTACGAACGAGGCGCCCACTCACCGGAACCCAAGAAGCGCCACCACCAGAAGCAGCACCGCCGTCGATCCATGTCCGCACCTACCTCCCCTTCCTCGCCTACCTCTCCTTCCTCCCCTTCATCTTCCCGCCAAAGGGAAAGGACCTCTTCTACATCACCCTCCTCTGGTCGTAGATCCAAAGAGGATTCCGTTAGGGCTAGTGCGACTGCTACTCCAACTAGTACAAAGGACCAAGAACTGCAGGCCATCATCGCTGACGCGATCGCGATCGCAGCTGCCAAAACCGCAGCCGTCGAGACAGCGCGCCAGAATGACTTTTCGCGACAGTTGCAAACAAAGCAGCAGCAGCATCAGCAGTACTTGGAGCAACATCACCAGTACCAGCAACATCAGTATCAGCAGAGACGAGGTGTGCAACCCCCGCCGCAAATGGACTCTTGGCGGTCGATTACTCCTTCTACGGCCGATTCTTCTCGACCTGAGTCTCCTCTGTGAAAGAGAATTTGCTTTAGTGTAGATATCGAAAAGAAAACGAAGGACAGAAAAAAAATAATTGAGAAAAGATAAAAAACAATAATAAACCCCCCCCCCCCTCTATTGTACAACAGCAATCCGTATATCTTTCAGAGAAGTTGCATCTGTCATGGACAAACAAAAAAAGAAAATGAATAACGTAGCATTCATACCTTGGTCATCAACACCTGCTTATTATCCATGCCTCTGTGGGCAAAAAAAATCAAAAGAAGAACTCGGGACTACCGTTTTCAGCCCAGTGAAGGGCGAATCGTCCGGATGTAGGATCGGACAGTTTAGGCAGTAGTTAAAGTCATAGTTCTGTAGCAATGAAGCTGCGTGGTCCGGGAATCGAACCCGGGTCTACCGCGTGGCAGGCGGTAATTATACCACTAAACCAACCACGCTTGTGTTGCTTGTTGCTTGATGGAATGTTAGGTTTTCGGAGATCCATATATCTAAGGTCGTCAAATTCACAAATGAAACGTAAAAGGTCATGTGATATTACCCCTTAAGTAGAAAAGACCACCTAGACTGAGGCCTCGGAAGTCGGAACTAATCTGGATGACAGGAGTCAAGGATATGGTTAAATCACCCGTGGTGGGGCCGCTAGCTACGCATGAGGATGGGACCTACCATGGAGTGACCAAGAACCCAGGCGCTGCTGACGAGTGGTTGTTGGAGCGTTTGTTGGTTATCAATGATGGAGAGGATAGTGTGGTGATGTAGATGGGGATCTGCCTTGAGTAATATTTTGGTGGCGTTCTTTTGGCCGCCATTTCGCAGTGCAGAAAATGATAATAAAATAATTCGGAACCGAGCTATTTGGCTCGGGGTGCATTTTTTCTCTTACTCTTTTTGATCCATTCTTTTGTTGTGTTTCCTTTGAACAAACACCATTGAAAACATACGGGCGATCGAACAGTCAGGACGCGCGACAACCAGCATATCACACAAGGGTCTACTTTATCGTTAGTACTCCTTCCTTTTGTTCTCCCCGGCTTGTCTGCCCTATCCTTGACACTTTGTGCCCTCCTGATGCCATAGAGATCCACTTTCCACCCTGCCGACCGACGTTTCCGCCAGACCTCCGCTGTTGCAGCCCAACACCCGACCACAGGCCGATCTATCGTCTAACGGCGGACTGCGGTGCAACTGTCAACATATATTATGGGTTAACCCTTCCCTTCATTCTCCCCCCCCTCTTTTTATTTTAGTTTGTTTATTCTATCGATCTCACATATGCGAACTCCTTGGTCCTCTCCTAGTTCATCCTTAAGGATATAGTCCTAGCTCCACTGCCCATTTGTTTAGACTAGATCTCCCACACATAGTCTTTGTTTACATCATCGCAATAGGAAGAGTCCCCTGTATTTGCGTCTAAGGAGTAACTGATGGGTGGCGCACTGAAGTGTTTTCTGTTGCCCTAAATTATGTACAAAAAAAAAAAAAAAAAAACCTTTGACGAGGGAAGGAGATGATGTAGTAGGATTGTGAAAGGAAGAACGTCTTAATGGGTTTATCCCCTGCGTGTTGCATCCAGAGGGCAATAGAGGAGAGAGGTGTGGTATCTGTTATCTTAATGGTCTTTGAGAAAATGAAAAAAAATTCATGCGCCAGGCGATGGACAGGCAGAGGAAGTGCCACAGAGACCATCTTGATTATTATTATTATTACATATATATTTTTTTTTTTCAAGGTAAAGATGGACCGTCTGAAAACCACCTTAATTCTGTCCTAGACCTGGAAGTGAACTGGAAGAGATTGCACCTGAGGAAGTGCAATTGTTGGGTTTTTGAGGAGCGGATGGATGATTGGGAAGATGTATATCAGGCTTCTTCAGAACAGGTATGAAAAAAAATGCAGGGGAAAGCTATATTCGTTTGGTTTTGAAATGCGTGAGAGTGTTTTTTATTCATATTCTGCCGTATGGGCCATTTGCCGCTTTGCTCCTTCGCTAGTATGTTCCACTAGCACTTTGCTTATCGTTTCGAGTCTTTTCAGTATAGGACAATCAGAGAGACTGACAAATGTTTACGCTTTTGTTTGTTTTTACTCGCGCTCCTGCAAATCATGAGAAAAAAAATAAGTGGTCAGTGCAGGCAATTAATTAGGGTTAGCATTCAAACAAGAGACGAGACAAGGACATGAAAACGAAAAAAACTTACAAAGATGGCAGCCATGCCCATGCCAGAGCCGATACACATGGTCGTCAATCCAAGTCTCTTGTTCTGGCTCTTCAAAATCGGAAAGAGCGTCGCAATCTGACGTGCACCAGTGCATCCCAGAGCTAAGGTATAGCAAAGGAAAAAAAAAAAAAAAAAGGGTGTCAGCAAGACAAGTTTTCGTGTAACCAGGGTTTAAACAACCCAAACTCAAAATGGTTTTAACAGCAACAAAGCAAAAACTACACAAAAAGATGGGGAACGTACGGTGTCCGATGGCGATGGCGCCGCCGTTCAGGTTGATCTTATTCTCGTCCAGACCCAAGGTTTCGATGACATAGACGGCCTGAGAAGCAAAGGCCTCATTGAGCTCAAACACATCAATGTCTTGAATCGCCACACCAGCCTTTTCACAGACCGCTGGGATAGCAACCGCTGGGCCAACTCCCATAATTCTATCCATGGGTGACCAACAGAGGAGCATAAGTTGTTAGGAAGGCGAATACTACCAGCAAAGAACGTGGTAAGGTCAACGTGAGCGATTTCGAAATAATCAACTTGGCTTGTGTTCATAAACAAATCGTTCTTACCTGGGAGGCACGCCCTGAACAGCTGAGGCGACATACTTGCCCAAGATTGGCAACCCCAAACGCTGAGCAGTCTTGCGTTTCATCAACAGCACCGCCGCGGCGCCATCCGAGACCTGGGACGCAGTCCCCGCTGTCGTGAGCCCTCCAAACGCTGGCTTTAGCTTTGAGAGAGACTCTTCCGTGACACCATCTCGGACGCCATCATCGTGGGCGACGGTGATGGACTGGGGTTTGCCGTCGGCGTCGAGGATCGTGGTCTGGACGGGGATGATTTCGCTGTCAAATTTTCCTTCCTTTTGAGCCTTTGCGGCCTTTTGGAAGGAACGGGCTGAGAATGCGTCTTGGCGCTTGCGGTCGATGTTATAGTCGCTTGCTACGTTCTCTGAAGTGATTCTTCAATCGATTCGTTGATTAGAAAAAAGAAGAGAGGAGGGTGAGGAGGGAACAAGCATGTTAACTACATTTTTTCTTGCGTTCTCTGGTGGTGGAACGAAAAGGTCGCCCAAAACTTTAACTCAACAATAACAAAAGCAACAAAAAAAAAAGACGCATACCCCATAGGCAAGTTACAATCAGCAGCAGCCTGACTCGCCGCCGGGATAATCTCCGAAGTCCGGGGCGCCATCGCCGAAGGTCCATACCCCATCGTCATACTCTCCACTCCTGCACCGATTCCAACATCAATCAACCCCGCCTGGATATGCGCCGCAATGTTGACAACCGCCTGAAGACCGGAGGAGCATTGGCGGTTGGTGGTGTAGATGGAAGTCTTTTCAGGGTAACCTGCATAGAGAGCCGCCTGGCGGGAGACGGTTGAGCCGCCGGAGGCTTGGAGAACGGTGCCGACACAAATGTCGTCAACGATGGAGGGGTCGATCTTTGTGCGGTCTTTGATCGCGATCAGGACCGCTGCCAGGAGATCCTCGCTGGTGGTTTCCCATGTTATTTTGACGTGACAGAGGGAGAAGGAGGGAGGGTGAAAGGAAGGAGTTGTATGTGAGCGAATGGAGCGGATGATTAGTACATCGTTCGTGCCTTTTATCATATATAAGAAAAACCACACCCATGCAGCAAACGTGCAAAGAGAAAGGGGAGGAGGAGGGACTTACGGCACGGTATCTTTGAAGCCTCCTTTCTTGCCGCGTGTCAATGGGGTACGGACAGCATCGATAATGACAACATCGTCGGGCGACTTGATTCCAATCTTGGTCGCGAGCGCAGTCGCAGTTGCCGCAGCTGTTGTGGCAGCGATAGGCTGTCTGGCGAGGTGGGATGCGATTTGTGTCAGACGAGCGGCCATGGTTGCAGTAGTAGATGTTGCTAGATGTTGTTGTTGTTGACGAGAACGAGAACAGTAGGGATGAAGGACGAGCAAAGAAAAAGAACGCTGAATTTGGAGAGATGGACTGTGCGTGGGTAGAGAATGGTGCAGCTGAGTTCAAAAGTAAAGTTCTTTCTGAGTGTGTTGCAGATCAAAGAAAAAGTGGTTATTTGAAAATGAGATGTGGGTGAAGAGAGTAGCCCTTTTTATACTTGTCAAGGAGGAGGAGCATGTGACACATCGAACAATCGAGCAAGTTCATTTCGCCCAATGCGGGGTAATGCCATACAGAAACATGATCAAAGAGGCAAAGAAAGGAAAGATGAAGCTTGGTCACCCGGATGAATTGCACCCGGTCCTGTCGATTTGTCAGACAGTGAAAAAAACACTCATCTTAAATTTTCGCACGGGGGATACATGCGTCTTTTCTTCAACAACGTGGAGATGCACTCTCAAGAATGATGCAGTATACAAGATCTCAATATGGTTATCCCGGAAAAAAAGGGAGGCGCATTGTTGGTGAGTGAGTGTGTAGAAAGAGTGATCGACGGTGGTGAGGCGTGATCCACTCGGCTTTGTGCCCGATGGTCGCGTTTTGATCTCTTCTTTTCTCCTTTGTGCACCACACACACCAACACAAAACAATAAAAGTTCATGACATGACACAAAGCTGCGCTGCTGGCGACATTTCTTTCTTTCTGGCATATGAAAAGCGAATATTATTTAGATACTTGTTGAATGGGGGCAAGAAAATGCAAGATGCAAAAAATCGTATTATTAAGAATAAAAGTATCAAGGCTTCTTGAAGAGGTCGGTAAGATGATGACCCCGTCCTCCTCCACCAGATGACTGCGATGGCGACAACGAGTTCCGTCGCGAACCTGCTGCGGACATCTCTTGATCCAGAAACTTGACGCGATCACGCCCGTCAATTTCGTGGCTTGTTTTCCTGACTACTCCATTATCCTCTTCCCTCTCCTCCTCGTGGATATGAATCACAGAATCGCCATTGCTGTTGTTGCTGAACCTTGGAGACTGTGCCTCATTTGGCGATCCAACCTGTGAAAGGCTGGGACTGGCCGAGTGTGTCGAGGAGTGGTTCTGCCTCAACTCCTGAGCAAAGCTCTTGTCATCACTGCTGCTGCTGCTGCTCTCCTCAGAGCCAGTGATAGTGACAGGTGGTGTTCCCGAAGACGACGAGGGTGTGGACCCGTTGTTGGTCAAGTTAAAAGACGGTCGAGGTGTGTTGGTTCCTTGAGAAGGAGGTCGAAGTCCGTCCTTGACTGGGAGGTTAAAGTTGATGCTGGGGCTGCTGCTGTCCTTTTCCTTTTCCTTCTCTCCTGCTGGTTCGCCACTGTTACTGCTACTGTTATTGTTGTTGGCATTGGGATTGTAAACGGATGCGCGGAGGTTCCTGTTGACGGCGGCTCCCTTGGACGCCTCCTTCATCTCCTTCACAACGTCCTGTAACGTCCTGACAGTGTTGTTGTTGCTGTTAATGTTATTCGCCCGACTGAGATCAGGCACACCTGCAATACCAAAGCCGGCATAGGGCAGCACTCCTCCATATCCATACGAACGCTGGTTGACCGATCTCTGGTGGTCATATCCAATCGATCTCTGGTTGTCGAATCCAACAGAGCGCTGGTTATCGTATCCAATTGAACGCTGGTGGTCGTATCCGATCGTCCTTTGCTCGCCATCGCCTTCGGGAACGCCTCCAATGCTCGATCCGCTGACAGTAGGAGGTCGCAAGACAATCTCGTCTCCGATGTTGATGTGGGGCAACCGCGTGACTGCATGGTTGGCGTCCTCGCGCTTCCTGGACCAGGTGCGCGTGTATTTGTACTGGAGATGAAGCAAGGGCACAGTAACACCGTGGATCATGACACTCGAAAAGACCAGGAACATAACGATTGGGAAGATGATTTCGCGAATACGCATCAAACTTTCAAGGTTGTGCACATGGTCACCCAAGTGCTCAGGGCTTGTCATCATGGCGGTCAACTTTGAGAAAAAGACGGCTCCGACTCCAATGGGGCCGAACCAACCTGCGAAAGCCGCGTCACGGTACGTGGTCAAGGCAGGAATTAATGGCTTCAGAGCCACCAAGAAGGGGAGTCGCCGGAGCAAGAGAATCACAATAGCCAACACGATCAGACGCCACACGGACAAGCCCAGGGAGGAATCGTTGAAGCTCGAGAAGGGGATCGACGCACCAATGTAGACAAAGCAGGCCAAGTTGAGCAACATATCGATGATCTCCTGAATATGGGCCTCGGCAATCTCGTTCGAGAACCAGTCGCTGAAAGAGTAGAGAGAAAAATAGGAGAGTAAATGTTAGTAAGCGCGAACATGTCTATTGAAACAGAGATTGGAGGGAATAAAGTTGACTTACTCCCAGGCGAATACGTTGCCAGCAACGAAGCAGGCCAAAAGGTCATCGGATGCGATGATACTGACAATTCCAGCAACGGCGAGCGCCATAGCAATCGAAAAGACCAAGAATGATTCCTTGTCAATCAGGTTTCTATGTGCCGAATAGTTGTATAAAAATAAGAACCCATGGGTGAGAGAGGGGTCTGGGCGAGAGATAGAGTTCAAATATTCAGCGCTAAATCAACCTCATGCGACTTGCATCATGCTGGATGATGCAATGCGTACCTGTTCTTAGCGCCCTTGACCAGTTTGCGGCAGCCAAATCCAAAGACTCCTCCAATGACGATACTTAAAAAGATCTGATAGCCCCAGACAAGGTAGAACCATTTTCCTATAGCAACACCGGCAGAGGGCTCTTTGACAAGATAAAGGCCAAGGAGAAGGAAGGGGAGACCCATGCCGTCATTGATGCCTGACTCTGCCGACAAGAGGTAACGAATACGAGGAGGGACATGCTTCTCGGCGAAACGGCCTTTGACGACCGAGTTGGACAAGACGGGATCGGTGGGGGTGACACAAGCAGCAATGGCCATGGATTCGACCTATCGTGACGAGAGAGAAAAATAAGATATACACGGACACAAGAAAGAGAGGGTGATGAGTATGACTTCATTTAAATCGTCATGAAAGCCTCGTCCTGTAAGCGGCCGTCGGAGAGATAGACAAAAGCGAGAGGGAATGAGAAGACTTACAAAGCTGAGATTGGGGATTAGAGCCCAGATGAGGAGTGCGGAGGTGCCAAACATGAGGCACATCAATGGCACGATCATCATGAACAAGGAAAGCTTTTCCTTGAGAACGTATGACCTATGATTGGATGACGACAGTAGCAACAAATGACGAAGTGAGTTCTCTCTTCCTCGGTAAACATTTTTGTTTTCATTTCATACTTGGGCTGGTGTATCTGGGTGAAAGAGAGTGAAAAGAAAGTCGACTGAGGGAGGGATTTGGGGGAGGTAAGCCTCCCCCTACAACCTTGTTGTGTGCTCGAGAGCACTGTCCAATTCTCACTCGCATATTTTCCCTCCCGTCGCCCGGGATTAAGATTGTTCCTTGCCCACAACAAGTAGACAAACGCAGAAAAAACAAAGGGGGAAATGAGAACGTTCTTTTGTTCGTACCTTGGCAACGATACTCCTGCAGCCATGACCTGGACGGCGATGACAATTCTGGTGAACTCGAGGGTGACATTGTCGTATTTTTCCCATCCTAGCGGGTTAAAGATCCCGATGGCATAAGGTCCGATAATAATACCAAAGACAGTTGCAACAACTGCGGAGATCCAGGCAGATATAAAGGTTAAGGTAATATGCAGGAGAAATAAAAGAGGGGCAGGGTTAGTTAGCCAGGGGAACGGTTAGAGATGTAGATGAGAACATCATGAAGGGGCGAGCGAGAGTGTAAGCGAGACCCACATGGCAAACCACACCGATCCCAGGTACCATTGGAACAAGAAAATACGAAAAAAAGCAGACAGATCCTTGCCTTCCCATCCCACCTCTTTTACGCACTTCTTTTTCTATCGTTCTGTTTGTCGATGGGAGAAAGAGCCGAGATGAAATGAATCCAACTATTAGTTGGACAAACCCTTGTTTCCGAAAGAGTTGGGTTGACAAGGAAAAAAAAACTGATGACACCTGCTTGGACAGGAAGGAACGAAGGCAGGGTGTGGCCCTCTCTCCCACTCGCTCTGTTCAAGTCGATCTGATGACTCCATAGGAAAATAGAATAAAAGCAAAGAAAAAGGGATCGAGTTGGAGACCGTAGTCGGATGATCCAGGGATACTCTTGTTTTGCATTTGCGCTCTCCCTTGCCTTCCCTGAATCGTGGTTGTTGGTTTGTATTTTTTTTAGGGGTGTGTCAAAGTGGGTACAAAGAAAAAAACAAAAAAAAGAAAAACGAGAGGTTGGTGTAGTGGCTGTTGTTCGATCCCTTCTTGATGTTCGACCGAGAGTTCTATTGACGAAGATGGTGGTGATGATGAAGGTGGGCGATATGGGGGAAGAAGTAACGCTCCTCGTCTGAAAAGGACCGGGCCAAAGGATACAAAGGATGGAACGGGTCCCGTCCTCGTGTGCGTATGTGTGTGTGTATGTATTACTCTCGTTCCCTTCCTTATTTCTCATTGTTGTTTGTATTGGTGCTAGCGTCTCCAAGGAATCCTCGGATCAACTTTTTCATCCAGCCCACACGCACAAACGGATACACAGAGATGTGATATGCACATGTATGAGCAAAAACGGTTGCTCTGTGTATGTATGTGAGGGTGAGGGTGTGTGCTCGATCCATCCGCAAAACGGTCGGTAAGCGATACTTCGTCACTCTCTTACTCCCCTATTCCCTATTCCTTTTTATCCTATCCATCCCCTCTCTTCTCCTTTACCCGAACGACCAACCACACAGGAGTAGAAAGTAGGGGGTTGAATTGGCACAGGAAAAACACAAAAGAAGGGAAGAGCCAATGCAGACAAATTGTCGGTAATACAAAATAAAATAAAGATGGAAAAGAGTAGGAGTCCAGAACATAAGAAACTTACAGGCTTCGGAGATGAACAGCTTTTCTTTCACAAACAAGCTGACAAGACCGAAAACGATGATGAAGCAGCCAAGGAACGCATAGGCGACATGCTCGGTTGAAGCCTCAAGGATAATGGCTTCTCCTGACATCCAATTTGTATAGTGTTGTTTGGGTTGGTGTTAGTGGTTGTGGTTGTTGTCGTGGTGGTGGTGGTGGTGGTGGTGTGTGCTCTGTTGTTGTTTTTTTATTGTCGTTGTTGTTGCACGACGAAGTATGTATGAGTTCAGGGATAAGAGAAGAGCAGAGAAAGGGAGCTTGTGTGATGAGTACAAGTATGATGAAAGGACAAGGAAGAGTAGGGGTAAAATGGACTGAGAGCAGTCAGAGGGAAGATGGGTGTAAGGAATGAAGGGTGTAGGGAATAAAGGGGAGTGATGAGTAAAAGGGTATTGTTGGGCGAAATGAGAAGAAGAGGAGATGAAGAAAAGGAGAAGAATGAGATTCCAGAAAGAAGAAGGAGGTGCAATCTCTTCTTTTCTTTAGGGGAAATGAAGGAGGTGGAGGGGAGAGTATGGGTGAAGAAAAAAAAAAAAAAAAAAGAAAAATAGAGTACAGCCGCCAATTTATTGTTTTTTTGTCTTGTTGTAGGGGTCCCGCACAGTCTAGTCTTCAAATTTCTATGACGAATTGGAGGCAAAAGGCAAAACAACTAACCCGCTCCTCCTCACTCCCCTTGGACCATTGGTGCCTCACTCCCCCTCTTCCTCTCCTTCTCTTATTCCTCTTCCTCGTCGAAGACGATCTCCTGCTGCAGAATGACGGGTCCCTTTTTTTCGCTTTGCCGCCCTTCCCGATTCATATGATGGCCACAAAATGAAGTCGATCATTCAAGAAGCAGTCACTCTGCACAGAAACATTATCTATGAACAACATGATGGGTATCAATCAATACAGTTTTAATCCGACAACACTAAAAAGAGGTCCTTCAACCAGTGAACTGACATCGAGTGGTCACAATAATGCCATTGACCTCGGCCTCCGCACGAATTTCCGTCGCTCCAAAGTACATACGAAGCTCAAACACCATCTTGTGTCCCGGCTGTGCTCCATGTACATATGGCAGAGGGATCAAAAAATCGCCAATCTTCTCCACCATCGGTGAGTCCACATACCGGGGCAGATTCATGCTCGAGCATGCGAAAAGAGGCGAGTTCACTGGCTTGGGGTATTGGTACGTCACATAGCGCTTGGTGATACACTCGTCAATGCCGATGTGCTGACCGGGCGCAACATACACCGAGAACCGATCGCGTGCACGCATCATGCCCTCGTGGTCCCGAACCTTCTTGTGTGGCAAATCCGATCCCTCCTCATAGGCCATCAACGAATCGACTCCGTACCATCTCCTAGCCACACGCTGAGTGATCGTCCGGGGCATCAATCCTGCATACGCTGCTCCACGGACAACAGCCAGTTCTGCACGTGGGGGAACTCCAATCATCGGCACACGGGCTCCAAACTCGGCCTGGACTCGAGTGTGGAGATATCCTGAGCATCCAAAGCCTCCGACCAAAAAGATGGCGTGACAGTTGTAGTGCGTCTGCTGGAGCTGGTGTTGGATCAACCGGAGGACATCGTTGATGACAGGGTCAAAGACCTCCCGCCTCATTTCCTCCGCAGAGACCGTCAAGATTCCATCCTCCAGTCCAATGTCAAAGTCCGTCAGGTCTGCACGTCCAGGAACTGCTGGCATGGTGATGTACTGGTCCTCGACGCCATCGAACAGTGGCTTGACATTATGAATAAACGTCTCCATGAGCTGAACCCAGTTGGCCGCCGTGAGTCCCTTCTCCTGCCACTTTGCGAACCGCTTCCTCAACAAAGCCTCCATGCGCTCGTCCAAGAAGATGGATCCACAACTGTGACCACTTCCACGGGTCACCTCCCTCAGGGTCCTGCCATGGGGTCCCACCGCGACCTCAAAGACAATCAAATCGACAGTTCCACCACCGGCATCGCAGATCATGAACCGTTGTCCGTGTCCGATCTGGAATTGGTCGCACTTCTTCTCACAGTACAAGGCAGCCGCTTCGGGTTCCGAGATTAAGAGCAGTCGATGGGGCGGGTCCAAGGGTGAAATCATCCCTGCACGAAGGGCTGCCTGTCGCATGATCGCCTTTGCATTGTCCGTCCACATGGCAGGCACCGAAAGACAGTACTGAATATGTTGTTGTTCGAACGAAGATCCAAAACCTTTGAGAACGGTCTATAAATTGTATCCAAGATAAAATGAGAAAAAAAGTTAGTTTAACGACAGCAGTATAATGTCAATCTGCGATAGACTCGTGGAGAAAAAAAGAACCTTGCCTGAATAACGTGTGCGTGGAAGAGGCGAAGGTAGTCTGCAATGGCGTCGACAACAGTGAGTCCGTTGGGGAGGGGTGGATGAGGTCCAGCTGCGTCGTCCAGATGAAGCTTGTACTTTGAAAGCAGGACGTGGTTCTTGTATGGGGGTTTTGTGATGGCGACCTTGGCGGTGTATCCCCACTCCAGGATCTCTTTGGAATTAGGTCCGTACAAGTTGCATGTTGGTACCTTGGGATAGTTGTGTGTCTGCTTGGGCCTAAAGTGTGCAATTAAAGGATTTTGGACGGGTCAGCAAATCGAATATGGCGTTATTCTCACAGTTGCTTAAGACGACGGCCATGTTCGTATGATTTTTTTATCGTCGATGCAACCTTTAGCATCGTATGCTGCAAAGACGCCGCACCGCGCCCTCTAATCGACAAGATTAAATTGTCTTCATTTTTTTTGAGAGCATAGCTCGCGGCGCGGCGAAGAGGAAGGTGAAAGAAGCCAGAAACCCCAGACAGAACTGTATAGAGACCACATTGAAACCTCGCTTTCTTTTTCTGCCCCTTCACCCGGTGAAATGCTGAGTATGATTGTCCAAGACAAGGGATGAGCGGCTCTCAAAAGTAGAGAATCAAGAAGTAAAACAACGGTATCAACCGAGAAAGATACACAAAATGCGAATATTGGTACACCTGTTGCCAATTCCTTGATTGATCTAAAACTTACCAAGTAGAAACTTCGTGCACTTCGCCGTCTTGCTGGTAGGCATAAGCCATGGATGAGTAGGTTGTTCCCCAGTCGATGGCCATGATAATGGGATAGGTCTGGTTCTCATTTCCTGGGGCGACAAAGGGTCGATGTCCGTATTGCTGAGATCCCGAGGCCGCGGCTTGCACCGAGGATGAGGATGAGGTCGAGTAGGGCTGCTGGGCAGGCCAGGTGGTATCGGGGAGAGGTGTTGGGTACGAATGTGGCTGCTCGATATGAGGGATCTGAGGGGAGGATGGTGGAGGAGCGATATAGCCGATTGACGGAGTCGTAACCGAGGAAGTGTCCGCGATAGTAGAGTTTGTGAGAGGAGACATACGCTCATCGACGGGCGAGGGCGCCGAGGCAGTCGCCATGTTAGCGGTGTGGCTCGCAAGGGTAGGGGGGATATGGAGACTGTTGTAGGATGGTGGAAGGGTGCCAGAGCGGTGAAGGGCATCATGGACTCCTTCTGCGGTAGTATGTGGGGACCGAGGCTCATGCTCTGTTGGTCTATTGTCGGCATCTTCTGAGGGTTCAAGGTTGTGGGCGATTTGTGAACTGATGAGAGGCGAGTCTGCAGAGACGAGTTGTGGGTTGGCAGGGGTGGGGATGGGAGACCGGCCCTCCGATGGAGTGGCGGCTCCAGCGTCGTTAATGGATTCCTCTGCGATGCTGGTTCTTTGGACGGTTGATTTGGGCTGTGCATAGTCGGTGAGATCGACGATGGAGGTTGATGAGTTGATGCCTTCTGGGAGTGGAGGCACAGGGGGCATGGAGGTGTCTTCCAGGGGTGTGGGACCCGTTCGAGAGAGGGTGCTGGCATTTGAGTGGCGTCCGATGCTTTTGGCATCGCCGTTGGGGCTGATGTCGGATGCGTCGTCGGTTGCACCAGTAATTTTTTCAGCCTTTTTCTTTTTGGAGCGGAAGACGTTCTTGAAGGACTTCATGTCGAATGTGGATGACGGGCGAGTTCAAGGGAGGAAGGTGGGATGTTATTAGGGTTGAGTGGAGTGGAGGGAGGAGGAAAGTAGAAGGAAGAGAGGCGAGGAGAGGAGAAGGAAGAGAGGCGAGGAGAGGAGAAGGAAGAGAGGCGAGGAGAGGAGAAGGAAGAGGGGCGAGGAGAGAGGTAAGGGAAGGGAAGATGATGACGGGAAGGGAGCAGAAAGGAAGGGAAGGGGAGGGAGGGGACACGAAAGAAGGAAAGGTGAAAGGGAGGAAGGAAGAAAGAGAAGGAGGAAGAAAAAGAGAAGGAAGGAAGAGGAGTGGGGATGTTGGCGAAAGTTTAAAAAAAAAAAAAAAAATTCATAACTGATTAAAGGCAATGGGTCTGACTTTGGCCAATCAGCGCATCTTCCCTGTCCTAAGAGGAAAAGGGCATCACTCAGTTATGCTCTCACACATTTGGCACAGTACCGGTATTGCCATGGAGCAGACTCAGTCAGAGGTAAGGTTCGCCGTTGAGCCATTACCTTTTTTTTGTCGACTTCTTCTTTCTCTTGTACTGAGCACAAGTGAACACAGACATAGTCGACACACCAACACTTTTCATACAAACTCACACGTAACGCGACTGCTATTCCTTTTTCCCTCTCACGCAGAAATGATGCGAGATATCAGAGGAACCAGGATGGGGACATGAACATAAAGTTGGGCTGAAGACACACACGCATAGCCGACATCACTAATTATCAAGTTGTTTCCGTCGATTCTTCTCTCATCTATACACGCACAATAACAGCAACCCATCAGCTTCATGCCCACTATTTCACTCGTCTCTTTTCCTTGTGTCCTCGAGAAAAAACAAACCAAAACGCCCACTGAAAAAAACGACAGGGTTGCCAGCTGCTCATTCACTCGCCATTTCCATCCTTCAAAACTCTCTTTTTTACTTCTCTTCTTTGAATAGCTCCTCGTTACTTTTCTAAACAGTTTGAGCTCTCATGAACAAAAACATAAAAAAATACAGGCGTATTATTCTCGTTGCGTGTACTATATTGTACAATACATTCAAATATACTCGGGGTTTTCTCACTTCGGCAAAATTAGACCTCGTTCCTTTCCCGCCTCCATATATCTTCGCCATCAACGACCAAGACATAAACAACATTAACACAAACAACCGGCGACCGGCGATGCTGTACAATTGTAGAAACAGAGGCGACAAAGAAGAAAGTAGGGCTGAAAGGAGGTAGAGGTTGTGAGAGACAAACAAAAACAACCTTGAGAGTTTCTGGAAGATGATGTCTGATCGACTTTTTCTTCGACTTGCTTTGGGCTGTAGTCTTGCTCCTGGAGTGTTCTCTTTTTCTGAGCAATTGAGATGTCATCAACAGACAGACAGGAATGCGGCCACCCGGCCACCCGAGGGAGTGAGTGTCGATCAACGTGTCTTTTGAGGTCACTCAATTTCGCATAATGCTAAGCTTTTCTAAAGCCTAGATACCCTAGTAAGTAATTACTTTTCTTCGATTTGACGCGTACAAGTCAATTGAAAAGGATCTTTCGACTTCAAGGAGCGAGCTATAGTAAAAGCAAAGTTGGCTCGTTGAGGTGGTAAGATGCGCCACTAATAGAACACACTGAGTGAGACGCATCTGCATGGCTGGGACTATTTCGACTCTCAAAATGTCTAAGGATGTCATGACTTTCTGAAGTGACGTGCATTGATGCGTATCCTTTCACTTTTCACTGCATCCTGCTTACTCCATACTTGTGTGTCTCCTTGTTTACCCATTTCGCTGCTCTCTCATTTTCTCTCCTTTAAACTCGGTCCCCACGGAAGAGGGGGAATGGATGGTACCAATGTTAAGAATAAGAAGGCGGTTTATTGGTGTAGTAGTCGGGACATGTCAGTGGCGGTGCTGCTCCTCTCTTTCACTCAAAGAATGGCCGATTATCGACAGAAGGTCGATCCTCATCCAGGCACATCACCTTCTACCCTGATTGTGATTTTGAACACTTTTCGCTCTCCGTCAGGGATGATTAAAAATATATAACGGTCGCCGTTGAAGAACATAAATAATCCCGGGCACCACAATGAAGAGGAGGAAGAAAAAAAGGATAACGGTTTAGCCTTCTTTCACTCAAGATGTAAACAAAGTAGAACGGAGTAGAGGATGGAGAGTAAATTGAGAGGGGAAGGAAGTTATGATGGTTTGGAGCAAATATGCGCGCAGGTCCATACATTAGATCTCCTGTTTCTTTCATGTATCCACAGATTTGCGATTCGAACCACACGCACACACACAATCAATCTGCTCCAGAAGGGACACAGAGCGTCGCCTTTTTTGCTTTATTTTCCTCCATGTCTCTCTCCCGCCCCTTCTTCTCTCTCTGTGCCAATTGGTCGCTCCGACCTGCGCTTAACTTGGTTGTCGACTGGGCCCTACAGGTACCTGCCAGCTACTACCCCATTGTTGTTGTTTTTCCTCTCTTCAGTCTTTTGATGTTGCAGCATTCTCTCATTTTCCTTTAATTCACCCACACCCTCCATTGCTACACCTAGAAGAAACATTCGCAAACAGATGCAACAACAACCACAACAATAACAAGAGCAACAAAAACAACAACCTCCCTCTCGTCGCCGTCGTTGTCGCCATGACTTCCTTGAAGCCACGTTGGTTTCACGCATCGGTAATGCCTCTCATGACTCACATTCAACTCAAGTGCAACTACAACCTGTGTTCAAGTAAAAGAAAACCTTCGTCCTCTAACGACTCTTGCACTCAATTCCATATCAACCGCACCTCTCGCCTCTTTACTTCATCATCCTTTAACCGACTAATCCCTCTAATAGACCCTTCTCAACACAACGCTCTACATCACTGGCGGGACAACCAAGGATAGTGCCGGTCTCGAGTCCATCCTAGGCGAGACCATAGCCCTGGATTTCAGCCAGTCATGGCCAGTTGATCGACCTATGATCTTCACGGCCTTGCCCCAGCTCACTATCCCTCTCACAGGTCATTCGATGAGCGTCGTCCCTAGCTTAAACCATATCTTGGTCGTCGGTGGCGAATCCACGGGGAACCAGACATTGGAGTATATCCTCTTGCTCGACCCTCTTGCAAGCGGTGGTATCAGATGGAGGGTGCCGCCAATCCCCACAGCATCATCAATACCATCCTCAACTATATCATTATCCCCTGTCGCCACACTACCACCAAAACCGTCTCTACCTTCAGTAATACCATCACCACCGCAGACCGACAACAATCTTCAGTATCTCCATCGGTCATATCATGCAGTCATCACCACCGGCAAGGACGGCATACTCCTGCAGGGGGGATATCAGATAGGAACGACAGCAGTTGCTGCAGCAGGAGCAGGAGCAACAGCAGCACCACCAGTCAATGGAACAATACCAACAATCGTTTCATCTTTAGTGACCTTGAACCCCTCCTCCGAATTTGCTCCCCAAATCTCCGCACCCGTCTCGGTAGCGCCCAGTGCCCCCGCCCTGGCCCGACACACCATGACCCTGACGACGGACGGACGTGCGATTATCCTCGGAGGGATCAATCCTCAAGGACTCCTTGTCAACTTGACAAGCGCCCATGTGATGGACACCCAATCGGCCGAGGCCAGCTGGAAGGAGGTTCCACTCCTGGGGAAGCCTCCAGACCCACGGATGGCGTTTTCGACAGTGATGGTCAACTCGACGACCTTGTTGTTGTATGGCGGCACGGACGACTTTAAATCGGCTTTCTGGGTGACGTTTTATCTCGACTTGCCGACATGGACTTGGTCCTCGCCCGGGGCCAAGGGCACGATTCCGAGGAGGTGGGGACATACTGCGACCATGGTTGGGAAAACTATGGTTGTTATGTTTGGTAAGGAACAAGCAACAAATAATGACAACAATGTCTCAAGCAAAAATGCGAAAAGACTTCTGATTTCAAGGAGAGGGGAAGAGAGAAGAAAAGAACAACGAGGCAGGGATGAGGCAGAGAAAAAAGAGACGAAGAGGAAAGATAAAAAAATGCAGTGTTACTGGATAAAAGCATCCGACAGTATCAACGATGGACATGAGAGATCTATTAATAACGTTGATGGTGAAGAGAAAGAAGAGTGACGATCGCCCTCCTTGACCGTCCTTGTTACTATCTTCATGCAGCCATTGCAGGAATAAAAAAAAAAAGAGGAGAGGCTTGTGGGTCATGGTATGACCTTGCGCAGCGACGGGGACAGGACAAGAGAGGGCACAGACGGATGGGACATTTGTTGTAAGTCAATGGGCGTGTCAGTCAATCAGATAGGGCTAATGAGCGGGGTGAGGAAAGAGGGTAAATTTGAGCCACATGCGATAATCATCTGAACGGGTCATTCATACTCAAGCGAGGTTTAGCGTGAACTGTTTTCTTTTCTCTTAATTATTAACACTCACCTTTCTCCACTCTCCTTTTTCTCTTCTGTTAAACCATTCCCCTCCCTTTCACGCCCCACCATCTCTCTCTGGCCTCTCTCAACCCAAACAAACATAGGCCTTTCATCACACCAAACGCCCGATTCGACACCCGTTGTTCTGCTGGACACAACAACCAACACCTGGATCTCGCGGTACACCCCATCCGACCAAATGGTCAACCCAGGAAACAACAACGATCCAACCGGGGGCGGGAAAAAGAGCGGTCTCTCGTTGATTGCAGTTCTGGGCATCGGATTCGTCTTCACAGCCGGACTGGTCATTGGAGTGTTTTGTCTCCTGGTGAGGCAAAAGAAGCGCCGGACGCGGAATACGCTCGCCAGAGAGAATATGAGACACCAAGTCCCCCGGGACGCTATCAGGAAACAGCAACGAGGTGGCGCCAATCCGACTTGGGGGATCTTGGGTCGTGCGGCTACTCGGCTAGGATTCGGATCATCGTCTGGTACCGGAGGAGCAGGAGGGTACAGACCAGAGTCAAGACGACTGTCGGCCATCTCACCGCAGGAACATCCCATGTCGATCGCAGCACAGATGACACAGTTGGGTCATTCGCCTTCAAGTCTAGGGTACCCGGAGATGGTGGTTGAGCATGGGACAGGGATGGTGCCCGTATCGAGCTATGTCTACCCGAACCAGCCCCTGGCGGATTCCGAGTTCCTCGCTCGGCCAGCACCAACAGCAGCAAGAGTCAGGATGTCGGGGCAGGGGCGGTCGGTATTTGCGAGGGCGAGACGAGATGAGGAAGACGGCTATGGCGCGCTTGTTGTGTATCATGAGTTGAGTCCTGCACAGAAGGAAGCGCTCTCACTCTCACAAGGCAAATAGTCGATTATTTGATATCATGAAATGAATGAAAAAATAAGCATGGGATAATAAACCATAATAGAATGCGTGCACTGTACATATTCATCCTTCTCCTGTCTCGAACTTGATCAAATGGTAAAGGGGTTTATCATAGGACACATGGAACAAGTCATGGCAAGAATAGCCCCCCACCCACACAGGTAGCTACTAATGGCTTGAGTGAGATAGCACCTCCAGTCACGGGGACGACGGGGACGAACGACGATGGGGCGAGGACAAGACGCGACGAACGCGACGACTGTGATAGAGTTTGTTGTCATCACGAGCTGATTCCTACAACACTTAGATAACAAGCATTCCCTCGTCTAAATGAACACAGAAAAAAACCACAATTAGCGATCACAAAGAAAAAAAAGAACTGACCCCCCCTCTTCTCCTCTCCTCTCCTCCTCCCCTTTTCTTTCTTACCACCCGTAAATGTTACTGCTGTGTCGTTTTCTTTACTTTTCACTCAGATTCGTCAAGTTATCAGGCAAGCTTAGGAAAAATAGCACCAGGGCTCTGGAAAAATTGTCAAGGTTTTTTTTGTGGATGAACTGGATCGTTTTACTTCTGGCCCTTATTCAATTGTCCTCTTTCCTCGCCCACTTCTCCACCCCTGATGCATCCCTTTCTTTCTTACGTGTTTTTGTACTCTCTCGTAATCTGTGCTCTGTGTGTGTTTATGTCAATCGGAATGATTGGGTCAATTTACGTGATTTTAAAGGGTGTTGTGTTTTTTGCTTGTGATTGTTTGAAGCATGTCCACTTGAATGTGTATGTGAGAGAGTGTGTTCCAAAGGATGGCTGGGAGGATTACAAGATCACATCCTTAGCCCCCTCCATCCCTCCTTTACCCTCAAAACGGAATTCAAGGGATCGAAAGAATGAAAAGAGGTACATTCAATGGACAAATATCCACAGCATCAGCATCTCTTGTCCTCTTGTCCTCTTGTCCTTCTCCTCAATTCTCATTTTGATTCTAGCCTCCATTTTTTTTTGCTCCCATCCCATCTTCAAATGTTTACTCAATGTTAGCACACATTCGTCCTCCTATTTGTCACCTCTGCTATCCTTCCCACACCCTCTTACCACTCCAATCCTCTCCTTCCGCTTCCTTTCACTGTAATCTGTACGCAACCATCCACATACCTTTACAGATCAATCATCAATTTTCAACCCTTCAACCTTTCAACTACGAAAAACCAACCATTCGTTAATCTTTCACATTCACAAACCTCCGTCAATTGTTCAACCCAAATACACGTACTGACCTTGACAACCACAGCAAAAGCACGTTACAGTTGGCCGGCACATTATGACTCCACCACAGCTACACGAAGTCTCGAAAGGTTGACAGAAGCATAGAAAGAACATACAAGAAGATACGCCGATGTATCTTACGTGCAGAACAGGAATATAGCCTGTTTACTCCTTTGTTCATTTTCGTTTTCATTTTGCTTGTGCTGTGCAAGTCAATGTCTATGTGTGTACGTATGATGGTGCTATACATCCCCAAACCCTATTATTTCTTACGCGTTTTTCCTCTTCACATTCCGGGCAATCAAGGCTCAAGATACATTTTTTCACTCGCTTCTTCCAAAAGGCGCGTTTTTTTTATTGACAGCATAGCAATAGAATAGACATTCCAGACGAAATAATACAATAGTGCTGCACTTTGTGCAGTAGGGTACGAAGACAGGGATACGTGTTCATCTCCACATTGTTCATGTACACCTGGCAAATGAAAAAGATCGTGAGGAGGGGCATTGATTTCTGTTGATCTTGAATGCAGCGTGCGGTGAAGGGGTTACGTGTGCGTCCCTCCCTCCACCCCTTCTCCATCCTATATTCTCCTACACTCCCACTTCTCTTTCTCTTTCCTGACTTTGTGGGCAGAGAGACACACTTCAATTGACTCTTTTTGATGACACCCTTTCCACAGTCTACCTTGACCTTGACTAATCCATATTCCTTGTTATATCACCGAAGGTGCAGCGTTTTTCTCTTTTGTTTGTTACAAACTGTTTAGCGCATTCCATTACGTACGGCAATCGAACATTTGCTTGGATCTCTAGACCTTTCAGGTTTTTCATTCTGTTTTCCCCAATCCAGGATCGACGAAAACCCTCATGTTTTCGGAAAAAACTAAATTCGTTCCTATCCCTATGTTTTCCTTCCTTTTACTTCCTCTCTTCCAGGTTATCTTTGCCACCGCCATCACCACCACCACATCCATTCCTATCAAACAAGCACGCTTCATATTCACCCATGTCCAACCAACAGGAAGACCAGCAGCGCGAACAACAATATCAACCAACTCAAAACCGCCTCCTTCCTCAGCATCAGTTACATCCCCTTCACCTGCAGCAGCCGACTTTTCTTCATCGAAAACACAGATCACACTCTGAGATGACAACAACAACAACAACAACAACAGCATCACTCTCCATCATGATAGAACCTAAAAGCAAGCTCCTTGGTCAGAAGAGACCCTCTGGTGAAGATCTTTCCGGGTTGTATCAATCTTCCTCGACCTTCTCGAGACTTTCTTCTCCCCTTCGTCCGACTTTTTATCGCCCAGGGTTCGACTCTCCTTCCTCTGCAACATCCCTATCGACTGGTTTGACAACCAATACGTTGCCACCAGCACCGCCACTGCCATTGCCACTCAACATGATTGACGGCAGCAACGTCCATCCTCGAGATCCAATGATCTCATCTTCCCACAAGTTCAGGATTGGCCTTAGTAGCAATGGCGCAGAAAGGAGGAGGGGCAGCAACAGTTCTATCGGAGGCGGTGTAGGAGAAGGAGAAGGAGAAGGAGAAGGAGAAGGAGAGATAGGTAGAATGAGCGGGCGCGCGTCGAGCTCCAAGAAGAGTAGGAGTCTTTGTACTGCCGCGGACGTTGCGCTTTTACTCGAAGTTCATTCGGCGGCCAATCAGGGACGACTTGGCGTCTCATCTGTCTCATCGGCATCAGCATCAGGTAAAAGAAACACGGCTCTTATTTGTCTCATTTGTGCCAATAATCAGTTATCGGCTATTTCAGATGGAATGGGAAGGGGGGGGGAGGGGGGCAGCCATTCATCAATACATTACATGCATGGTGCATTAGGCTTAGGCAGAGAGGAACAGGGGTGCAGAAAATGAAGATGTTTTTATTCGGGTGCTGTGTTTTATGCTTTGTGAGAGGTACAGTACTCCTCAAACTTTGGAGCATTGAGAAGGGGCCTGACAGCAAACAACAACAACAAAAAATAATGGCGGGCTCAATTGTGGACGATCCTGCCAAGCAGTTGGGTCGATTAAACGTTTGAGGCCGATGGGCGTATTATTTTCTTGTTGTGTAGACGTGTAGGCGTTAGTGGTGAGTGGTGCGATTTGAGAACCTTAGTTCATTTTTTTTATGGGCGATTCGATATACGCAATTAGCGCATGCGAGGGAGTAGGAGAAACAGGTGCAATGGCGCTTCTGCTTTAGAGGATGCCCCTCTCGTATTCACGCTGTTAGAGCTTGTGCTAGCATTGTATATAAGGGAACCAAGAGGGGGTTCTCGACTAAAAAAAGGCGTGGCGGTGGATCATGAATACATGAGGAAAACGGGGCGAGGAAGTGCGAGCGAGGGATGGATGGAAGGAAGGAGAGGCGAAGACAGGATTGATTTTTTTCTTATCTCTTAATGTGGGATTTTCTTTCTGGGTCAACGGAGTAGCGAAAACAGTCGAACCAGTTGCTCCGTCTTTCCCTCCTGCTGACATCCAAGGTTTTTCCTTTTTGCTTTGTAAAGAAAAAGGGAGTGAGTGAGCATACCCGCTTCCCGTGCTTGTGTCGATATTAGTTTTATTGATGAAAAGGAGCAAGTCAAGGGGAGAGTGAAGGAAACAGGAAAATAAAAATGGCCTGCTGGATGGAAGGACGATAAGGAAAAAAAAAAAAAAAAAAAAAAGAGGGTAAAGAGGAGAAGGAGGGAGGTTTCTGACAATGTGGTGTGTCATGGGCGAGTTTTGTTTTTCTGTGGTTGGAGGAAAAAAGGTCTGTCTCTCAATTGGGTGGTGAGGTGTTGTTGCTGTTGTTTTGTTGTTGATGTTGTTGTGAGCAGAATGAAGAAGAAGGGGAAACGAGTTCAATTCGTAATGAAGGAAGGCAGAAATAAAGAGCACGGGTACAGAGAGTACAAAGAATACAGAGCGAGGAAATATGGTATGTAAAGAAAAGTTCCGCGGACATTCCTTCACCCCAACGCGACGCTGTGATTGGACAGAAAACAAGAGCGAGAGGAAATTCGATTCTTTCCCTTTTACTTTTCTCTTTTCGCCTCTGAGTGGGGGAGGCGCGCTTTGATTCCCTTCCTTGTCTCTTGTTTTTTTTGCCAGCTGGTGTACTTTTGAGTGGTCAGTGGAGAGGGTTGGACTTTTTTTAACCTCGCTAACTCGCTCAAGTTCGCTCAATTACAGTCTCCGAGGTTTAAAATGGGTTTCTTGGATTGCGCATCTACAGTTTGTTAACGAATCTGTCCCTTCTTCCTCTTCTTCTGTCCATTTGCCAAACTCCACTTCTCTTTTCTCTGCATTGCATTGTCCCCTTTGGCCCTTTTCATTCGTCTGTGTTATATATCTGCTTTTTGTTTATCCCTTTGGCCACAAGGTACATGTAAGAAAGGTAAGCAAACAAAACAACCAACAATTCAAACATACACGATTTTCATGCTTAATTGTCGGAGAAAAAAACAGCGAGATCTTGATGCATGTCAATGGAGGCAAGGGATGAGTGGTTACAAACGGACCATCTCAACAAACAAAGCAACAGCTACAAAAGCATCCAAGCTTTTTGGGGGTAAGCCTAAACACAACTGCCCTTTGGCCCTTCATTCCCTATCTTTTCAACACTCATCCTTACTCCTTTGGCCCATATGTCCACTCTCCGTTCATTTTGTTTTGTTTTGTTTGTTGATGTTGGATGTATTTCAGAACTCCGTTCT